TGATTCTGCGCTTCCTCCTGCTCTGGCAACAGCAGCTGCGGCCTCAGTGCTTGCTCACGATGCACCTGCTCCCAGTGGCCTCTCGCGTTCTGAAAAGTCGCTGGCGCTGTCGCCGCGAACAGCCTATTTGAAGCTTCCTCGAAGGTCAGCACCTGCGGATCGGAACCGTCAGGCTGCAATGCACGCTGAACGGATGCTGGCGTGGCAGGCAAACCTTGCTCTAATCCCCCTTCCGAATCCCGAGGTGCATCAGGAAGCCACGTGGACGGACCAGCCTGCTCTGGCAGACACGAGCCTAAATTGCTGGCTGCAAGATTGCTGTCAGCAAGAACGTTTCCCGCGTCCGCGGCATACCGCTTCCCCGGTTGTAACAACTCAAACCTTTCTACTGGGCCGTCCTCAGGTGTGGCAGAGTCATGGCTATGGTTCACGCCGATTGAGTCCTGCGAATTGACGAAATCCGCGAAGCTTGATATAATCGGACATGCTTCACCGGATCCATCCGTACACGCCTCGCGTGTGTCTGTTTGTCGTATGATATCTCCGCCATCCAAAGCAGGTAGAGTCCACCTCTCCGTGAGCCCTCCGAATAAATAATCCAATCGCATTTCTGGACTAACTTCGCCCTGGTTAGCGGGAGCATCGCGTGTAGGAGCATAGTCTGCGTTAGTGTCTCCTATATACGCATCAGCTACAGGAGCAAGGTCGTCTGTCAAGAAAGCGAGGGACGGATCTGAGGGAATAAACGGTAAATCTGGGAGAAGTTGCGTCAGCGAATGAGGGTCGTCGGTGGAAGGCGGAGGATGAGGCAGAACGGCTTCGTCGAACGACAGCCAGTGCTCAACGTCCGCTAGCGCCAGGTCATCAGCAACGAAGACTGTGAACGGCTCGCTGCTCATGTCTACGTGACGCATACTATCGTAGCGGACGGATCTTGGAAGTTAAGAAAGCAGGTTGTTCCTATAGTCGTGCAGGCGAGACGATTGGTAAACCAAAGAACCAAGCTATGCCTTCGTGATCAGCCAGAAGAGTTGTGTCGAGTGACTCGAGTCCTAAGGCGTGAATTCACGAGGTGGAGAACCCGATGTTTCGATTCTCCAAAGATCCCAACCCAGCCAAACCCCTCATTCCGGAAACCCCTCATTACCTCGCAATATCTACACCAAAAAGTTCCTAACCCATCAAACAAGCGGGAAAACTATTCACAACCGTACAGTAGCAACTGCAACGGCAAAAAAGTACTCCAAATAGTTCCATCTTTTCAAGGAATGAGCTAGGACAAGCAGGCACATTCATTCCCGACCCGAGCAAATTCCCTGGTGCCTATCGTTACGATCCCGGACAGATCTTACCTTTGCCCGAGCGTATTCGAAGCTTCGGTTTCCGACAAACCGTATGGCTGCGTTAAGTAACCGCGAGGGTGATCCAGGTGAAAGCTTAGACGAAACAAACCTTCGCGATGGTGACCAGCGTATTCCGGATTCGACAGAGCCGGAAGGAAGGGAGGCCGACGCTAACCAAGAGGTTACGGGCCTGGAATCTCAGAGGGATGGTCGAGACGAAGGCGCATCTGGGATGGATTCACAGCTGAACGGCGAGCAAGGAGAGAATCCCCGCCAGGATGATTCAATCGGAGAGGTTGAGATGCAAGTCGATCAGGTCAGTTGGCTCGTCTTTGAGACCGCTTCTTCGCTTCTTAACGTTATCTTCTCTGTTCCGTCCCACGCGACAATGATGTTCTGTATACCTCCGTCATCTGTTCTTGTTTTCCTATCCCTGTTTCTTATTTGTTTGTTGGTTTGTTTTCTCTTGGATTTGCATTTGCATTTCCCGTTTTTCGCCCCGGTCTTCGTGTTTCCTCCATGGCCTCTGTCAGGTGCTGGAGGACGCGTTTGTGAGCACGTCGCAGGAGGAGGCACTGCATTTACGAGAAGGCAAGCACATGAATGACCCGTTAGCTACGCTTGTTCGCGAGATCCACATGATGGATTTGGTGTGACGTGTCAATCACGTCAGCAGTCAGGCCACAATTGGTGCTTCCTTGACAGACATCCTTTTCTCTGTTTTCAGGCCTCCTTTCCTGCTCATTGACCCCGCCAGTTTCGTTCTTCAGTGCACCACGCCCTCCCTTCCCCCCCCTCGCCCCCTTCCCGGCATTTCCCCCCCCCCCACTTTCCCACCCACGCCCATCCCGCTACCCTCCCTAACCTCCTCCTTTCTCGCTGGCAGGTTGGGAGGGTGTGACGGTGGAGGTCCCTTCTGATGACGTGGACATGCCAGACTGGCACGACGACGCCATTGATCTGACGTGGCAGAACAGCCAGCCAGTCTCGCCGCAAGGAGCTCTATCCCAGGACTTCTCACAGCTTATTTCCCAAGACATTAAGCCGGACATCCAGCCATTCGCCGCTTACCCACCTGCGGTGCCTCCTCCCGAGCCTGCTGCCGAACCTGGAGCTGGTAGAGGACAGGAGACGAGGAGGCCCGGTGCAGCTGCGGCAGGTGGTGAGGAGGAAGTGAGTGGTCCGGGAGGGGCGGAAGAAGGGTTTGAGCGGGGTGGAGGGGCAGCAACAGGCGGAGGAGCAAGGGAAGCGTGCACTGTTCACACTGATGCTGCTGACACTGACACTAGCACACACGCTCACATTTCAGCTCATGCTAATGCTGACACTGACGTTAACACTCACACTCACATGGCAGCCCATGTTGATGCTGACGTTGGGTTTGGAGGTGTTGTGGGGGGTGAGAGTGCGTATGGGGTGCACTCGCAGCCGTGCTCCATGGACGCGGACACGCACGCACATCTATCGCCCGACATGCACGGCCACCTGTCACCCGATGTGCGCCTGCTCAGCCTGCACCACGACCACGATGAGCATGCTCATTTCGACGCCCATGTGGAAGCCAACCTTGATGCCCATGCCGAAGCTAACGCTGGCGCCGAGGCTAATGCCGATGCTGATGCTGAAGTTAACGCAGATGCTGATGCGGAGGGTGGGTTGCACGGGCGTACACCGGGACCGGAAGGCATGGATGTGCTGCAGCAGGTGTGTGCCGCATGCTAAGCTAGGAGCTGTGGACGGGGGTGTGCTGGGATTTGTGCGGAGGGGTGTGTTTTTAGCTTATCCAGAAACCAAGTTTGCGTCCATCCTTGTTGGGTCTGTGCAGGTATCGGAAGAAACGGTTGAGAGAGATTCAGTGAGTGCCGCTGCCGTTCCCGATGCAGCCTCAACAGCCACCAATGCTACAGCTGCTGCAACACCCGTAGAGATTCCTGATGCTACACCTGCTGCCGCAGCTGCTGCTACTGCTGCTTCTTCAGCCGCTGCTCCCGAGCCTGCCACAGACACGTTTTGCATTCGTGCTGCTGGTGCGGCTCAAGGGCCTGGTGCTGACGTGGCTGGAGTGCCCGTTGCTGACGTGGCCTGTGAGCCTGATGCTGACGTGGCTCAAGTGGATGAGGGCCATGCAGAGGAGGCTCGCTGGCTAGCCACTGATAGCTATGGGTCGTTTGGGTGAGTTTGGCACTCACATGGCGTGACCCATGCACGCAATGCTCGCATACTATATTGCGCTCGCTCTTATCATGCGTTTCACGCATTCACTCATGCCCTGCACGCACTGCCGCACGTTCCATCTGCTTCCTCGAACCATCCCTTCTCCAATTTAAATAGCGCCACTGCAGGTGGCAGCGGCAACGCTTCTTCTCCCTGTCACTGCCCGCCACCTTTCCTTGCTCTGCATGGGCTGCACGGCTCATCTGATCATGCACGAACTGCATCTCTCAAGACTTGACCCACGCAGCCTTCCCCTCTTGCACTTGCGCCACCGTGTCCTGCCACTGACTGACGTGCGTGCAGGTGCAGCAGCGTTCATTTTTTAGACGCCTTCAAAATAAATCTCAAGACTTGACCAATGTGGCCTTCCCCTCTTGCGCCCTCGTGTCCTGCCTGTGACTGGCATGTGTGTGCGCAGGTGCAGCAGCGTTCAGCCCGTGACTCAGGAGTTCCCAGACTCGGCCGACCTCTTCCCCCTGCCTGCTGACCACGCTCACAGGCTGGGCGACGGGGACAAGGACGATAATGCAGCTGCTTCTATGGGGGACAAGGACAATAACGCAGCTGCTTCAATGGGGGACAAGGACAATAGCGCAGCTGTTTCAGTGGGGAACAAGGACAATAAAGCAGCTGCTTCTAGTGGGAATGCAGAGGATAAAGCTGCTGAGCTGGATGGGGGCGAGGAGGGGAAGGTGGTGAAGGACAGTGGTGCAGCATATACTAACGGGGACGTGGCGGATGCAGACAAACATGGCAATGCAGCAGCTGATCACGGGGATGAGGGCGATGGGATAGGTGAAGAGGGAACTAGAGAGGGCCATGTGGGGAGGAAAGGCGAAAGGAAGGGAGCGAAAGTTGAGGGGAGAGAGGGCAGGCGAGGGGAAGAGGAGCTAAGGGATAAGTGTGCAGGAGTGGGTGTGGGTGGAGAGGAAATGAGCACGAGGGAGGAAAGGGGTGGAGGGAAGGAAGGGGAGGGGGGCGATGGGGCAGTATTGGTGCAGATTGGAAGGCGGGGTGCGTCAAGTGTGGAGTTGGGGAGAGAAGGTAAAGGGGGTAGTGTCGGACTGGTGGGACGCGAGACAGAGAGGGGTGAGGGGGAGGGGGCAGGGGTAGGAGAGGGAGAGGAAGAAGCGGCGGATGGGAAAGACGAGGACAGAGGGGGAGTGGAGTTGGCTGTGGGAGTGAAGGAGGGGCCGGAGGGAGGCGAGGGGAAGGAGACGGAGGAGGGAGGGGAAATGAAGGAGACGGAGGAGGGAGGTGAGGGGAACGAGGTGGAAGGAACCGAAGGGGCGGAGGAGAGGAAGGAGGCGGAGGAGGTTACGGGGCGGAGAAGAGAAGCCGCAGAGGAGGAGGAGGAGGAAGGGGACGCAGTACAGGCTCATGTGCAGCCTGCAAGCTCAGTCCAAGCTGAGGATGGCGAATTTGGCTTGAAGGCTGCTGCTCACCTTCATGTGGAAGGAGTAGCAGGCAGCCCTGTGAGTCCGGCGATGGAGGAGGAGAAGGAACGCGAGCAGGCGAGTAGGGATGGCGAGGGAGGGGATGATGTGGAGGATGGGCAGGGGGGAGAGGATGATGTGGAGATGGCAGAAGCGGGTGTGAAGCCGACGTTTGAGGCGTGGCTGCCTGGGGATGGGACGGAGGAGGGTTCGTTTGAGACGCAGCAGACCAGGGATGTGATGCATGTGGACGTGGATGATTCTGCTGCTGCTGCTGCTGCCCTTGCGGATGTGCCAGGAGGAGCTCCCTCTGCCAATTTCCCCATGACTTTTGAGACGTCTCAGAAGTCGTTTGACACGCAGCCGACAAGGGATGCGATGCTTGTGGGCCCGGATGATTCTGTTGCTGCCCTTGCGGATGTGTCACCAGCTCCCTTTGCTGATGTCCCCATGGCACGGGATGGTGATGCAGGCAACGAAGGGGAGGTGGAGGGAGAAAGGGAGGTGGAGGGAGCGAAGGAGACGGAGGGCGAAAAGGAGGTGGTGGGAGAAAAGGAGGTGGTGGGAGCAAAGGAGGTGGTGGGAGAAAAGGAGGCGGAGGGAGAAGAGGAGGTGGGGAATGCGGCAGCAAAAGAACGTGAGCAGAAAGAGATGGAGGAGAAGAGGAGGGCGGAGAGGGTGGGGGGTATAAGTTCAGTCTACGGCACTTTCACCCGCTTTGCCAAGAGCCTCTTTTCTGGTGGCTCCAGTGTCGACGCTGGGGGTGGCATTGGTGGTGGCGAGGGCGAGAGTGCTGGTGGTGCCGCTGCAGGTGGCTATGAATCGCAGGAAGACAGAGGAGAGAGGGACGGGGATGTTTCTGCTGCTGCTGCTGCTGCTGCTGCGTCCACAGGGGCTGATGTTGCTACAGCCACTGCTGATACTGCTGCTACTGCTACTACTACTGCTGCTACTACTGCTACTACTACTGCTGCTACTACTGCTACTACTGCTGAAGCTGTTGCTGTTGCTGACGAGGAGACGCAGGATGCAGAGGGGTTGGTGCTAGTGCCAGAGGAGGAAGAATTGCAGAGGGCACAGGGGGAGGACGTGCAGTGGACAGAGGCGTATGACACCCAGGAGACACATGGAGCTGCAATGCTGGAGACGTCTGTTGTGAAGCTGACTTCTGAGTTGACTCAAAAGTCAGAGGGGGTGGCGCTCGGGGTAGAGGAGGCGGAATTGCTGAGGACACAGGAGGAAAAGGACGTGCAGTGGACAGAGGCGTATGACACCCAGGAGACACATGGAGCTGAAGTGCAGGAATTGTCTGTTGAGAAATCCCAAGAAACGGCTGCAACAACAGAGCATCATAAAGAATTCCCTGCAGCAACAGAGCATTCTCAAGAATCGCCTGCAGCAACCCAGGAGAGAGATGGCGTTGCAGCCCAGGAGATGGAGGAGGAGGAGGAAGAGGAGGAGGAAGAGGAGGAGGAGGAGGAGGAAGGGCATGCAGAGCACACAGAGGAGGCGAACGAGACAGACACAGAACAAGGGGATGAGGCGGGCTCAGAGGAAGCGGAGGTGGTGGTTGGTGCGGGAGGGGTGAATGGGGCTCAAGAGATAGCTGAGGGGGAGCGGGAGAAGGAGAAGGAGGAGGAGGAGGGAGTGGAGGCGGATGAGGAAGGGGAGAGGTTGTTGGTGGGCCGTGAGCCTGGGGTGGATCCAGGAGGAGGAGGAGGAGGAGGAGGGGGAGGGGGAGGGGAGAGAAGTGCAGGTGAGGAGGAGGAGGCGGTGTTAGTGGTGGAGGTGGGGGGGATGGGAGGGGGAGTGAGAATGGATGTGGGGGAGATAGGAGGTGGGGCAACAGGGGTGGTGGGTGGGGGGGAACAAGGGGTAGCCAGAGTAGCAGTTGAGGGGGGATGGGTGAGAGAGCAGGTAGGAGTAATTGGGAAGAGGCGGAGGGAAGAGAAGGGCGCAGGGGAGGAGAGGCAGACAGCACAGACGGGCTTGGCTGTCCTTGGCCGTGGCCGTGGCAGTGCACGTGGCGGCGAGGGGAGTTCTTTTGAGGTATGTGAGACGCAGGGGGGCGTGGCTGGTGCTGACAGTGCTGCCCGTGCGGGGAGTGAGACGCAGGACGAGGCGGTGGCTCCTGAAGAAGGGACGGAAGAAAGGGGAGGAGAGGGAGCGCATGGAGTGCCAGAATCCGAGGGGCGAGGGGCAGGGGGAGGGGAGAACAAAGGAGCAGGAGAGGTTGGAGCGAGGGAGGCAGGAGAGCGAGCGTCAGCTGCGAAAGGTCCAGCGGCTGAACTACGCAGCAAGCAGATGTCAGAGTTTGACATGTCAGCGAGAGTGGCAGTGGATGTGCCGGGCGTAACCGCTGCTGCCGCCGACACGATCGCTGAGGCGCTAGCTTCCAAAATGGCTGCTGAGGTGGCGGCGGCCATTGCTGCAGGGCTCAGTGGGGCCAACAAAAGGCCACGTTCTGCCGGCCAGGATCAGAGCAGCGCGAAGGAAAAGGACGGGAGACGCAGTCCGGTGGAGGATGGGAGGAGTTTCGCCAAGGATGGAGATGTGCTCTTCAGATCGTCTCGATTCGCAGTAATGGCGGGATTGGGTGAGGGTTCAGAAGAGGAAGAGCTCGAGTTTCGAGTGGAGGTGGTTGGGAGGAGGAGGAAGAGCACAGTTGAGCCCTGCTGACACACCCACGACAACTCTGAGGGAAGGCAGGGGGCATGTCGGGAATGATGATGCTGAGGAGGGTGATTTGCAGGAAAGGCTGCAGGTTGCAAGCGAGGGAAGAAGACGAGCCCGTGGGCTGAAGCATGAACGGAGGAGTGGGCGCGAGGAAGAGGAGATTGAGAGGCCACTGTTAGGTGAACCAGTGTCAGGAGGAGGTGGCGCCATGGATCCTCCCAGAGCCTCCACTGTTGGAAAGCCATCCAGAGTCTCTGTGCTTGCTTTTGGTGAGGGTGGGGGTGGTCCTAGCGCTGGTGTTCTGCCGGTCACTCCAAATGCTCCAATTGCCAGCTCCACTCCTGCTGTCACACCTACGACAACTCCAAGGGAAGGCAGGGGCCATGCAGGGAATGATGCTGAGGAGGGTGATTTGGAAGGAAGACCGCAGGTTGCAAATGAGGGGAGAAAACGAGCTCGTGGGCTGAAGCATGGAGGGAGGAATCGACATGAGGAAGAGAAGATTGAGAGGCCACTGTTAGGTGAACCAGTGTCAGGAGGAGGTGGCGCCATGGAACCTCCCAGAGCCTCCACTGGTGGAAAGCCAGCTAGAGTCTCTGTGCTGGCTGGTGGTGAGGGTGCAGGTGGTTCCAGTGCTGGTGTTTCGCCGGTCACTCCAAATGCTCCAGTTGCCAGCGCTGCTCCTGCTTCTGCGCCGCCTCCAATCAGGAAGAAGTGGTGGCAGCATTTGTACGAATCACCTGATGGTCGAGGAACGAGCAGGCGGGATAGCACAGGAGCGGTGTCTCGGATGAATGATGCTCCAGAGATTGATCCATCGTGGGACCTTTTAGATGTATTGATGAATGCAGGGGTATCCCTCCCACTACCAGCGCGTAGGAATCGGCACCGTACACAGTTTTGATTTCTGTTTTTAAACCTTTATTTCTCTTGTGTAATATGGTTGTATATATGTTTTGTCTTGGTGGATCCATGAGCTTGTAACGGCTTAGTCTCGTGTCAAGTCCATGTTTGCGTGTCCCTGCCACCTATTTTTGTCCGAATATTGTCAGCTCGGACGCGGCAGGCTCCCAATGGTGGGAATCGAAGGGTGGGTGAAATATATAAATGAACAGAGCTATATGAAATATATATTTTAAGCCCGACTTGGGTTTTTCTCACCAGACCCGAACTACACGGAGTAGAGTTCTCAGGGTGCGTTCCTGGCTCGTGTCAAACTTCCGGTCTTCCGGGGATGACACGAAGCTGGCCCCACTTCGGGTCATCCGAGACCAACTTCGGGTCTTCCCGCTAAATTTCGCCTCTGTTTTCGGAAGACTCGAAGTTTGACAGGAAGTTTGACCTAAACCTTCGGGTCTTCCCGGGAAGACCGGAAGTTTGACACGAGCCAGGAACGCACCCTCATTCACAAAAATCGGGCTATTGCCCCAATAGCTCGACCTGTGTTGGCTGAAAAGGTCGGGCTGACGGTTTTGTACAGCATCTGCTCTTTTGATGTCATCGCTGAATGATGATTTTTTTTCCAACTCAGTGCGCTAAACTCTCAACGAGGCTTGGCGTTTTCCGACTGCAAGTGCGCGATGTGCTCCATCTACACGAACGAATTTGGACGCTTTCTTTGGTGTCGGCGACAAGATACCTGTCACTCTGTTTTGTTTTGCTTGCCCTCATTGCTCCGTCGGTTTCGCAATGGCCATGGCTGCTCGCAGCCTTCTTGGATTCGCGGAGGAGGCAGTATGGTTGCATGCAACAGCATCAGGCTGGCTGCTAGGAAACAAGTGGTTGCACTTCCACTGTCCAACCTTATCATCCCGGTATATGCTGTGAACCGTCGATAAGATTGGGGTCAGGCGGTTTCTACCGTACGATCAGACCTTGTTTTCTTCAGTAAATTCTCTGGTTGGCCATCGTCGGCCAAGCCAAAATCCCATTCCCAAGAAACTCCAACCCCGCTTTTCATCGCTGTGCCGAAACAGTTTTCCGAACGCAGCTTTCCGCAACACAAAGCTTCCGCGCAATCGGTATCCTCATGCGCGAATTGAGCACCCATTTCCGCGCCATCCCGAATCCCTCCCTCGCAAAACTCCGAAGAGAAGAGCATCGAGATCTTGACCTCCCCCGACGCTGTAAAAAAACCTTCGTTTGTGCGTCGCCATTGGTGGTCATGATCCTTCACTTGACCGTAAGGAAAGGGGCAGAAACACCAACACCTTGGGGTTCTCCAGAACTCCCCCGGACGCGCACTCTTCGCTTCGTCGTGACGAAACCCTCGGCGCAAGGTAGCCAGGCGGCGCTTGGGCAGCCCCTCGGGGTCATCCATCGCGTGCGGTGAAATCAAAAGCCATTGCGCCGCAGCGGGAGGGCGGGCTAGAGAAGCAGCCAAAAGGCTTTGAGGCTGGTCGAGGAGAGCCAGAGTTTGTCTGTCCTGTCCTGTCTTTCTCCTGTCCTGAACTCCTGGCTTCTTCTTGTGCTGTTTTCTCGTTCTTGTCGTCGTCCTTGGGCCCACCCCTTGCCTGTTGGTACCGATTGCTGTTCGGCCTTCTTTGTTCAAACTTGACAAGCTGGACAAAGCGGCTTCCACCCATCCATTGATATTTGGTACGCCCTTTCATGGGGAGCTCATACCCCTGTCGTATCCAGGTTCATAGTTATGTCCGGGCTTTTATCATTCCACAATGGCCTTAAAAGCACCATAACGTGTTGCTGTTTTGCTGTTGTCTTCCTGCGCTTTTCTGCCGTCCCCATTGTACATACTAGTAGACTCGAGCTTTGTGTCTGCTTCTCGCATTGATGCTTCGCGATGCTGTTCTTGATCTAATTTCCCTTATCATATATCCTGTTTTATTTCTTCTACCGTGTCCATTGCCTGTATCCAGATCTGGAGTTCCGCCGAAAGAAGTCCCGCAACACCGCTGACACTACCAACTTTCTCCAATCTAAGCTATCGTCTTGAACAATTAAGGCTCGATGTCGCTTCCTCCGAAGGCGCTGACGATTCAGCTCCCACCGAACCAATTTGAGGACGATGCGGGAGGCGGCAGTTCGTCTGATGGCAGCGGCGCAGACGGCGTTGCGAAGAAGGAAGAGGAGACCCAGAACACGGGCACGCCCAGTGGTTCATTGAAGCGGAAGCGTAACCTTCCTGGAAACCCAGGTACGACATTTGACGCGTAACGATTTACGGAAGCAATGCCTGTTAGTTTGTTCTTTATGCACTGATCCTCAACTTCGCGTCGCAAACGCTTCCGATTGTCCAATTTCTTAACGCTGTTTCTCACTCCCGCCTCCGCATCGCATTTCTTGTCTCTGTTCTCTCTCTTCATTCCTCCCTTTGTCCTTCTGTTTACTTCCAGATCCGGACGCGGAAGTTGTGGCTCTGTCCCCGCGCACCCTCCTCGCGACCAACCGGTTCGTGTGCGAGATCTGCAACAAGGGCTTTCAGCGCGACCAGAACCTGCAGCTGCACCGCCGCGGCCACAACCTCCCTTGGAAGCTCCGCCAGCGCACGACGCAGGAAGTGCGGAAGAAGGTCTACGTCTGTCCGGAGCCCACCTGCATCCACCATGACCCGTCCCGAGCGCTCGGAGATCTGACCGGGATCAAGAAACATTTTTGCCGCAAGCACGGCGAGAAAAAGTACAAGTGCGAAAAGTGTTCGAAGAAATACGCCGTGCAGTCGGATTGGAAGGCCCACATGAAGACGTGCGGTACTCGCGAGTACCGATGCGATTGCGGAACCCTCTTCTCAAGGTAACGTGCCCGGCCCTTCCCAATACCAACCTTATCTTAACCCTGGTCCCTCCCCCGCTGTCTAATATTTGCGCATCGGCTTTGTATTTCTCTGTAAGATACTTTTTTTTTTTCTACGGCCTCCGCGTCATTATTTCTTTGATATAACCTTACCGTTTTCTTTCCTTCGTTTTCCTCTCCGCAGGCGCGACAGCTTCATCACACACAGAGCTTTCTGCGACGCGCTCGCCGACACAGGCCCCACCAGCGTCAAACCCGAGCCCGGCGATTCCGCCGCTACAGGCGCCGGCCCGGGGAGCGTCGGCGGTCTCAGCCACAAAGGCGCGGGGTACGAGGGGGACACGATGCGAGGCGCGGCCGTCATGTTCGGTGATGACGTCACGAAAGCCGCTGCTGCTGGCGCGGCTCATTTGCCAGGTCAGCAGCAGAATTTCCAGTCGCAGGGGCTTCAATCGTCGCAGCAGCAGGGCGGCCAGCAGCAGTTTTCGTCGCAGGAGTTCGCAGATCTGGTTAGCCGAGCCATGAACAAGCAAGGCGGGGGCGGTATGGGGCTGTGGCTCGGCCAGGGATCCAACAACGGAGGGCAGAATCAGGGTATGACGCTGCAGCAGCAGATGCTGCAGGCCGTGAGTCAGGGAGGTTTGAACCCGAGCGCTCTTCTTGCGGCGATCAACAATAGTGGCGGTAGCATGGCGAGCCTGCTGGCTGGTGCCGGAGGTGGCTCCCTGGGGGAAGCGGCGGCGCTGCTGCTGCAGCAGAATCAGCAGAATCAGCAGAATCAGCAGCAGCAGCAGCAGCAACAGCAGTCAGACCAACAGCAGCAGTTATTGATGCAGCAGCAGCAGCAACAACAGCGACAGCAACAGCAGCAACAGCAGCAGCAGCAGCAGCAGCAGCAGCAGCAGCAGCAGCAGCAGCAGCAGCAGCAGCAGCAGCAGCAGCAGCAGCAGCAGCAGCAGCAGCAGCAGCAGCAGCAGCAGCAGCAGCAACAGCAACAGCAACAGCAACAGCAGCAGCAACAGGAGTCCCAGGATCAGCAGCAAGTGCTACTGCAGGCGCTTCGCAACATGGGAGGATCCAACCAGCTTCTGGCGAACCTCGACCTCTCTAAAGTCTCCAGTCTCCTTTCTTCCCTGGGAGGCGGAGCTGGCGGTATAGACATCGGCTCCTTAATTTCCTCGCTTCTCGGCTCCAACGGCAGCATGGCTCCTGGGGTTAACCTGGACTCAGGTTACGCTTCTAACGCTGGTGGTGGCGGCGACATGAACAGTAACGTTTATGGTGGTGGTGGTGGTAACCAGGGTAACCTCTCAGGGTCTGCAGAGGGGCTCTCAGGAGTGGGCATGGGGGGAGATCCCTACAATTCCAGTGGCAGTGGTCTGCACGGGTCTGCCCCGGGCGATGGTGATGGCCTAGGGCATGGCGCACAGCAGGACGGGCTGCAAGGCCTCTCGGGTGTGAACCTCCCGGATTTGCTGCAGCAAGCAGGCGCGGTGCTCGCCCGGTCTGGAGGTCTGGGTAACTTGGGAGGTGCTGGTGGTCAGGGGTCGTCGCTTCTCACGAGGGCGATTGAAACTTTGGCGAGTCAGGGATTGCCGCTTGGCGGAGGGCAGAACTCGGGGCTTCTGGATGCCGTTGCCGGCCTGGGTGGAGGGCAGGGCAACTTTGGTGCACTGGCAGGGTCGCTGCAGCAGCATGACCAGGGGAATAATGGCGGGGGTGGGGGGATGATGGGAGGGCAGCAGCAGCAACAGCAGCAGCAGCAACAGCAGCAACAGCAGCAGCAGCAACAACAACAACAACAACAACAACAGCAGCAGCAGCAGCAGCAGCAACCGCAACAGCTGCAGATTCCAAATGATTTGATTCAAAGATTGGCAGATAAGTTACCGCCCGGTCTGAACGTGGACACACTGCAGTCTGCTCTCAGCATGTACCCCGAGCTTGGAGCAAACGGGGCTCTGTCTTCCGCGCTCAACACCCTGCTCTCAGGAGGAGGCGGTTTTAACACAGCGCCACAACAGCAACAGCAAGTGGGTATGGTTGGAGGGGAAAATGCAGATGGTTGGGGTGGGGGTGGCATGGGTGGGGGCAATGGTGGTGGGCTGGAGCAGGGAATTCAAGACATCTTCTCTTCTGGAGCAGGCCAGAACTCTGTGATGGCTGCGATGCTGTCTGCTAGCAATGGAGAGTTGGCAGGTGGACTGGCAGGGGCTTTTGGAGGAGATGGCAGCGGGGGGTTGCTCGGTGCTGGTGGTGACATGCCGTCTGCTTTGCAGAATATGCTCATGGCCAGGCAGCAGCAGCAACAGCAGCAGTTCAAGCAGCAGCAGCAGCAACCACAGCTGCAGCAGCAACAGCAGCTCCTGCAGAGTGCAGGTCTTAACACTGACTCGCTGACTGCTGCTTTGCAAAGGGCGCAGCAAGGCGGCCATGATCTTGGAGCTTTCGGGACTGTGACGAGGGATTTTTTAGGTCTTGCTCGCTCTGTGTCGGCGTCTAGAAATGTGACGGAGCTGCAAGATCTTGCAGCTTTTGGTGCGACAGCAATGAATGAAGGTGCCACTGGCTAGATTAGTAGTTATTACATAGCATAATTGACTCTACGGTGCATTTTTTATTTTAGTGCCAAAATGCTTAGCAATAGTGCAGTGTTTTTTACGAGTAACTTCTTTTGGTGAATAAAAGGTGGTTCTGTAATGAACCAAGCTCAACCAGCGTCGCACATTCGTGCGTGCGGCAGATTGAGTGGCTTGGAATACCGTCCGTGATAGGTCGCTCGCTTGCGACAAACTTCCACGGCATATTCGCCGTGCGCTGTGCACGGGGGGAGGACCAAACCGATGGGTCAGGTCAGGTCAGGTCAGGACTCCGGCCCAGTCAGTGGGAGGGCCTTGGCGGAAGCTAGTGGTGCACAATTACTGCGCGCACCGGGAGCGAGGGGCACAGGCGCAGGGCAGCTTTGCGCGCCTAGCTGGCGGAAATGGAGGTGCTTTTTGGCGCCAACCAACCTCGAGGGTCGAGGGGGGTCGCTCTTCCGCAACCTCGATTTCGTCCTTCCGCCGCCAGCCCAACGCGTGGGGGTACGGCTGGGTGGTTGAGGAAAGGGGGAGTGGCGAGGCGGGGAAAGAGGCTTGGGAGGGGAAGCTGAGACGTGTTCCTTTTTGGGAGTCGTTGGGACTACCTGCTACGGTATTCCACCAAGCGAAAGCTCGGCAGAGAGTAAAGCTTGTAGTGATTAGTAGTTGTGTTTTGACTGCTAGCTGTATGAGAGGAATGCCCTGACAAGGCGTTCTGTGTTTGCGACGTCCTTGACCTGTTGTAATACGGACCGCACACGCTGACGGACGGCAAGCCAGCTCTTTTAATCACGGTCGCCTCTTACTGAGACTCTCGTGCAGCTCGTCGCCATGTCTACCTCGTATCAAAGGTTAAATATTAAGCTTTGGAAACTTCCTGGGCTCTTCTGGCGCTAGCTTTCGCTCTCGTCGATTTAAGGAGTAACGTTGTGGTAAAAAATACATCACATTTATATTAGCCTTTAACCAGCTCATATCGCACGTTCTCGACATAATTTCTCAACGCAGCTCACTGTTAGCGACAATGGGAGACACGCTAGGAGCTATAGTCGAGTACTTAGAACGGAATAAGTTCCTCTCAGCGGCAGCAGCCCTACGTTCCGAAATTTCCAACAAGAAGCAGCCGAGACCCAACACTCTTGCCTCCAGCCACTCGCTTCCACCGCTCTCTCCGTTCTCTCCCTACCCAGGCTCCCCTTCCCTCCCGCCTCCCGATGCCTCCGATAATGACGTCAACATGTTCCTCTGGATGAAGCACGAACAGATGTTTTCGCACTCAGCCTCAGCATCAGGTTCGGGATCAGGTTCGGGCTCAGGCTCGGCAGGCGGAGGTATATTTGGTTCGGCATTCTCCGGTTCGGGGCTCTCGGGGCCGGCGGATGGCGCTGGCGGAGATGCAGGCGGGAGCGGGACTGGCGGCGGGTTCTCAGGGTTCCACCCGATTGCGCGAGGCAACAGCGCTCCGCCGCAGTTTCTTCAAAACGCCATGCTGAAATGGTCTCCGCCCAGCTCTCCCCCCGCCGGAGGTATGTTCGACCCCGCGCCTGCGGCGGAGGCCCCTAAGCCGCCGCGCGCGGGGGGCAGCGAGCACCCGTTCTCCCCGTCGTTCTTCCCCACGTCCCCCTCGCTCCCCTCCCCCGCGTCCCTCGACGTCGTTCCCGAGGAGGACGTCTTTCTGGGCGGCGAGGACGCGGACTCTGCGCCGGCGAAAGCGGAGGCGGAAAAGGCGGGCGGAGGAACGAGAGATGGTAGGACTGACGGAGAGGGTAATAACGAGGAGAATGCGAGCAGCGCAGGGGCTAATGCTACTGCGGTTATTCCGCTGCTTGACGATGGTGATGCTGTGTTCTTCGGCACGCCGGCAAAGCAGCCGCCCGTCCCTCTGCCCATCGAAGAGCCTGTTCTCTTCGGCGAAGTGACTACAACGGACCCTTTCCGCGGCTCCCTTGAAGCAGCTGCGGCAGCCGCGGCCGCCGCAGCAGCCGCCGCAACAGGCGGCGGGAAAGGTGCATTAGGTGTCTTGGACGCGGAAATGCCGCCTAGGATCGGGTCGACGCCGCGCAGCAATAGCTCCCGCCCGTATGACGTCAACAGCAGCGGCGAAGACGAGACTCCGCCGAGCGGAATAGCGAAGAGCAGCAGCGCGGGCGGAACCTTCGCGGGGGACATAGAAGGGGGAGGATTCGGGGAAGAGATTGACTTTTCCTGCGGGCTTGGCGGGGTCGGGGGGAGCGGGGGGGGCGAGGGGGGCGGGGGAGATGGAGGGGAGAATGCAAGCGCAGGCGGAGACGCTTCCCCCGGGCTGTTTGACCAGGCGTTTGCGAACTCGAGCAATAACAGCACACCGCGCGGGTCAGTAGACTTGACTGGTAGTGGGGAAGTGTTTTCTGTTGGCGATGGGGGGGGAGGAAGGGACACGTTAGGGCCCCGCCATGGGAGTACGGGCCATGGGAGCACGGGCCACGGCGCATCACCACCAATGGGAGGAGCGGGCGGAGTGGGGGGAGGCGCAGGGGCAGGAGGAGCAGGGGGCGGAGGGGCGGGAGGCGCTGCTTCGGTGCTGGCGGGGTGGGGGTTGCTGTCAGCGGGGGGCAGTGGGACATTCGCCGCAACTGGCGCTTTAAAGAGCCCTAACTCCTTCGGAGGGACCTCCCACGCTGCTAACCCTGCTGAAGCTGCCAAGCCTCTCGTTCGGGCTTCCTCCGTGCCTACCATCACGTTCGGACCGGTTGTTGTAGGTTCGGAGGTGGTTCCGAGCCTGAACCCCGTGCCATTGGGAACGCGCAAGCCTCGCCCACCAATCAGCCACGCGTCCCTGCCGTCTAACCAGCAGCAGCCGCCGCTGCCGAGCCTGCAGCGCTCGCCCGGTAGCGGAAGCTCGGGCGGAGGTTCGGAGAAGAGGTTCGGCATGGGGAGGCATGGGATGAGCGGACTGAGCAGGGGAAGCCCCCCCGCGAAAGCAGGAAGGGAGGCGGGAAAAGGGGGAGTGTATGTTGTGGGCGGGTATTTGCTGTCTACTCTTCTAATGATTAAAGGAGCGGATGATAACGAGGATATGTATGAGGACGAGGAGGACTTAGGGTATGTGAGGCGGTCGGTGGGGAACGAGGAGCAGTTTATGCTTATAGAGGCGGACCCGGGGGATGATCCCGAGGACGCGGAGGAGGCGGAGGGCGCGACAGGCGGAAAGGGGGAAGGTGAGGGGAAAGCTGGTGGGGGGAAGGGGGAGCAGGGGAGCGCGGGTGGGGGCGGGGAAGGGAAGGGGAGCAAGGGGAAGGAAGCGGGGAAGGGTGGGAAAGAGGGGAAGCGGGATTCGGAAGGGGGGGATGAGGAGATGTATTTTTCCGGGGAAGACACTTATCAAGAAGCGGAAGGGGGGGAGGAAGGGGCGGAGGGTGACGGGGGAAGCGAGGCGGCAGGGAAAGGGCACCGATCGGTTCCGAGCTTTGGAGTGGTGGATGCGTGGGATGGGATGTTTGACAAAAGCGGGGCGGAGGGGACGAACGGCGCGCGGAACGGGGGAGGAGCGGAGGGGAGGGGCGCAGGCGCAGGGGCGCGGCAGAAGCGACAGAGCGGAAAGGGGCATCTGAGCGGGCAGCTAGAGGAGGGGGAAGAGGGTGAAGGGGACGAGGACGAGGGGGAAGAGGGGGAGGAGGGGGAGTTTTACGAGGGGCAGTCGGTGGGCGCTGATGCGGGGAGCTCCATGCTGGGGTCCGTGCAGGACCTGGATGAGGACTGCGCGCACCCCACCCCCACCGGCTCCCGCCCCCGCCTTGGCGTTCTCAGTGACGAGGAGGCGGAGGGGGAGGCGGAGGAAGGGGAGGATGGGCTGGGCAAGGGGATGAGGGAGATGGCGGAGGGAGGGGGGAAAACGGAGGGCGGGGGAAGGGGGGGTGGGAGCAGGGAGGCAGGTGAGGCGGATGGGGTGGAGATAGAGATGGGGGACGGCGGGGGCGCGGGTGCGGGGGAGGGCGCGGAGGGTCCGCGGAAGCGGCGGAGCTGGAAGGGCGGGGACGTGGGGAGTGCGTCGTTTGGGGTGGTGGACGAGGTGACAGGCGCGAGGGGAACAGGCTTGGGCGCAGGCGCAGGTGCGGGCGCAGGGTTGTTTGTGTCTACCGCAGTAGCGGCAGCAGCAGGACAGGGCGGCACTGCTGGGGCCGCCAGTGCCGCTGCTGATGCTGCTGGCGGGGGCAGTGGCGGGTTTGGCGATTCTTTCTCAGGCGGATTCTCCTTCCCCTCGCCGTCCAGTGAAGGGCTCTCCAGGGAGGGTTCTGGGTGGTCGGGAGGCGGGGGGACGCCTGGGGGGGACGCGGTGAATATCAGCCCTTCGGACACTCTGGGCGGAGGGGGGAGCGGAGCGGGGCGGGGGGGAGCGGGAGGGGGCGCGGGGGAAGCGGGGCTGGCGGATGAGCTGGCGAGCGGGCTGGAGCGGATGGGGAGCGTGGCGGATAGCACCCTGGAGGTGTGGAAGCGGCAGGCTAGTGGCACATTCGCTAAAGTCACTGCCATGGACTGGGATCCCCCTGCTGCTGCTGCTGCTGCCACTGGGGGTGCTGGCGCAGGTGGTGCTGCCGCGGGTGGTGCTGGTGCGGGTGGGGCCGGGGTGGGTGGTGAGGAGAAGAGGACGAAGAGTGGGGAGAAGAGGGAGGAAGGGGATGCGGAGGTAGGCGGCAAGGGCAGTGATGATATGCAAACGGATGGGGATGTTGCAGTGAAAGGGAGTGGGGGGAGTAAGAAGGGCAAGGGGAAGGGGACGAAGGGGGAGCAGGAGGGGAAGGATGGGGCAGGAAAGAAGGGGGATGAGGGCGAGGAGGAAGCGGGGGAGAAGGGGGAAGGGGAGGTGGAGGGGACGAAGAAGGGCGCGGAGGGGGAGGAGAAGGCGGGAGGGGGCGGCGAGGAGAAGGAGGAGTTTGAGATCTTCAACCTGCGGGTCATTCACCGCAAGAACAGGTGCGTGCAGATGGGATGGCCGACCATGAGTGGTTGGATGATGGGGGGTTGGGGGAGTGGGCAGAAACAAGTTTCACCCTCTGCATTTTGCCCCTGTGCCCGTTGGATGTTCACACAGCGAACAACACCCACCGTCCATTGCCCATGTCAAACCATTGGCCATGTCAAACCATTGGCCATGTCAAACCATTGGCCATGTCAAACCATTGCCCCTCCCCATCCCTCCTTTACCATCTCCCTCTCCATCTCTCTTCCATCTCCCCCTCCCTGACCACCCCCCCCCCCCCTGCCACAGCACCAGGGATGGGGTCAGGGCGTATCTCAGTTCGGGTCATGGGCACTGTTTGGGTCATCCAAGATTCTTGGACGACCAATAAGGCGCATTTCAGCTACACTACTGGAATACCATTGGTCCTCCTATGACCCAAAGTGGGCTTCCATGACCCGAAGTGGCCTTATGACCCGAACTGAGATACGCCCTCAGCACTCTTCAGCAAGGCCATGCAGACCGCTGAAGTGTGCATAGAGGCCAACCGCTCCTTTCCCCTCCTTGTCTGTTCCCCCACATGCCCACCAGAACGGGATTCGAAGAGGAGAAGGACTTCCCAGTGGTGCTCAACTCGGTGATCGCAGGGCGCTACTACGTGACAGAGTACCTGCGGTCAAGAGGTGACTTTTGAGTCGACTCAAAAGTCACCTTGACAGAGTACCTGCGGTCAAGAGGTGACTTTTGAGTCGACTCAAAAGTCACCTTGACAGAGTACCTGCGGTCAGCCGCCTTCAGCAAGGCGATTCAGGCGCACGATCTGCACACGGGCATGGACGTGTGCATGTGAAGCCAACTTCCCCTCTCCCCCTTGCCCTCTTTGCTTGTCGTCCTCTTCCCTTCCCCGCCTTGCATGCCACACCAGAACGGGGTTTGAGGAGGAGAAGGACTTCCCGGTGGTGCTCAACTCGGTGATAGCCGGGCGCTACTACGTCACAGAATATCTCGGCTCAGCAGCGTTCAGCAAGGCGATCCAGGCGCACGACCTGCACACGGGCATGGACGTGTGCATGAAGATAATAAAGAACAACAAGGACTTCTTCGACCAGAGTCTCGACGAGATCAAGCTGCTCAAGTTCATCAATCGGCATGATCCGGCCGATGAGCACCACCTGCTGCGGCTCTACGACTACTTCTACCATAGGGTGAGTCTGGGAGGGAGGGTAGGATGGAGGGAGCGCGCGAGGGGTGAGGGAGTGAGTGAGAGAGTGAGTGAGCGAGCAGGTGAGTGAGTGAGTGAGCGGGTGTGCATGAAGATCATAAAGAACAACAAGGACTTCTTCGACCAGAGCCTCGACGAGATCAAGCTGCTCAAGTTCATCAATCGGCACGACCCCGCGGACGAGCATCATTTGCTGCGCCTCTATGATTACTTCTACCACCGGGTGAGTGGGTGAGGGAGGGTAGGATGGAGGGAGCGAGCGAGGGGTGAGGGAGTGAGTGAGAGAGTGAGTGAGCGAGCAAGTGAGTGAGTGTGTGAGTGAGTGTGTGAGTCTGAAGATAATAAAGAACAACAAGGACTTCTTCGACCAGAGCCTCGACGAGATCAAGCTGCTCAAGTTCATCAATCGGCACGACCCCGCGGACGAGCATCATTTGCTGCGCCTCTATGATTACTTCTACCACCGGGTGAGTGGGTGAGGGAGGGTAGGATGGAGGGAGCGAGCGAGGGGTGAGGGAGTGAGTGAGAGAGTGAGTGAGCGAGCAAGTGAGTGAGTGTGTGAGTGAGTGTGTGAGTCTGAAGATAATAAAGAACAACAAGGACTTCTTCGACCAGAGCCTCGATGAGATCAAGCTGCTCAAGTTTATCAATCGGCACGACCCGGCAGACGAGCATCATTTGTTGCGCCTCTACGATTACTTCTACCACCGGGTGAGTTGGGCAGGGAGGGAGTGAGTGGGTGGGCGAGTGATAGAGTGAGTGAGTGGGAAGATCATAAAGAACAACAAGGACTTGTTCGATCAGAGTCTCGATGAGATCAAGCTGCTCAAGTTTATCAATCGACACGACCCGGCAGACGAGCATCATTTGTTGCGCCTCTACGATTACTTCTACCACCGGGTGAGTTGGGCAGGGAGGGAGTGAGTGGGTGGGCGAGTGATAGAGTGAGTGAGTGGGAAGATCATAAAGAACAACAAGGACTTGTTCGATCAGAGTCTCGATGAGATCAAGCTGCTCAAGTTTATCAATCGACACGACCCGGCAGACGAGCATCATTTGTTGCGCCTCTACGATTACTTCTACCACCGGGTGAGTTGGGCAGGGAGGGAGTGAGTGGGTGGGCGAGTGATAGAGTGAGTGAGTGGGAAGATCATAAAGAACAACAAGGACTTGTTCGATCAGAGTCTCGATGAGATCAAGCTGCTCAAGTTCATCAACCGGCATGACCCCGCGGACGAGCATCATTTGCTGCGGCTCTATGATTACTTCTACCACCGGGTGAGTCGGGGAGGGAGGGTAGGATGGAGGGAGCGAGCGAGGGGTGAGGGAGTGAGTGAGAGAGTGAGTGAGCGAGCAGGTGAGTGGGTGAGTGAGTGAGTGGGTGAGTGAGGAGCGCCTCCATTATATGCGAGCTGCTCCCCGCCAACCTCTACGAGTTTTACTCACAGCCCAACCCCCCTTGGCCCTCCTCTCTGCCCCTCTCTCTCCACCATCAGGAGCACCTCTTCATAATCTGTGAGCTCCTACGCGCCAACCTGTACGAGTTCCACAAGTACAACCGCGAGTCGGGCGGCGAGGCCTACTTCAACATGCCTCGCATCCAGGTATGTGCCACGTCAGCGCATCCAGGTGTGTGCCACGTCAGCACTTCCAGGTGCGTGCCACGTCAGCGCTTCCAGGTGCATGTCGCACATGATCAAGTGCGTCCTTATCAGGTGACTTCTGAGTGGAGTCTAAAGTTTCTTGATCAATTGTTGCACACACCTTCTTTCTTAACCGCCCTCCTCCCCTTCCTTCCCCTCCCTCCTCAACTCTCCTTAGTCCTGCACTTCACGCGCTGATTGGGTCTCATCAACTGCCTTGCAACCTAAAACCCCTTCCATCCTATCTCCCACTTCCCCCATGGGCCGTGCTCCCCCACGCTCCCCTCTCCCAGTCCATAGCGAAGCAGATCCTGCAGGCCCTGCGCTTCATGCACTCCCTCGGCCTGATCCACTGCGACTTAAAGCCCGAGAACATCCTCATTAAGAGCTACTCGCGGTGCCTCGTTAAGGTGATCGACATCGGCAGCAGCTGCTTCACAACGGACCATCTGTGCTCGTACGTGCAGTCGCGCTCCTACCGCGCGCCCGAGGTCATACTTGGGCTGCCGTACGGGCCCAAGATCGACATCTGGTCCCTCGGCTGCATCCTCGCTGAACTCTGCTCCGGACAGGTGAGGTGTCGATCTTGAGGGGAGGGGAGAAGAATAGGGGAGAGGAGTGGGGAGCGGGTGGCGGGAAAGCGCAGGAAGGAGAGAGGGGGGTGGAGAGGATGGGGGGACGTTGGGGACGGTGCGAAACAGGTGGGGCAGCACAGGGAACCACGTTTATAACGGAATCCATGCTCATACCGCGCTCCTCCTGCTTCCCCAACATACCAGGCACCATGCTCGTATGGGTGCACTGAACTCCTTTTTCCCGCTTGTTTCTCAATCGTGTTCCCCTTCATTGCATGCATTGCGTGCGAGCAGGTGCTGTTTCAGAAGGGCTCGGTGGCGACGCTGTTGGCTCGGGTGGTGGGCATCATATGGCCCATTGCTCCGCACGGCCTAGGATACCCACAAGCACACGTGCACACACTCACAAACCCCTTCTCTCCTGCACTCCCACGCTCCACCCCATCCCTCCCGTCTCCACCAGGTGCTGTTTCAGAACGACTCACTGGCAACGCTGCTGGCGCGGGTGGTGGGCATCATCGGTCCCATCGACCCGTGTCTGCTGCGCAAGGCCCGCGACCGCCACAAGTACTTCACCAAACGCAACGTGCTCTATGAACGCAACCCGGTGGGTGTGCAGTGCGGTGCAATGCAATGGGGTTCAGTGTAGTGCGGTCCAGTGTATGGTGTGCTTGCATGCTGCATGCCACTGCGCTGTGCTGCGCAAGGCCAGGGACCGCCACAAGTACTTCACCAAACGCAACGTGCTCTACGAGCGCAACCCGGTCAGTTTGAGTGCGGTGCAGTGTGGTGCAGCGCAATGCAGTGGTATGGGGTGCGGTGTGGTACTGTGTACTATTGCATGCTTGCATGCTGCATGCCGCTGTGCTGTGCTGCGCAAGGCCCGCGATTGCCACAAGTGCTTCACCAAACGCAACGTGTTCTATGAGCGCATCCCGGTCAGTGTGTGATATGGTGTGGTGCTGTGCGGTGCAGTGTGGTGGGGTGCAGCCTGTCAGTTCCTGGGTTATGGTGTGGTGTGGTGTGCTGTGTGGTGCTGTGTGGTGCTACATGATGCTGTCCTGTTCATAGTCTGAGTCTGCAAGGCCGAGCACCACCACACGAGATCACCATCCCCATTCCCCTCCCCCCATTCACCCAGCCTCCCCACACCTCCCTTTTTCCAGGGAAATCAAGCAGCTGAAGCCTCTCGACCCTCTCACCTCCACCCCTTCCCCAATGTGGGCCCACAGGAATCACAAGGGCTGGTGGAGTCGAGTCCGTCTCCCCTTCCCGTCCCCCCTTCCCGTCCCCCTCCTCAGGAGACGGAGCAGCTGGAATATATAGTTCCCAAAAGTACATCTCTCCAAAGGTGACCCTCATGGTCCCTACCGTAACCTCTCCTCAATTCCTGCCACCCTCCCCCCCCCTCTTCCCCACCATCCACAGGAGACGGAGCAGCTGGAGTATCTGGTGCCAAAGAAGACCTCCCTGCAGCACCGCCTGCAGCAGGACAAGCGACCCACATGGCCCCTATCATAGCCGTTTTCCTTCCCTTCTTCCCCTTTCCTCTCCCCCCATTTCCGTCCACAAACACAGGAGACGGAGCAGCTGGAGTAACTGGTTCCAAAGAAGACCTCTCTGCAGCACTGCCTGCAGGGGGGCGAGGCAACCCTGATGGATGGTTCCTACCGTTAACCTCCCCCCTACCCTCTCCTCCCACTCTACTCCACAGGAGACGGAGCAGCTGGAGTATCTGGTGCCAAAGAAAACCTCCCTGCAGCACCGACTGCAGCAGGGGGATCCGGGGTTTGTGCAGTTTGTGGCGTCGCTGCTGCACGTGGACCCGGACAAACGCCCCTCTGCCGCCCAGGCACTCAAACACCCCTGGCTCTCCCACCCCTATGACCCCATCACATGACCTGACCGTACCCCCATAACGACCCCATCGCATGACCATAGCACTGCGACTATAGCCATGTGGTAACTGTAACCATGACATGTTTTTTTCTCAAAAAGCTCGCATGTAGTGTGATGGGGACACAACTTGATGCCACGTGTAGTTGGTGGTGCTCCATGCTCTGGTCCGGTTGCTAGATAGATGGTAACAGCAAAGCGAGTGTGAGCCTTAGATCAGATGTTTCATAATGCGACTGGGAGGTTTCCCAACCCTTGCAGGCCTGCATGCCAGACAGACAGCTATGGTACCGTAGCTCTTCTTTCTTCTGCTCTGTGCTGATTGTGGCCCTTCTGTACCCCAGGGGCCGGAATCTTGCCTTTGTGTGAGCACCGCTATTCTATATAATTCCCAAGAACTTGTGAGTATTATTAATGAAAACTATGGCTATTGCTAAGAACAATGTACAGGTATAACACTCTAAAAAAAAATGGTAAATCCCCCCCATGGCCAGGATGCTTTGTGGTAAGAACAGGCAAGATGCCATGATGATCCTAGGGGCATGGGGGTTTGATTCTAAGCAAGGTTGAGTGCGGTGTAGAGGAACTAAACCTTACAGATTAGAAACAGCATATCCATGCTGGCAAATCAAGTAATTGGCAATAGGAGTTACCTACTTGCAAAACAAGTTGCACTGCACTGCACATCAGCATGCGACGGATTCAACCGGAGCAGCCTCTACCAAATGAACGCCACGGGCATGAGTGTGCTTGGAGAGAACACCATGGCGCAAAACAAGACATACTCGCCAGCTCATGTGCAGCTGTGAGAGCAGAGCACACACGTCACTTGCAGCAGTGCTGGCGAATCCACGGATGCTCTGCAGGGGAAGAGAGGAAAGGAGAGGCGAGAGTGAGAGTGAGAAGGGCGGCAGCACAGAGAGGCAAGAGTAAAGAAGGCCAGAGAGAAGGAGGGTTGATATGGTCAGGTGGCTCGTAGAGCAACACCCACCCCACCATGCCCCTTCAAGCCAATCGGCTTAGCCCCTTCAGACCGATCACCTACCGGACCTCTTATCCACCAGACCTGTCACCCACCCACCACCGAGCCTACCACTCACCCACCCACCACCGAGCCTACCACTCACCAAGCACTTGCAGTGCGGAAATCCTCTTTTCAGGGTCCCTCGTCAGCATCCTTGCCACCAGGTCCCTTGCCAGGTCCACCACCCACCACCCACCCATCACCGACTCTACCACTCACCGAGCACTTGCGGTGCAGAGATCCGTTTCTCGGGGTCCCTCGTCAGCATCCTCACCACCAGGTCCCTTGCCATGCCAGGCCTACCACCCACCCATCACCGACACTACCACTCACCGAGCACATGCGCAGCAGAGATCCTCTTGTCAGGGTCCCTCGTCAGCATCCTCACCACCAGGTCCCTTGCCATGCCAGGCCTACCACCCACCCATCACCGACACTATCACTCACCGAGCACATGCGCAGCAGAGATCCTCTTGTCAGGGTCCCTCGTCAGCATCCTCGCCACGAGGTCCCTTGCCGCCCCGGACACCGCCGCCCACCGGAAGTGGCCGAACCGCAGCGGCTGGCGCAGCACGGCATCTTCTGTGGAGCGCCCCTCACGGCGGGACGGCCAGAAGGGGAGCACCCCGGAGAGCATGACAAAGAGCACGACTCCTGCACTCCACACGTCCACCTGCGGGGAGTAGCGGCCGCCTGAGAGCACCTCTGGAGCCATGTACTCTGTCGTGCCTGCTGTGTGCCTGCACATGCCGTCTGGTGGGGTTGGGGGGGTGGAGTTGGGTTGGAGATGGGGCGGGGTGGATATCGGGGTTCAACAGCTGTTGTGGGATGATGGGGCGGGCGGCGAGTTGAGAACGTGTGATAGTTTGGATGGGTTGTAACAGCAAGCGAAGCACGAGGAGGCGATTGGGAATTGAGGAGGTGTGGGAGGGGTGGTTGGGCAGGGGAGTGGTAGGTAGGCATGGATGGAAGTGTGGGGGGAGAGGAGATAGGCACAGACGAGGGTTCTGGGCTTACCATGGTCAAGGAAGGCAGCCACGCCAAAGTCAATCAGCTTGATGTGCAGATTGCACTCCCCGCCATCAAGAAACGACCCTGCACCGCTTCCCACCGCAGCTCCTCCCAGGCGATCGCCAACGGCCCCATCACACAGCTGTGCACCGCTCCCCTTTCCAATCGCTGCACCCATCGCGCTGCTCCCCATGCTGCCCGTGCCACGCGCAGCAGCGGTGGAAGAAGAAACAAGGAGGATGTTTTCGGGCTTGATGTCACGGTGCACGATGCCTGTGGAGTGGCAGTGCAGCAGCGCTCCCACCAGCTGCTGCAGCAGCCGTGCGGCTAGCGGCTCCGGGAGGTGCTTCCTGGCCTTCACTGCGTCGAAGAGATCGCCGCCCGAACAGAGGTCCATGATGAGATGGATGGACTGGGGGAGAGGGGGGAGGGAGGTGCGGGAATTTGAGAGGATGCGATTCAATGGAGTGGAAATAAGATGCTTTTAGTGAGGGATGAGAGGAATGAGAGGGCATGGGATGCTTGCTTTGCGAATGGTCCGGTGACTCACCTTAGGATCTCCACGCCTCACCTTGGGATCTCCACGCCTCACCTTAGGATCTCCACGCCTCACCTTGGGATCTCCACGCCTCACCTTGGGGTCTCCACGCCTCACCTTGGGATCTCCACGCCTCACCTTGGGATCTCCACGCCTCACCTTGGGGTCTTCAAGAACCTCCTTGAGTCCAATGATGTGTGGGTGCCCCTTGAGCATGTGCAGCATCACCACCTCACCTTGGGATCTCCACAAACTGACCTTGGGATTCCCAGCGCACCACCTTGGAATCTCCACTCACTCCCTGACCTTGGGATCTCCGCGCCTCAACTTGGAATCTCCACTCACTCACTGACCTTGGAATCTCCACGCCTCACCTTGGGATCTTCCAGGACTTCCTCGAGTCCAATGATGTGCGGGTGGCCCTTGAGCATGTGCAGCATCACCACCTCCTGCCTTACATCCGCTGCATCCTCCACGCACTGCAGCTTCTTCTTCGAGATGGACTTGCACGCGTACGCGCGGCGCGAGCAGCGCTCCACACATGTGTGGATGCGGCCGAACATGCCCTCGCCTATGCGCCCCCTCACCACGTGGTACCGCCGCTGTAACGCCTCGTATGGCATGCCCAACACACACTCCCTGAAACTGCCATCCCCGTCGCCATCAGCTTCGGCAGCACCGCCACCACTGCTACCTGCATTGCCCCCATCACCAGCAGCTGCAGCAGCAGCAGCAAAACCACTGCCACCAGTGCCACCAGCAGCAGCATCACCAGCAGCAGCGGCAGCAGCAGCAGCTGCACGAGCAGCGGCCGCAGTGGTAGCAGTCACTCCTCTCGCCAGCCGCACCCGCCACTCTTTCTCCGCACCCCCACCCTCTGCTCCTGCCAACCCCGACCAGCTCCCCCCACCTCTCCACCCCCCTTCCTCTCCCCCTTCCCCCTCCTCATCCCCCTCCTCCTCCTCGTCCTCCTCCACATCCCACTTCCTCCCATTCCTCGCACCACCAATCCCAAGCCCAGTTCTCTGGGGAGACAACCCAACGCCTGACCCTTGCCTCCCAAAGCTAAATCCTCTTTCTGCCCCACCTGACGCCCTCTCCTCCCGGGGTCCGGAAACATAGTCCAGAGGGCTCGTGCAGGAGCTTGACTTGACTCGGCTGATTCCGCTGCTCCTTTGGTCGCGTTGACTGCGTTGACTGCGTTGACTGCGTCGACTGCCTTGACTGCTCTGGCTGCAGTATTTACTGGAGCGAGCCAGGCCGGTGCGAGGGAGCGGGCCAGACATCGACCCTGCGGTTGGCGCAGCAGAATCAGCACCAGCGGCAGCAGCAGCGGCGGCAGCAACGTCAACGTGTGCATGGCCAGCATCATCACTAGCAAACGTGACGTCCGCGTGAGGATCAGCATGGGTGTGAGCACGTGCAAGGGCAGTGCGGAAGGCGGCGAGGGTGGAGGCGGAGGAGGAAGAGGAGGCGAGTGAGTGGCGCAGCAGGTGGCATGACGTCAGCAAGGCCTCAATCTCCTTCCCTTTCTCACTCCTACCACCACCACCCTTGCTCCCGCCGCCACCGCTGAAGCCATCACCACCGCTGCTCCCACCACCAACGCTGCTGTCCCCGTTAATACCAATGGCGCTGCCACCACTGCTGCTGCTCCTGATCAGCTCGCGCCAATCCCGCCACTGCTGCCCGCCCCTGCTCCACCCCGTGCTCCCATGCATCGCCCTCTGCTCCCAGGCATCCTGACTCTCGTTATAGTCACCGCCCTGCTCCTGATACACGCCACCTCTCCTGCTCGCGTTCTCCACGTCCGCAGCCCCTCCCATCGACCTTCGCCGGTGCGCTGACGTGGCATCAAGCTCCTGTGCGTGTGATGGGTGTCGCAAGAAGGTGGTCGAATCTCCCACCAATGAGCGCTGCTGCTGTTGCTGCCGTTGCTGCCGTTGCTGCCATTGCTGCTGTTGCTCCCACTGCTGCAGTCTTGGCTCCTGCGTCGCCTGCTCTCCTCTCACCTCCCTCTCTGGCGCCACACCCACTCGTTCCATGTGTGCGTACATATCCGTCATGCTGCCGCCCACGCGACCACTCAACCGCCCACCCACCTGAAAAGCCACCTGACCAGTCCTCGCACCACCCACGTCACTGTCAGCGTCACCATGGCACTGCACGTGAGCAGTCGCGGCGTGCCCCTTCCTGCTGCTGCTGCTGCCACCGCCGCCCAGCGCCACGTCAGCAGCGGGGGGGCTGTCGAGCGCGTCGAGGAACGCGAGGGAGAGCTTGAGGGCGTGCCTGTGCGGCGCGGGGGCGGGGGGAGGCGACGGGGGAAGCTCGAGCGCGTGCCTGTACGCGGCCAGGGCGTGCAGCGGTGAGGGAAGCTCGAGGGCTTTCCTAAGCGCTCTGGGAGGCGAGCTGGGGGGGGGACGGCGGAAGGCCCTAGGGGAGTGTGCTGACGTGGGAACGCACGCGCGCAGGGCTTCAGGGGAGGAGAGCAGGGGAATCTCTCTGCTGCGCTCATCGTCCGCTTCCTCCCCCTCCCCCTTCCTGCCGCTGCTGCTGCCGCTGCCACCGCGACTGGTACTGCCGCTGCCGCCCTGCCTGCCCCACCTGCCGCTGCCGCTTTTGAGCAGCTGCCGGCGCTCGCGCGGCGTGAGGAGCGCGGGCGACGCGAGCGACGGCGCGGGGTCCAGGTGGCGGCTGCTCGCCGCCTTGAGTAGCCGCCTCCCCCGCTCGCCCCCCGCTTCCGCCGCCGCGTCATGCCCGCTCCCATACACCTGCTGCTGCTGCCACGGGTGCTGAGAGTGATGATCTGCCGATTCCACCCGTCGCAGCAGCAGTCCTGCTCCGCGCGCCTGCCGCCCATTCCGGTCCGCCGCGGCGCCCGCCGCATCGCACGCTCCCGCTCCACCCATTACCCTCTCTCTAGACCCGTCGAACCTCTTAAAACATTCGACCCCCCCATTGACAGCCCTCGTCGCCGTAGCCCTAGCATGCCCATCTGTTCGTTGCTTTGCATCCCCACCGCTCCCCAAGCCCGTTGCGCCAGAATCTCCGGGGACACCGCCGCTGCTCTCCTCCCCCGCGCCCTGCGGAAGCAAGTCGAACGTCCGCGACTTGCGCGGACCGCCCAGAAACCGGTTTTTCCGCGCCTCGCCCCCGCTGCCGGTTCCGAGGGGTTCATTTAGCGCGTTCCTGTAACGCGTTTCGATCGCGCCCCGGCGCTCCGATTCTTCTGTGGCTAATATTGAGTCCTCCCCTTGCCCGACCCGCATCGCGCCGCTGCCGCGATCGACGGGAAAGTGCGACACGGCGTGGCTGGTGCCACCCGCTACGGTCTGTGCTAAAGGCGCATCGAAAAGCGAGAGGGCGCCGTTGCCGCAGAGAGCGTTTGGCGGTGAGCTCGCTTCGTCCAGCGGATCGAACGCGAGAATCGCGCCGCTGCTCATAATTCCGCGGCTGCTATTGATGCTGCCGTCATTGCCGCCGCTGCCACTGCGACGCGTGAGAATAGGTTTCGCTCCGAAGGAGGAGAGCGCGGAACGGGGAGAATACCCCCTAGAGGAAGCTGACGGCGTGGGGGGGCTCTCCGGAGAAGGCGGTTCCGCGGAGTCGGCCGCCGCCGTAACCACCGCGGCCGGCCGCGAGGCGGAGTCGCGAGGCGGCGTCGGCAATCCGAAGGCGGGTAACAATCCCGAGCCGGAGGATGACGATGCGGAGCCGTGCCGGCGGTGGAAGCGGGGATGGGTGCTGCTTAGCCGTTGGGACGGGGCTGCATGGGGCGGGGAGGGGGTGGCGGCGGGATGGTGAAAAGAGAACCCGCCCTTCCCCTCGAGTCCTGACGACGACGACGATGCGCGCTTCAGCCGCCGCGCTTCCGCCAATGCCGCTGTGGCGGTGACGACGGCGAACGACGAGGCGGCGGAAGCGGGGTCCTGCGCGAGCGGCGGGAGGTGGCGCGTCGAGCGCCGACTGCGCGCGTAGGCGGAAGGAACGCCAGCCGGAGAGGCGGAAGAAAGGGTGGGGTTCGACGGCCCGCCGGTCCAGCGACAGCTTCCGCCGAGCCGCTCACTCTCCGGAGTCAACGCGGAACTGCCACGTGGCGAGCTCCCGAGTGATCTTATTCCCCGTCCGTGAGGACTTTGCGGGGTGCTTCGAAAGGGGCTAGTCTGGTATGGCTCAAGCGACGGGCTGCTAGGATGCGGCTCGAGAGATGGGCTAGTTGTTGGATTTTGAGGATTCTCGAAAAGAAAAGGGCTAAGATGTTGCTCGGATGGCGGGCTAGGAGGCGGCGAGGGGAAAACGCAGTGATAGGAGGGGGAGGAGGGGCACGGAGGGGAAGCACTAATGGCGAATGTGGGAGACAGAGGGTCAGCAGCAATCGAGCCGAAGATCTCATAAGACGACCGCGACGCGCCGTCGGTCACGGTGACGTCAATGCTTCTCGAAGGGCGCCGCGGTACGCTGAGCGAATCACTGTGGTCGAGTAGAAACGGGGGCGTGGAGCGTGGCGAGAGGAAGGAGGTAAATTGAGGAGAGCCGACAGGAGACGAGAGAGACGTGGGGAACGCGACGGCGGCACTAGGAGGGCTTTTGCGACTGCTGCTGCTTCTGCTGCTCGCGGGAGGAACGGCGACAGGCGACGACGACCCAGAAGCAGAGGGAGAGGACAACGCGGATGGGGCATGAGGGGAGGGGTCGGACGCGGCAGGCTCGGCGGGACAGGCGGAAGAGTCTGAAATCGGTCGGCTGATGCGCCACGACTCGAACGAAGGCTCGTTGAAGCTTCTACGGCGCGACCGGCCTGCTGGAGGTCTGTAATCAGGCGCTGCGAATTGGAGCTTGGCGCCGCGCTCCGCGGGATCGCTGCTGAGAATCATGTCCGCTCGCGGCGCTAAAAGCATTCCCATTCTGGGAGACAGCTGCTGCTGCTGCTGTGGTTGCCAACACGCTGGGTCGCAGAGCACTTGCCGTCAATCACAACGAGCCTAAAGAGGGATTGAATCACACGGTTAGCGTTCCATGTCAGTCAGATTGGTTCGTTTCACATCTGTCGCGTTCCTGTGTGTTTGGACGAGGTTCGGTTGGGTGACAAGGCTTCGACGACGTCCTGCATGTTGTCCTCCGACGCCAGAATTTTCTGAACATACTCCGAGGTCTCGACGGGTTGAATCTCAAGTTTGGCAGGAAATATGTTGCTTGCTTGCATGACTAGATAAGGCGTTTCAGCAGTGCTACTGTAAGGTTGCGCCATAGACGGAGAGGTTCCACAGAACGATGAATACAAACATGCTTGGGAAGAATGATCCAGCAGGATGGGATGGGACGCTTCTGCTGAGATAAACGGTGCAGTCTGGTACCCAATGGTCGAAAGCGGCGGAAGCTGATCATCGTTCTTGACCCTGAGTTAACGTACTGAACCGCGCTAGACGATCCCCGAACAAAATTATATCGACCAGCACTCAGAAGAAGCAATGGACGCATTTCAATGACTGATTGCTGCGCTTCCCCAGTGCGGCACAGTAGAGCAATCTGCCAGATGGACGTGGTCACTGCTCACTGGTCGGATTGTGGGAGGGGTAGGGGAGGTGAGGGGAGGGCGAGGGCACGGGAAGGGGAAGGGAGGGGAGAAGGTGAGAGCGATCGGTGTGCGTGGGGTCGGATGGGGTGGAGTGGATGAATGGGTGAGATCAAGCGAAACCGACAGCCGCCGCGAGGCGAAATCAGGGCAGCGGGGAAGGCAACTGCCGTGCCGACTCGCCAGCAATACAAAGGGCGGGAGCATCTTGTAAAGGTTTTGAGGGTATAAATTAGGGGTAAAAATATCTTCTGGGGCTAGAGAATTCGAGTCTAGGTCTCAGCGCCTTTTATGAATAATTAACGACTTTTGTGTGCCATTTCCTCACCAGAAAGGGTACGGTGCAAGCTATGCTGTCACATAATGCTCAACTCCATCCACACACGCTGTAGATGTTGAAGGGAAGCCGGACTGGAGTGCATTAAAAATCAGGCAAGCTAGAAAACAGTATTGGACAACCCCGACAACTCGTGCTGGCCAAATGGTACAACAGTACACTGAAATCTTTTCCTCCACCCGTGGTCTTTCTGTTTCTTCCCCATCGATGACAGCCTCACACATGTCGATGAAGCCTCTGACTGAAGTGAGCCCGTGGTGGTGGGAAAAGGGCAAGGTACTGAACCAATCAGACTGCGCCTCCTACGCACTGGACACCACTGTCACGAAAGCTGCCCAAACCCAGCATGGAAAATGCTGCAGCGCCACGCGCGCCGCCAACGCAGACAAGTCAACTCACCTCACGTTGAACATGAGGTGAACAGTCGCAGTCAAGTCGACTGGTCCGTTGGAGTGTTTCGTTACTGTATGATCCAGTGAGGGTATTCGTCCACCAATAAATGGCCGAGGAACTGATGAAGTATCCTTGTTGCAGTGCGAGCATTTATGAGGGCCATGTGCAACTCGAAGCTTCGTCCGGAATTGCTCAGGTTAGCAGCTCAACACTACCTTCCTCAAGAGCTGCCTCACGCTCACTATACGGTCAGTGCTCTTTCTATGTACTCCATTTAGCTCCACATACCTAATCAACATTGTAGGTTCACATTGCCATTGTAAAAAAAAACTGAGAAAGGCGTACCAATACCAGTTTTTCAGGCGAGCAAGTCCCAACTTTCAATACTTCCATTTTGGTTTATGCCTTTGCTTAACACTAGTATCACTCAAACGCTGTTGCCAGAAACCAGCCACACTGAGCTTGACTGACTTATAAACAACCAACCCATAAGAAAGTGAACAAACACAATTCACCAGTTTTACACGTCCACGTGGTAAGCGCCACAACATGCATCCGTATAGAATCATCTGAGGAGGATTCATCACAGTCGTTGAATCCAGGGGTGCTGCAGCACCTGGTGCAGCTCTATGCGCCTCCCAGGATCCTTTTCCAGCATGCGCCGTAGCAGGTCAACTGCTGGAGGCGACAGCTGCACATGCCACACACCCGCCTCCACCTCACCCTCCACCCCGGTGACTCCATCACCACTACTCCCATCACACCCACTCCCATTTGCCCCACTGGTGCCTGCTCCAGGCGCACTGGGAGCTGCTTGTGATACTGACTCCGTACCCACCACGCGTGCCTGTGACACAGCCGCTTGCCCTGCCATTGATGCCTCATACCCATCCGTGCTCTGCCTCTCCCCTTCCCCACACACCCCCTCCGCCCCTCCTGTGACTGCCTCTGCTGCAGCAGCAGCAGCTGAAGTGGCGACAAGAGGCGGGGACAGATTGAAAGAGGGAGAGCACTGGGAGGCAGCTGACCCGGGTGAAGACGCAGCAGACGATGGTGCTGACGCCAAACTCTCCCCTGACATCCCTGCACCGGGCGGCTCCGTGCCGGCCGGCAGCACACTGGGCGGCACAGCTCTGGGCGGCAGTGACTCCCCATCCAGTTGTGTGTGGGCGGCTGTTCCAGCAAGAAGGGCGATGGGGTCGTTGAGGATGGAGGAGGAGAGCGCAGCAGGGGAGGAGGCGTGGAAGGGCAGGCGGGTGGAGAGCAGGAGGTGCAGCAGGACCCCGAGGCTCCACACGTCTGCTGGTGGCCCGTACCTCCCCTGTATCATCTCCGGTGCCCTGTATGCTGGTGCGCCCACTGCCTCTGTGTGGAAGCGACCTGATCACCATGCATGCATGGAACGATTGAGGGCACAGGGGGGTGGTGGATGAGCGCTCGTGCATCATGGGAACTTCAGTTCAGGTTTTAATGCAGGCAGCAAGGGACGTCCGGAATGGCACGAATGGATGCAAAGGAAGCACCCCCTCACCACGTCCTAAGCTTACCAGGTTCAAAGAAGGTGGCGTGTTGGAAGCCAGATAGGCGCACGTCCACAGGGCAGCCCTCTAGCCCCAACAGCAGCACAGCCTCCGCTCTCACCCCCCGATGCACCACCCCCATCTCATGGCACTCCGCCAGACCTGCCGCCACCTGCCGAACCACAGCTGCAGCGTCAGGCTCGGAGAAGGTCTGGCAGGAGGCCAGCCGGTCAGCGAGGCTGCCTCCGGGACAGTGCTCCAATACCATGTGGATGGCCTGGCGGTGGGGGGGGAAGGGGGGGTGGGGGGGGTGAAGGGGGCGGGGGAATCGGTTTTTGAATTGACTAGATACTATGAAGCTGCCTCCAGAACAGTGCGCCAATACCATACGGATGGCCTGGTGGTGGGGGGGAAAGGGACAGGGATTTTTTTTTCGCCTCAATAAAAAATGCTGCCTGATTTCCCCCAAGCCACCTGCTCTCACCCAAAGCCCACCTTCTCCCCCCCCACCCTCGTGCTTCCCCCAAGCTCACCTGCGTGTCTTCAAAAGCGCGCAGCATGGTAACCACATGCGGTGCCCCCCGCACCATCTCCAGCATGGCCACCTCAACGCACCTGCCTGGCTGCCCCCCCCCCACTCACCCGCTGCTCCTGCACCTCACCTGCTCTCCCCTCAACCTGTTCTCCCCCCAACCTCACCTGCGTGTCATCAAAAGCGCGCAGCATGGCGACCACATGCGGTGCCCCCCGCACCATCTCCAGCATAGCCACCTTCCGCCCCACCGCACCTGCTCTCCCCCCACCTCACCCTTCTTAACTCACCTGCGTGTCTTCAAAAGCGCGCAGCATGGTAACCACATGCGGTGCCCCCCGCACCATCTCCAGCATAGCCACCTTCCGCCCCACCGCACCTGCTCTCCCCCCACCTCACCCTTCTTAACTCACCTGCGTGTCTTCAAAAGCGCGCAGCATGGTAACCACATGCGGTGCCCCCCGCACCATCTCCAGCATAGCCACCTTCCGCCCCACCGCACCTGCTCTCCCCCCACCTCACCCTTCTTAACTCACCTGCGTGTCTTCAAAAGCGCGCAGCATGGTAACCACATGCGGTGCCCCCCGCACCATCTCCAGCATAGCCACCTTCCGCCCCACACCCTCCACCGCTGCTGCACTCCTGAGAGCCGCCTTGCACAGGGTGCGGCACCAGTACTGCCTCCCAGTCCTCATGCACACGCACACCCGCTCCACCACCCCCCCCGCTCCAGGCGCCACTGCTGCTGCCTCTGCTGCCTCTGCTTCCTCTTCCATGCTGTATGCCGCATGCACGTTTGCATACGGCCGGCGCAGCACGTACCACCTTGCACTCTCCACTCCTGGCTCCTCCTCCTCCTCCTCCTCCTGCTGCTGCTGCTGCTGCTGGCTCCACTTCTCACCCTGCTTGACCTTAGACCGGGCTTTCTCTGACCTCCTGACTTGACTGTCGCCGGTGCTGCCACTACCACCACTGCTGTTGTTACCGTTGCCGCTGTTGCCACTGCTGCCGCTGTTACTGCTGCTACTCGCCTCGATAAGGTCGGAACAGGAGGACGGAGACGAGGAGGAGGAAGGAGAGGAGGAAGGGGAGTAGGAAGTGGAAGAAGCAGGACTAGACACCTCCTCCCCAAAAGAACACTCACCAACCTTCACCCCACCACCCCTCCTCTCACCACCATTCCTCTCACCACTCCTCCTTTCTGCACTGCTCCTCTCACCACCCTTGGTCTCACCCGCCTTCCTCTGCTGCACCCCGCTTAGCCGACTGCCAGCATGCTTCGCACTGCCACCATCACGAACCTTCTGGGAAGCAGCAACCTGCCCAGCACCCGCAGCAGCAGAGGAGCAGAGGGCAGAGGGCGGGGAGAGGGAGCGGCGGTTACCACTCCCGTGAGAGCGAGCAACAGCAGGGAACGATCCTGAAAGGGTGTGTTGCTCGTTGCAAGGGACTGAACCATACTTGCTGATTCGAACCACTCGTTTCATTGGCTCACTGAACCCGCCTGCCCTTCCCCGAGCCTCTGCAGCAGGCTCGGGAGCGGCGGCTGGTGCAGGCTCGGTGAGAATGGCTGGTTCGGTAATGGCAAGTGGGGCCAAGTACGGGGTGGCGGGTCGCCGGAGGAAGGAGGAGTTGCTGTGAGTCGCCTCAGAAGCAGCATTGCGAGCTCCAGGTGCCGCTTCAGGTGCCGCTTCAGGTGTCTCCTCAGTTGTCTCCTCATGTGTTTTCTCAGGTGCCACAGCTGAGGGCAGCATTGGGGATGGCTTCTGAGACGCAGCAGTCTCAACAGCAGCAGCTGACGAAACCACTGGGGATTGACTGTTGAGAGCAGGGGAGGCGAAGGCGAGAGAGGAGGACGAGGAGGGAATAGAGGAGGAAGAAGAAGGGAAGGAGGAGGAGGAAGGGATGGAGGAGAGGGAGGAGATGGAGGGGGAGGAGGAGGAGGGTGAGGGGACCAGAATGGTTGGAGGGGCTTTCCAGGAATGTGGGATCTGCACTCTCCGATTCACATGCTCCCTGCTCCTTGCTGCTGCCTCCACTATCGCTCCCAATCCTGCCGCACCACTCGCAGCCCCAGCACCCCCTGTACCAGCTGCTCCTGCGTCTGATGCTGATACTGCAACTGAAGTCAATACGGACCCGGCTGCTGATTCAGACACAGAGGAAGGCACGGCACCCCACTGCTCGTCCCGCTCGCCTATGCGCGCCAGCCCGCGCTCCTGCGCGCTGCTGCCCTTCATCAGCCTGCGCCCCCGCGAGCCCCCAGCAGCACCACCAGCGGCGCCCGGCTTGCCAGCGTCCACGGACCGGCTCGACGGGAAGCGACAGCTGGCAGCACTGCCAGCGCTGCCAGCAGTGGTGCTGCCGCCAGCAGCAGCAGCAGCAGCAGCAGCAGCAGCAGCAGCATCGCCAACCAATGTACTCCCAGGCGAAACGCTCCTTGCGTCTGCAGCTCCGGCTGTGCTTGTGCTTGTGCCTGTGGCTGCGGCTGCGGCCGCGGCTGCGCTGCCACTGTCTCGCACGCGGGGGGAGGGACCCTTCTGACCGCATTCGAAGCCCACTCGAGGCGAGGGCGCCCTCTGCGTTGACTGTGTTGACTCGTGGGGCGCGGTGGGGGAGGGGGCGCGCCTGAGGGAGGCTTTGACGAGGCCGCGAGTGAGGGGCGAGGCGGAGGGGAGCGAGGAGGAGAGGGGACCGGAGAATGAGGAGGAGGGGAGGGGGCCGGAGAAGGGAGAGGTGGAAAGAGGGCCAGAAAATGGGGAGGAGGAAAGAGGACCGGAGACGGGGGAGGAGGTGAGAGGACCGGAGACGGGGGAGGAGGAAAGAGGACCGGAGAAGGGGGAGGAGGTGAGAGGGCCGGAGAAGGAGGAATGCGGAGGAGAGGGGCCAGGTGAGAGCGGTGGAGGCGAGACAGGCGCAGGAGGCGGGTGCGACAGCGGCAGCTTGTGAGACGACTCTGACGCCAGGTGCAGCAGTGGCAGCGGGCTGGAGAAGCTCTGCTTCACCGCTGTATGCGAGTGTGCGTGTGAAAGGGAGTGCGAGTGAGAGTGTGACTGTGAGTGCGAGTGAGAGTGTGAGTGAGTGTGCGAGTGAGAGTGTGACTGGCTCTCGTCCCTGCCTGCACTACGCGCGACACCATGGGCCATGCCATGGACGACCGATCGCCTGCCTATCCGCTGCTGCCGCTGCCACGCCTCCCCATGCTGCTCCCTCCCCTCCCTCCCTTCTCTCACCTCCCCCTCCGCCGCGGCAGCACAACCCACTCTACCACCTGACCACTTGCCAAACCCCACGCCTACCATGCCCCTGCTGTCCCACGACACGCTCTTACTCACCTCCCTGCTCGCCCCCTCCCTGCCCGCGCCTCCCCGCTGCCTCCCCCTCGCCGCCGCGCCACCACCCGCGCCTCTCCCCCCGCCGCCCTCTCCCCCGCTGCCTCCGCTGCTGCTGTCCCTGCCGTCGCCGCCGCCGCCGCCGCCGCCGCCGCCGCTGCCGCGGCCGCGAATGGCGCTGAGATCGAAGCTCCGGCTCACGGGAATGCGGCCAGACTGCGGCTCGCCGGTATAGCTGCTGCTGCTGATGGCGCCGCTGCTGGCGCTGCTCGTTATAGCGCCGCCAGCGCCGGTGCCGGCACCGCTGCTGCTCCTGTTCTTCCCCACACTGAAGATGCTGCTTCCGCCTCCGCTTGCGCCCCCGCTGGTGCAGCGCGGACTGCTGGCGGAAACAGGCGGGCTGATGGGGATGCGCGCGAGGGAAGCACCACCGGGGAGGAGCGCGCGGGGGGAGGGGGAGGCGGAGGGGGAAGCAGGCGAGGGGGAGGAGGCAGAGGGGGAGAGCGAGACTAAGAGATTCCGCGCAGCGTCTGGCTTCTGCGCCGGCCTTCCCCGCGCGCCAAAGACCGTGACCCCCAGTGGTGCGGATGACCGCGGGGACAGAGGCGGAATGCCGCTGCGCCTCTGCGCCTGCCCTTCCCCGTGCCGCCACGCCTGCACCGCGTCCGCTCCGCCTGTTGCGCCCAGCGTTCCGCTTTCAGCGGCCAACCCTCCGCCTGTTGCGCCCGTAGAGGCGGCCGTGATGCGAACCGCGGCGGAGATGTGGCGCTGGGATAGCGCGGAACCAGCATCCCCTTCCCCCCCTACCCCCCCTCCCCCCGCTTCCCCTGTCTCTCCGCCTTCTCCGCCTCCAGATTCGTCGGGAGCGCCTCCGCGCGCGTGCGACAGCATTTGAATGTGCGCGAGGGAGAGCGGGGGGGAGTTTCCGCCAGCGTACAGGGCGAGCGGCGGGGGAAGGGACGGGGAGGGGGAAGGCGAGGGGGAGGGGGAGGTGGACGAGACGCAGTGGGGAGACAACGGGATGTCTAGGCGGGAAAACGTTTGCACGCGGGATGGGGCTGGAACGGGCGTGGCAGTAACGGGGGGAGGGCCGGGCGCGGGAGTGAGTGCATGAGGGGCGAAAGTAAAGGGGGATACGGAAAGCGACGCGCTGCGGCTTCGGATGCGCAGATACGCCTCGCGCCGGCTCCGCGCGTCCTCCAGCAGCGCCTGCACGTGGCTGCGGGGGGGAACCATCCCCGCGCCTGCGCCTGCGCCCTCACCCCCAAGTCCCCCGATTCGTCCCGCCTGCCCCTCGTCGCATTCCCCTGCGCTCCCCCAGCCCCCCCTTCGGCTACTAACTGCCTGAATCCCGCCGCTTTGGTTGGCAAAATCAACGGCCTTTTCCGCCTCCGCGCTTCCCCTCCGCGCGCTAGGCAACGCGTCAGCGCCCGACTCCCCGGCAGCGGACATCCTCCCGCCATCTGCGCCGTCCGCGCGCGCGTTGCGCGGAGCTTGTCCGCCGACCAGCCCCCGCGCGTGCGCGTGCCTGGACATAATTGGCATGATGGCGAGCGCGGTGGCGGCTGCTGACGTGGCATCCGTAACGGGAACGGCAATGGGGACGGCGGAAGACGAGGTGGAGGAAGTGCGGGTGGGGGAAGAGTCGGACGGGGGGGAACCGGGGGACCCCGCGAGGGGAAGGGGGAAGGTGGCGGAGTGCGCGGGGGGGGAAGGGCTGGCGGGAGGGGAAGCGGCGGACGAGAGAGGGAACACTGATGAGAACGCAGCGGAAGCCGCGGACCCTGCGGGAGCGGCGGATGCACCCTTATCCGATGGACCGGCGGACGGTGCCGATTTGGCGTTGCTGCCACCTTGCTGTCTCCCGTTCTCGCCGCGTCCGCTCTGCGCCTTGGCGCGCCATTGCGACAGCACCGCCAGCGCGCGGCTTACCTCCTCCGGCGGATCTACGGGCAGCGCTGCTTCCGCGAAACTTCCCAACACTCCCGCCTTGTCAGACGCCGTCTGGATGGCATTTCGGCCCGCGATCCCACCGGAGGAGATTTTATCCGTAGATGGAAAAGCGAGCTCGCTATTCGCTACCGCTGCGACTTCGTCGGAGCGCGCCTGGTGCGCGACGCCGCAGAAAAACGACGCGGCGTCTTCGAGGCCTTCCAGGCTGGACCGCTGCTGAGCCATGTACGCGACAAAGGCATGCTCCGGTGATCCGTTACTAGGCGCGCCGAACGGCTGCGACTTCGCGGCGGCGCGCGAGGGCTCTACAAACGACGCCTGCCGCCGAAATTCGCGCGCGCGGAAGGATCCCGAGAGTCCGCCGTCGGCCGGATTCGTCGGAGCGGCATCTGCGACATTCCGCCATTTAGTAATTCTCCCCACCCTGCTGTGATTCCACGTCGTCGTCGCCCCCGTCGCCGCCGCCCCCGCTGCCCCTCCCGCCACGGTCCCTTGCGCCATGAAACCCTCTTTCCGCTCCGCCGAACCCTCCGGGGCGCCCTCCGCCGATCCTTCCGCAAATGTCCTCGTGTTGTAGGAAGAACCGTTGAACGAGGAGAATCTGGTAATCCTATTCGCGGAATGTCCTTCATCGCGCGGCCTCCCCGCGCCATAACGCGGAACCCTGCCGCCCTCAACGGACTCCTCATCCGACGACGTTCCCAGCTCCTTCTCCCACGATTCCAGCAGCGCCATCAGATCCACTCGCCGCGGTGCGCCGCCTGCGCCGGAAGCGGCGCGAGAATTCGGCGCGCTGCGGCCGGACGCGGCCATGGCGGACCCGCTATCGAAGCTGGCGGTTCGCGGTATCGCCGCCAAGAGCGGTGCAGACGGGCGACGGGAGGGGATAGGTGCGGGTTCCGCCTCTCCAGTCTGCCGCGAGAGATGCCTCATGAGAGGCTTAGAGGGCAGCGCAGAGGCTGCGCGCGCGTCTACGGCGGAAGAGGGAGCTGAATCTGTTCCGGCCGCCAGGCACGACTCGTGCAAGCCGCAACCGCACGGGCAGGGGGGAAGGAGCTTTTCGATAAACGCGACGTAGCCGGGCTGAATACAGTTCACCGGTTGATGATATTCCATGGCTCAGTGAGACTGTTGAAACGGACGCATACGCGCTCAAGGAACCAGATCTAGCATGAATCTTGAGGCTCCTCGATAAGAGTCTCTCTACCGGCAATCTTGAGGCAACGCATTGTACAGTATATGTTACGCGCGGATCTGACAAACATGCAGAACGTGCCGCAGTTGAAGGCGGACGGACACGCGTAAGCTACGAGACCATTCCCTCGCCAAGCCTTGTGGCATCACAGGCGTGGCGAGCAACGAATCCGTTCTCAAGGAGAGTCAAGAGACTATGGCGGCTAAACTACTGCGCCGACACGGACAATATGCAATAAGCAAGCTGCTTCAGCTGAGCTGGGCAGCATTTGGTCGCACGCACCCGACGATGGCAGATGCTGAACAAGCATTCTAGATGACCGATGCGATGACCGACCGTGTGCGACTTCTTACGACCTGGACACCGTCGCACAAGGAAAGCTGGGTACAGTTGGGCCACTAGCATGCTAACAGTTGGCGCACGTGCGAACGTGGACGATCTCAGTCTGCGCGTCGCCGCGTTTCGCTGAACTTTCTTCTGCCCGTCGAGGGCCCCTTTCCCCACAGTGTAGACGCATACTGGGAAGCATGCGACCATCGATGTGGCTGCTGCGACGCATAGGACGAGGGATTTGCATGAATGGTGGTGACGGATAAGTATCTCGTAGCAGCAGCAAGGGAGGGAAACTCGGTCAATGTTGCTCTGCTGCCGAGGATCAATGGTGCACCAGTCTGCACATTGCAGCCTTGCATTCGATCATGTGGAATCGTGTTTTGTCTTGTTTTGCCTTCCACAGTTCCACCCGGTACTGCTGCTCTGACCTAGTTTCCCGCCGAACGTGGACCTATAAACCTCAGAGCTGGAGCGGAAATGCACTGACAGACCACCAGCCAGTAACTCGGGTGTGCCTGTCACACCCCTCACACCCCTTACTTAAACAAGGGCGGGTGGGTGTGAGGTAATCACAAACCACTTGTCAGCGAGGGTCGGTGTAAGGCAAATTTTCCGTAGGGTGGAGCAAGCACTTTGTTTTCTCCAATACTGTATTCAATATCCAAGAGCAAAGATCTTGCCGTGTTTTCTCCGACGCCAACCATGGTTGTGGTTTCGGCATGTACCCTGCCAAGATTCGAAATGCTGCCACTGCTGCCCTAATTCGCGGCGCCTTCACGCTGGTTGCGGAAATATCATAATTGGCACAAGAACATTGACCAGGTCTCCAACCTCGATATTGCATGTCGCTCGATAATGAGCTATACAAGAGAGTGCGCGGGAGTAACAAAGGACTCAACTAAACTATGAAACAGGAAGTGATGATTCAAGTGAAAGCCTGTAATATAGGGGGGGCTCTAGCCAGGCGGGGAACGTGGGCATCGAGGTTGGGTGGAGGTCGGGAAGCAGAGAATGTTTGAAGGCAGCGCGGGATAACCCCAGAGTCGGGTTATTCAGGCCGAGCCTGTTCTTCCAAGGCGATGTTCGGCAGCCATAGGGGTTCGATGGGAGGGGATGGGATGGAGAATGAAAACGCCAGGCCTCCAGGTTCGACCTTGACGAACCAGGCAAAACACCTCGGTCAGACAAAACAAATACGGCCATTTTCAGGTGCATGCAACTTAGATAGGAAAAGCTGCTCAGGTACATGCTATCCCGTCGTGCTTCTCCCTCTGTTGTTACTGTTTATACACCTCCGCCACGACAATCACTGTTCTGTCAGGGGGTGCTACCCATGCGCCTGACACCAACTGGCGCAGCTCTCGCACGAACTCGTCGTCCAACCACACCAGTCGCAGCCTTACTGCGAACAAGGTCAATACATATCGCATGCGACTAAAAACGGGCAAAAAACAAATAAACCCAATTGGAAACGCATGTGACTCGGGAGGAATCAACCCTAAACACCAGGGCGGTTCCCTTGTTTAGGGTTGATATATTCCGAAAAATCGAGTCCAGGTTCCCTAGTTTTTATTTTCTTTTCTTTCCACTGCCTTATGGGACATCAACCCTAAACACCAGGACAGTTCCCGTGTTTAGGGTTGACCCCTCCCGAACAATGTCCAGGTTCCCAAGGAGTTGTATTTTTCCTTTTCGGGCTTCCCTGCCAGGCCGATTTTGTGTGTTGCGTGTGTTGCGTGTGCTGCTTGTGTTGCGCGGGTTGCATCCCCTGATAGAACAGTGTTTTTAGTTGCGGATGTGTACAAACAGTGGCAACAGAGGGAGAAACACGACGGGATAGCATGCACCTGAGCAGCTTTTCCCGACTAAGTTGCATGCACTTGAAAATGGCCGAAACAAATATGGAAAAGTTGTCGAACGTGAGCCTAAAACGCGACGCGAACCCCACGCTAGGCTTGTGCCCGCGTCGCGTTCTCCCACAGACCCCCCCCCATGGCGGAAAACCTCCGCCCTAGTGGTCAGGGAATGAAGGGTATCGTTATGTGGGCGCATTAGGGGTGCTTAGCCCGAACGACGAATACTCCAGGAACGCGCATAAGAGGCTTAAAGCACACGTCGAGCCTCTTCATTCGTTATTGTGTGCCGAACCTGGTAGCATTTGCTGTGCGCCCATGGGTAGGAGAACGCATCACAACCAGTGCGTGCAGACCTTACTTCGAAACTTCTCTCACGGGCAAATTGGAGGCACCGCTCGTACGAACCCTATCCGCCCATTGGAGTGGGGATAAGGGGACGCACAAGCAATAACGGGCAGGTCTCAACGCCCGTTATTGGGAAATTCAACGATGCATTAACTCACCAGAAAAACATGCCAAGCGAGAGGCAAGGGTGAACCCAAAGGCCGAAGGTTTGTGAGTGGTTGGAATGAAACATTTTGAGCATCTTTGGCAGACTGGGCATGGTGAACGAAAAAAACATGGGCTGTTTGCAAACCCGCTTTGTCGTTAGCGACAAACTTCGCCGAGGCCGCGGGAGGGTTGACCCCTTCGAGGAAAGCTGATCCCGCAGTGCTTGTGTGGAAGGCCCAAACTGCTCATGCGGCAAGAGAACGAGGCCAAGATTGCATTCCCGTGAGTCTTTTCAGCCACGGGGAATGAAAATTGGATTCCCCCCTCCACGCATTTAATTTAAACATTTACCCCACACTCTAAAATACCTCGTCGCAACGACATCAAAATCATAATGCTGAACACGCACACTTTTTAAATCAGCTAAATAATAACCTTAGTTTAACTCAATTATGTATGTTAATAAATTAACATGATTCCTGCCCAAACAGTGATACTTGTTTTCTTTTTATGGCCTGCGGCGAACCTTTGGGAGGGCGAAGTTTCCTTTCCTACGGGGTGCTGCTTCCAACCCCAACCGCCATCTCGAACTGTTCACCCCGCGCGTCCCCCCTCATACTCCGCTTGCGCCAGGACTTCGGACGTGGGGTCAACGTAAGGTGGACCCCTAGTTGACCCATCCGACTAGGGGCGAGGCTCCCTTTTGGATCCCTCGCCCCATCCCCCCCTGTCTTCTGTGGGCTGCCGAACATCGCCCAAGGGTTCAGCAGCACCAGATACTGTAACTTCTGTGGTGCGTGTGGAGATGTTTGCTTTGCATTTGCACCCGCCGCTTGTGCTCCACCCCTTTCTTGATTCCGCTTCATGTGCATCTGGGAGGCAGGCTCCCTGAGGGCCCCGTAAAGGTGCCGTGTTCCAAGCTCAAGTCTGGCGTAGCCTATCAGGTGACCGAATTTCACATCCAATATTGCGGTGCTCGATTTCTTGCACAATGCGAAAGCAAAAGGTCGTCGTGAAATGTAAAGCGAGGGATCGAGGTTCATTGTGACTCGACATTGTATTTACAGTAATGATTTTGATCAATGTACCACGCTTCCAGGCCATGGCTGATTTGCTTGGTCCTTCAACGAGGGAATCGCCTCGTTTGTACGACTAAGCCATACACTCTGCTGCCTGTGACTTCCAAGATCCGACCGCTACAATCGTTTCTGTCTCGTAGACATGAGCGGCGGCGAGCCATTTACAGTCTTCGTCTCTGATGACGTGGCGCCAGCAGACGTAGAGCACTGGCTGTCGTTCGACGACGCCGTTCTGCCTGATCTTCCGCTTTCCAGCTACCCGCACTCGCAGACCCAACCCCTTCCGGACGCACCGTTTATTCCCCTAGATCCGTCACTCGCTTTCCTGATAGGCGATGTTCCTACAGGGGACGTTCCTATAGGCGGCGATGCTCCTATACGTGATTCGCATATAGGAGACGCTAGCACAGACTATGTTCATATACGCTATCCTCCCTCTAACCAAGTCGGAGTTAGTCGAGAATTGCGATTGGATGATTTTCCTGGGGAGCAGACGGAGAGGTGGAATCAGTTTGACGGCGTAGATCCCGTGCGACAAGCAGACACACGCGAGGCGTGTACGGACGGACCTGTTGAACGAGCGCACGCACGTGCGAATATATCAGGCTTTGCGGATTTCATCGATACGCCGGGAGACGCGAGCGGCATACATCATAGACATGACCAAGCCACGCCTGAGAACGACCCAGTAGGAAGGGTTGATTTATTACGTCCGGATGCATGCTATGATGTCCCGGACGCGGGAAACATGCTTGCAAGCAGCAATCTTGCGGCCAGCGGCGATTTAGACATGTGCTTGCCAGGGCAGGCTGGTCCATTCACGTGGCTTCCTGATTCACCGCGGGATGCGGAGGGGGGATCACAGCAAGGCTTTCCTGCGATGACAGCATCCGTTCTGCGCGTATTGCAGCCTGACGGTTCCGGTCCGCAGGTGCTGACCTTCGAGGAAGCTTCGGATAGGCTGTACGCGGCGATAGTAGCGCCAGCGTCGTTTCAGCGGGCGAGGGGCCGCTTGGAGCAGGTGCTGCGCGAGCAAGCACAGACGCCGCAACTGCTGCTGCTAGAGCAGGAGGAAGCGCAGAATCGGTCGCTGATGCCGCAGCAGCAGACGCAGCAGCAGACGCTGCAGCAGTCGCAGCAGCAGTCGCAGCAGCAGTCGCAGCAGCAGTCGCAGCAGCAGTCGCAGCAGCAGTCGCAGCAGCAGTCGCAGCAGCAGTCACAGCAGCAGCAGCAGCAGCAGCAGCAGCAGCAGAAGGGAGCCATTCAGTCCAGCATACCCGCCAGCACGCGTCCTCTCCCATCCGCCGTCTACTCCCGACCGCCTCCCCAGCGCTCCTCTCCCGCCCAGCGCCCCTCACCCTCCCTTGGCGGCGGTGACATAGGAGTGGGCGGGATTAGAGGGCCTCCCGCCGATCCTCCCTCCGCTCCGCCCCCGTGTAAGCTGCCTCGGCGCCCCCCGGACCTCTCCTCCCGCCTCGCCGCCGTGCTGCAAAACATCAACCCGCCGCGCCCTGCCCTTCCCCGGCTCCCCCTCCCGCGCCTGCCCAAGCCGGGCCTTCCTTCCCCCGCTGCGCCAGGACCCTCCGCAGCAGCAGCAACAATCCCGCCACCATTACCAACAGCAGCAGCTGCAACAGCAGCCGCAGCAGCCGTAGGCGCAGCAGGAGTTGCTTCAGCAGCAGCAGCGTCCGCTGTGTCTGGTACCAAGGCGTTTGGGAGCAGACTTGTGGGTGGAGGAAATTGGAACCCGGTGGGCGGTTTCACAGGGCTCACAGGTGCACTGCCTCGCATGCCCACAGGCGCTCTGCCTCTCATGCCCACCGCACCTCTCGCATCTGCTGCTCCTCCCACCAGCGGCGCTGCTGCTTTTGGGTTGGACCAGGGAGTGCAGTGGCAACCGCACCTGCCGCAGCAAGCGGATTATCACTACCTGCAATCTCTGCAGCTGCCCCTGCAGCAGCAACAGCACAAAAACCAGAAGCGGCGGGATTATCATATGCAGCTGCAGCAGGCAGCAGCAGCAGCAGCAGCAGCAGCAGCAGCAGCAGGAAGAGCCGCAGTAGCCGTTGCAGCAGCAGCGGGAGCATCAGCTGCGTCGCAGAGCGATACCCACAGCAGCGTTCTGAGCAGCGGCGGGCGGCACAACCACCGGTCAGCGCACAGCAGCGCGCCGAGCACTGCCCTGAGCAGCTTGGCGCGCAGTGCATCCAGCAGGGCGTCGTTCACTGCCGCCCACGTGGCAGGGGTGGGGCCGGAGAGGCCCCTGCACGTGGATGGGGTGCTGCCGGGCCCCATGAGTGGCGCGAGAGAGGGCATGCTGAAGCAGCAGCTCATGGCTCTCGCTGAAGCCATGGCCGTTGATGACTCGGTGCGTGTGGCTGCTGGGGATGGGGGCATAGTGCTCTTTTTATAAAGCTCTCGGATGTGAATCCCACTCTTGCAGCACTAGCGTATGTATCTCTCAACCAAACCCCTCCCCTCCCCTCCTGTTGGAGGTGCGATGCCCATTCCAGTCGTTCTTTAATGCCTCACCTATATCCGACTCATCCCCACTGACTCTTACCAAAATCCTCCTTCTCCCCCTCCCCCCGCCTCCCCTACCCTGCCTCTGCGCCCACCAGGTGCGGTGGCGGCAGTTCATGCGCCAGTTACGGAGGGAGGCGGCAGCGGGGGGGGACACGCTGCAGCGCATCGCCTTCCACGCGCTGGAGGCATTAGAGGCACGCATGGATGGCACCGCGCTTGTCCGCGCCCACACCCCCATGAATGTCACCGTTGAGGTGCGCCCCTTGCCCCTCCCCCCACCCCCCCTCTCCCCCTCCACCTCATGATGCACCCCCATGAATGTCACCGTTGAGGTGCGCCCCTTGCCCCTCCCTCCCCACCCCCCATTTCCATGAACATAACTGTCGACGTGCTGCCCTTACCCTTCCCTTTTCCCCCGCCCCTGCCCTGGTAAATTTCAGCACATCATCTTTCTGGCAGACGCCGCGTGTGCTAAGCTTGCATGTGCCCCCATGCATGCCATGTGCCGCATGCATGCCATACGTCCCATGTGGCATGTGAGCAGGATTCAATGGCAGCGCTGGGTCACGGCGGCGAGCATGGAGTGCCGGCATTCATGCACCTCGCCAACATTGCAGCCGTGCATGAAGTCGTCCGTGCATTCACCCACAACCCCCATCCACCCGCACACGCACACGCACACGCACACGCCCCTGCGCCTCCCCTCCAGCCTGCCCCTCCCCTGGCCGCCACCTCTCCCTTTACCGGCCAGTCCGTGCGGCGGCGGCGGCTGCACATCATAGCCATTGGGTTCTACGGCGGGCCGCACTGGATCAACATCCTCATGCGCCTCGCTGCCCACTTCTCCACCCCCCCACTCCTCCCCGCCACCGCCAATGACGTTCCGCCAAGTGGCGTCCCGGCGGGGGGAGCAGGGGCGGCACCAGCTGCAGCGGGTGACGATGTGATCGGTGCTCAGGGTGAAGCAGGGGCGTTTGGAGCAGGTTCATCTGGGGGAGGTGTAGCTGCAGCAGGTCGTCTGGTGGAGGCAGCAGCCGGTTTACCAGCGCCGCTCCCTTCCCCACCTTTGCGTCGCCGCACGTGAAAGTCTCAGCCATTGATTTCGGCGTAGTAAAAGTGGAGGAATACCCAACCGGGCTGGTGCATCTGGGGAAGGAGTATCTGGAGCACGTGGCAGCCATGCTAGACCTCCCTCTCACCTTCCACGGCATAGAAACCACCCCCCAGGACTTCCACCCGTCACTAGTGGAGGTGGAGCAGGGGGAGGAGATTGTAGTGCTGGCCAATTGGGGCCTCATGGTCTTCCCAGACGACACGGTGCTGCGCTCCAACCCCCGCAACTCCATCCTCAAGTGGATCCGGGGCCTCCGCCCGCTGCTGCTTCTGCAGATCGACAACGACGTGGACGCGCTTCCACGTCTACCCAAACGGGCCCTTCTTCCTCTCGCGCTTCCACGCCTCATTCATGAACTTTGCCGCGCTCGTCGAGTCGTTCGACTGCTCCATGCCGCACGCCGCCACGCCCCGCTTCGTCGCGGAAACTATTCTTGCGCGGGATTTTCTCAACGGGGTGGCGTGCGAGGGCATGAACCGGTATGTGCGTTCGGAGCGGCTCGGCATGTGGGTGCATCGGATGAAGGCGGTGGGGCTGGAGGCGGTACCGATGGGGCCGGACACAGTGGCGGCTGGGAGGGAGGCCACGGAGGGGAGGGACAAGAGGTTCCGGTTAGAAGTGCATGCTGAGACGGGCGCCCTGCAGCTCAGCTGGCGCGGCGTGCCCTTGATCTTCGTCGCTGCCTGGAAATGAGTTCGGAGTGGGCCTGGATCTAAGACCGCCTTGATCTCATAAGCTGCAGCGCTCCGATGCTCGCTGTGGTCGCCTGGAGATGAATCCGTGACCGATTCCCAAGGCTGCTGTGCTCCACAACTTGGCGGAGCACTGGCAAGGGCAGCATAGCCAAGCTCAGGAACACCAAGGTAGGTTCAGGCCTTATCAAACCAGGGTAGGTTCAGGCCGGTTGATGTCCCTGTTAACCTCCTATCCCCTGCATTTTAACCGTCTTGCCCTATTTTTCTGCACATGTTTCTTGTGCTCAACGTTTTGCCCTTGCTTGTGCCTGTCCATCTTGCCTCCCTTCTGGCTTTTCTTTTTCCTTGTGGGAACCCCCACTTGAGTGCGTTGAGACTAAATTAACACGTGTACCATCCCAACTGTTGCTGCAGGTTCCATAATCGGTGCTGTAAGTCTGTAAGCCATCCCTTGACAGAGCTGCATGATTAACAAAGTTGCGACCCATCTTTGGATCGACTTGGAAAACTCTTCACCGTTTATGGTGTCTTGGAATCCTGTTGACAAAAATAATAATGTACTAGTCAAAAAACGTCACATGGACAGCATTTGTTAACTCCTGGTCAAGACGGAAGTGGGATTTGGCAGCTTCTCTGGGCCCACTGCTGTTTCTTGGCATTGCACAAAATTGATGCTAACTGTGAAGGGAATTTGATTTTGGTTGAACTCCACAGTTGCTTTCATCTTTCAAGTATGAATGGAAGTATTCATTCAAGTGTTTAGTATATATAAGATGTTACAAAACACTAGCATGTCCTAAAGCATGTTGCTGCTGCCACAATGGTTGCTGCTACGACAAATATACAAATCAATAAGGTACCTGCAGAGCACAAAGGAAAGCGTTAGTATTCAGACATAGGATGTAAGCAGTAAAATTACAGCAACCAAACGACTCACATGGATAGAAGACTGTCTTGGCCTTAAAAAAATGGCTGCTGGAGGCATGGCAATGGCTGCTGAGGCATGACCACCCCCCCCACCACAGGGAGGACTGGTTGCTGAGGCATGGCGACTGGCTGCTGAGTCATGACCATCCTCCCCCACCACAGGGAGGACTGGCCAACCCTCAGAGTCGCTAAACCCAAGGCATGCGGGAGCCCATTCTCATAGACTGAATCTGCCAATACAGAGCTGCTGCAGTCAGCTCTGTACTGACATAATCAGCCTGTATGGCCCGGATCCGAGTGTTTAGACAACCCCAAGGGTCCCTCAGCACCATTCTTTGCCTCATGCCTTCATCCTGCAGGAGGACAAAAATATAGTCAGTCCTCAGCCAGAGCATGCAAGAACAAAGGAAGCAATGAACTCAAGTGCTAAAAATAAAAAAATAATACCTTGAAAGACTTCAGATCCTGGAGTACTGGACGTCAGTAATCGTTGAGCATTCTGAGTGGTGATGTCCGTTGAAACTCTCCCATCTTGAAGAACCTGCAGGATGAAAAGGGAAATGTTAGTCAATGTGTCACAAACGAAAATTGCCAAAAGATTGAAGTCTTACCTTAAGGGCCTTGATCCGCCTCAGGCCTTAGGCCATAACTTCATGCCAGATGCCTCTTGCATCCGCCTCCAGGTTACCTGCAAGATGACAAAACGAAGGTCAGTTTCAGCCAGAATATTAAAAAACACAGCAAGTATCAAATTCAAATGCTAAAATGATAGATTATTTACGTTGAGGGACTTCAGAGGCTTGACTGCTGAGGCATGGCGACTGGCTGCTGAGTCATGACCATCCTCCCCCACCACAGAGAAGACTGGCCAAATTTCAGAGTCTCTAAACCCAAGGCATGCGGGAGCCCATTCTCACAGACTGAATCTGCCAATACAGAGCTGCTGCAGTCAGCTCTGTACCAACAGAATCAGCCTATATGGCCCGGATCCGAGTCTTTAGACAACCCCAAGGGTCCCTCAACACCATTCTTAGCCTCATGCCTTCATCCTCCAGGTTACCTGCAGGAGGACAAAAAGATAGTCAGTCCTCAGCCAGAGCATGCAAGAACAAAAGAAGCAATGAACTCAAGTGCTAAAAGGATAAAAATCATACCTTGAAAGACTTCAGATCCTGGAGTACCGTACGCCAGTAATCGTTGAGCATCCTGAGTGGTAATGTCCGTTGAAACTCTCCCATCTTGAAGAACCTGCAGGATGAAAACGGAAATGTTAGTCCAAGTGCCACAAACTTAAGCTGCTAAAAGGATTACAAAAATACCTTGAAAGACTTCAGATCCTGGAGTACTGAACGTCAGAAATCGTTGAGCATGCTGAGTGGTGATGTCCGTTGAAATCCTAAACCCATGATTGAAGAACCTGCAGGGTGAAAACGGAAATGTTAGTCAATGTGTCACAATCGAAAATTGCCAAAAGATTGAAGTCTTACCTTAAGGGCCTTGATCCGCCTCATGCTCTAGGCCATCACTTCATGCCAGATTCCTCTTGCATCCGCCTCCAGGTTACCTGCAAGATGACAAAAGGAAGGTCAGTTTTCAGCCAGAATATACAAGACTGCAGCAAGTATTAAATTCAAATGCTAAAATGATAGATTCTTTACCTTGAGGGACTTCAGATGCTTGACTGCTGAACGTAAGTGGCTGTTGAGCACCTTGAGTGTACGTTAAAGCCATTGAAGACCTTCAAGGATGAGAAACCTGCAAAGCGAATCAAAGGAGGAAAGAGGAAGTGAATGAGTACAACTGTCACAGATTGTTCAGATGTGCGAGTCATGTGCGTGAGCATGATGGATGATATGCAGTAGCATGAATGCAAGAGCGCTCACTATTACATCCACAAGAGTCATATACCAAAAAATACCTGAAGAGACCTGAAAACCTTACCAGAGGGGGAATGACTCAGGTGGTGGTACTAGTGAGCGCTCAAGCATAAACGCCATGCAAGGAAAGGCGGAGATGTGAATATGATGGCTCGAAATAACAGATATGAACAGAAACAGCAGAAGAGGAGCTAAGGAAAGAGCGGTACTTAGCTTTTTATGAAGTCTTGACGGTTGAGCAGTGTTTGCCTCAGTGCTCAGGCATGAGCTTAAAAAGCCTTGATGTAGGCTCTAGGCGTTGGCTGGACGACTTGAAAGTTGACTGGAAGTATTGAGAGCCATGCTGCTCCCACGTGGTTGATGGCGGTGACGAAAGAGCCTCTGCCAGTCCAAAAAGAGAGGAGAAGGAGTGATTAAAAACAGAACTGGACGGTCCAGAGGTGCAAGTCATATGCATGTGCATGATGGATGTGTGCAGTAGCATGAATGCAAAAGCGCTCACAATTACAGCCACAAGAGTCTACACCAAAAAATACCTGAAGAGACCTGAAAACCTTACCAGAGGGGGAATGACTCAGGTGGTTGTATTAGTGAGCGCTCAAGCATAAACGCCATGCAATGAAAGGCGGAAATGATGGTCCGAAATAACAGAAACATGAACAGCAAGAGCAAAAGAGGAGTCAAGGAGAGCGCTACTTAGCTTTTTCTGAAGTCTTGGTTGAGGAGAGTTGGCCTTCGGGCTCAGACTTGAGCTGAAAAAGCTCCGATGTTGGCTCCAAGCAATGGCTGGACGACTTGAACGTTGACTTGAAGCATTAAGCGCCTTGATGCTCCCACGTGGTTGATGGTGTTGACGAACGAGCCTCTGCCAGTGCAAGGACAAAGAAGGGGGAGTAAGTAAAAGCAACACTGGAAGGTCCAGACGAAGCATGCGGTGAATGATGCGATGTAGATGCAGAAACACACAACAAGAACGCGAACCGCCACTGCCACATGAGCCGAGTACCAAGAAAATACCTGTAGAGAACCTAGGAACTCACCAGAAAAGGTTACCTGAGAAAAAAAACTATACCAATAAGGGGAATGGCTCATGCAGCGGTATTGGTAAGCGCTCAAGTATGAAAATGATGTCATACCAAGGATGATCGGAAATGAGGTTGAGAGTAAACTGTACTTATCTGAAGGTGGGGGCTTCACGTCTTGAGTTTTGGCCGAATCTTTAACTTGGTGTGGTATTGCCTCCGCGCATTGCCTTCAAGCTCATCCTCTTGGTCTTCAATGTTGGAAGCCATCGGTGTTGCCTTGGTTGCTCCCACTCATCATGCCTCACTGCAATATGGAACAGGAAACTTAGATTAGTTCAGTTTATGTTGTGCAACCACAAAAACACTGAGCGCGGTAAATGAATAAATTGTGAGACTGAGCCATTACCTACCTTGAGTTGTAAGTCGAAATGCTTGAGCTGATTGCGAATTTCCAACAGCTTCCAACGTGCACCGGCAGAAGCTGAAGGTTGTGAAGCGGACAGGTCGCAGCATGAAATCGAAAGATGCACCACCAGTAGACGAGAAGGCGATTAAGCGGACAAAGGTTGGAGTCGACTAGGTTGCAGAACCTAGAAGCTATGAGTAGGAGAGTGGATAAATTTTGCTGAAACGTTGGAGTCGAAGTGGTTGCAGAACCTAGAAGCTTTGAGTAGGAGAGTGGATGAATTTTGCTGGTCTAAATATTCGTGGCTAACCACGGACTGAGAGAAGGGAAGGATTGCGTTGCGGATGAACCGGTTCCACACGGAATCGACGCAGTTTGGAACCGCGACCGTTGAGATTGGCGGTAAACAAGCCGTGTCTTGGTGACATCTAGGAGAGCACCGGTGGGGTAGAGATTGACGGTGTGTTCCTGGAAGTAAGTGAAATTTTAGTGTGGGAGCGGCTGAGAGGCAGAGCGTGTCAGCGAGAGGAGGATCTGGAAACCGGCTGTGTCAGGACAATGGGGTGGGAGCAAGGGTCTCATGGTGGGATGGTATGGTGCCGAGATGAGCAGCCTTGGAGTTTGGCTGTTTGGCGAATGTAGCGAAACTCCGAGGAATTCAGGTTTCACAGTTTCGCACAAGCAAATGCTTACGTCGCGAGCTGACTGGTGATGAGCAGTGAAGGAATCGTGCGATGGTTCCATCGATATCTGTTTGCGCCGGTTTGGCCCAAATACCAGTTCTACACGCGGGGAATGGCGCGCGGGGCGAAGCGCAATGTGTTGCGCGGAACAGAGTGCACAGCGCCGCCGCAAATAATCAACGCGAATGGCGCGTGGGGCGAAGCGCACTGTGCTGTGCAGAGCGGAGTCCACAGCGCGCAAGCTATCACCCCAACTCAAGCTATCACCTCACCACAGAGGTAATACTGGAGCAGTTTGCGTGTACACCAGCCCATTAATTCCACGCAAGAATCAATATCACCCAAGCCCTAACTTTCTATTTGAGTACTGTGAACCCTATAGTGAGGACAACTCCCCAACATTTGTTCGTACAACTCGGACGTGTCCCATCTGGCCGTTCCTGCAAAAATCGATACTGCACCGTACTGAAGTCCTGATTAATGCTTCTAAAACTTACCGAGACTTATCTAACCCCGCCAATATTCGATCCTGCGCATGTTCGATCGCACGATTGGTGCGAGCACAAGCACGAAGGATTCGCTTTGTTCTTCGAAGTGGGGGTCGTCTTGTGTGCACGACTGCTACTATATTTTCTATCTCGTAGACATGAGCGGCGACCCGTTCACAGTCTTCGTCGCTGATGACCTGGCGCCAGCAGACGTTGAGCACTGGCTGTCGTTCGACGAAGCCGTTCTGCCTCATCCTCCGCCTCCCAGCGACGACCATCACTTTCAGACACAGCTTCTCCCGGAATTGCCGTTCAATTCTTTAGATCCTTCACTCGCTTTCCTGATAGGCGACGATGCTCCTATAGGGGATGCGTATGTAGAAAACGCTAACACGGACAATGTCCCTACACGCGTTGCTCCCGCTAACCACTTCGAAGTTAGTCCAGATTTGCGATTGGATGATTTACTTGGAGATCTGACGGAGAGGGGGACTCCACTTGATCCGGACGGCGTAGATTTCGTACGACGAGCAGACACACGCGAGGCGTGCACGGATGGATCCGGTGAAGCAGATGCGATTATAACAAGTTTCGCGGATTTAATAGATGCGTGGGACTCCAGCGGCGTGAGCCATAGCCATGGCACTGCCACGCGCGAGGACGGCCGAGTAGAAACGGTTGAATGGTTACCTCCGGGGACGAGGCATGTCCCGGACGCAGGAAACGTTCTTGCAGCCAGCACTTTAGACACGTGCCTTCCAGAGCAGGCTGGTCCGTCCACGTGGTTTTCCGAACAGGATTTGCCTGCCACGTCAGCATCCGTCCTGCGCGCATTGCAGCCTGATGGTTCCTGTCCGCAGGTGCTGACCTTTGAGGAAGCTTCGGAGAGGTTGTTCGCGGCGACAGCGCCAGCGACTTTCCAGAGCGCGAGAGGCCGGTTGGAGAAAGCACTGACGTCGCAGTTGCTGTTGCCAGAGCAGGAGGAAGCGCAGAATCAGCTGCTGACGCCGCAGCAGCAGGCGCAGCAGCAGACGCAGCAGCAGTCCCAGCAGCAGTCCCAGCAGCAAGGGCGAGATTACTATCCAGGAGAGCAGCAGCAGCAGCAGCAACAGCAACAGGGAGCCCGCCAGTTCAACATAACCGACTGCACACGGCCTCTCCTCTCCGCCATCCATGCCGGTCCCTTTCCCCCCCAACGCTCCTCCCTCGCCCAGCGCCCCTCGCCCTCCTTCGGCGGTGACATAGGAGTGGGCGGGATTAGAGGGCCTCCCGCCGACCCTCCGTCCGCTCCGCCGCCGTGCAAGCTGCCTCGGCGCCCCCCGGACCTCTCCTCCCGCCTCGCCGCCGTGCTGCAAAACATCAACCCGCCTCGCCCTGCGCCCTCCCCCTGGCCATCCCTCCCCCGCTCGGCCACTCCGGGCCTTCCTTCTGCTGCCACGCCTGCTGCTCCCGCTGCAGTTCGGCCGTTCCCCGTGTCGGGATCATCCACAGCAGTAGCAGCTGCTATTCCACCAGCAACATCTACAGCAGCAACAGCAGGAACAGCGACAGCAGGAACAGCAACAGAAGGAACAGCAGCAGCAACAGCAGGAACAGCAACAGCAACAGCAACAGCAGCAGTAGCGGCAGCAGCAGTAGCGGTGGCAGTAGCTTCCGCAGTGTCGTGTATACAGGCGCCTGGTAGCACACTTGAGGCTGGAGAAAGCCGGGGAGACGTGAGCTGTTTCATGGGCTCAACACTGCCCTCCTCTCCTGCTCGCACCAGCGACGCTGTTGCTTATGGATATGACCAGCGAGTGCAATGGCCAGGATCCTCGTCGGACAGCAATGTACTAGGCAGAATTCGCGTCAATAAGGCGCACAGCAACCCACTGAGCACTGCCACAGAAAGTGCAGGGCACAGTGCAGCAAGCAGGGCGTCCGACGCCAACCCCCACATTGTTGAATTCGGACCGGAGAGGCCCCTGCGTTTGGATGTGTCAGGCATGCTGCCACGGCCCATGAGTGGCGCGAGGGAGGGCATGCTGAAGCAGCAGCTCATGGCTCTCGCTGAAGCCATGGCCGTTGATGACTCGGTGCGTGGGGCTTGCGCCAAGCAGGGGGTGGGATGTATAGTGGAGAACCGTGCTCCTTGGCTCCTACTGATGCATTGTTGAGCAAGAGCTGCATCGCACATCCTTAAGTCTTGTTCTCTGCCTTACTTCTCCCCGCCCCTACCCCACCAGGTGCGGTGGCGGCAGTTCATGCGGCAGGTGCGGAGGGAGGCGGCAGCAGGGGGGGACACGCTGCAGCGCATCGCCTTCCACGCGCTCCAGGCGCTGCAGGCGCGCATGGATGGCACCGGGCTCACTCGCTGGCGCACCCCCTTGAAAGTAACCCTTCAGGTACTTGCCTTCCCCCCTCCCACCTTCCCCCCTCCCCACCTTTCCCCCTCCCCACCTTTCCCCCTCCCCACCTTCCCCACTCCCCACCTTCTCCCCCCTTACCCCCCTTCCCCCTTCTTCGATGCATGCCATGCCACGTGTCCCATGCATACGACGTGCCCCAAGCATGCCGTAGGTCCATCCCATGCTTGCCACGTGATTCATGCATGCCACGTGTCCCATGCATGCATGCCACGTGTCCAATGCATGCCACGTGTCCCATGCACGCGATGTGCCCCAAGCATGCCGTAGCATGCCATCAATCCCATGCATGCCAGGTGTCCCATGCATGCCACGTGTCCCATGCATGCCACGTGTCCCATGCATGCCACGTGTCCCATGTGAGCAGGATTCGTTGGCAGCGATGGGTCACGGCAACGAGCATGGGATGCCGGCATTCATGCACCTCGCCAACACTGCAGCCGTGCATGAAATCGTTCACGCATTCACCCGCCAGCCACATGCTCACGCACGCACGCACCCACATGCACACGCACACGGCCATGCTCCCCATTCTGCTGCCACCCTCCCACACAACCCGCACCCGCCTGCTCTTTTCCCGGCCTCTGCTCCGGCCTCTGCAAGCCAGTCTGTGCGGCGGCGGCGGCTGCACATCATAGCCATTGGGTTTTACGGCGGGCCGCACTGGATCAACATCCTCATGCGCCTCGCCGCCCACTTCTCCACTCCCCCGCTCCTCCCCGCCTCTGCTGCCGCCGACAATGACCTTCCGCCAAGTGGGATCCCCACAAACCCCCCCACACCTCTTTCACATGCTGCTCCCCCGCCCCGCCCAATGGCCCACGTGAAAATCACAGCCGTTGACTTCGGGGTCGTCAAAGTGGAGGAATATCCAACGGGCCTGGTGCATCTGGGGGGAAAGTACCTGGAGCAGGTGGCATCTATGCTCGGCCTCTCTCTCACCTTCCATGGCATAGAAACCACGCCACACGAATTCCACCCATCACAAGTGGAGGTGGATGAAGGGGAGGAGGTGGTGGTGCTGGCCAATTGGGGCCTCATGGTCTTTCCAGACGACACAGTGCTTCGCTCCAACCCCCGCAATGCGATTCTCAAGTGGATTCGCGACCTGCGCCCACTGCTTTTACTCCAGGTGGATATAGACCTCGATGCCAACGGGCCCTTCTTCCTCTCGCGCTTCCACGCCGCATTCGCCAACTTTGCTGCGTTCGTCGAGTCCTTTGATGCTTCCATGCCGCACGCCGCCACGCCACGCTTCGCGGTCGAAAGCATCCTTGCACACGACTTTATAAATGGGGTCGCATGCGAGGGCATGAACAGATGGCTGCGGTCAGAGCGGCTCGAGAAATGGGTGCATCGGATGAGAACGGTGGGGCTGGAGCCGGTGCCGCTAGGGCCGGACACGGTGGCGGCTGGGAAGCAGATCACAGAGGGGAAGGACAAGCGGTTCAGGTTAGAAGTGCATGGTGAGACGGGCGCCCTGCAGCTCAGCTGGCGCGGTGTTCCCATGCTTTTTGTGGCCGCCTGGAGATGAGCATTGAAACAGTCTCAAGAGCCGCTGCGTCCCTAACGATTGTTCTGGCCGCGTGGCGATGAGCGTTGAGGCATCTCACAAGTATTGGCGTCCTGATTAACTGTGGCGGCTGGAGATGATTCTGGGACCGACTGTAGGGCTGCTCTGGTCTGCATATTGGCTGGGCAATTTCAAGGGCAGCATCGCCAGGACGACAGGTTTTATCAAATCAGGGTAGGCTTCACGTGATGCCCCCTGTGAGCCCCATACCCCTGCATTGTCACCCTTCTTGCCCTATTTTGCAGAACTCTTGCGCTTGATGTTGGCATTTTTGTGTGCAGCTTCCCTCCCTCCTGACTTCTCTTCTTGCTTGCAGCAACCTTGCTGTTTTCCCCAACTGCAGGAGCATGTTGCTCACACCGCCCTCAGCACGGAAGTTGAGGGGCGGGGAAGGGGGCTGAATTCCTCAAAGTAAGGCTGTCGAGGGGCAAGGGGGGGGGGGGTTGAAACCCCAGGCTGAAGCGAGCAAGGATAGCAAGGTTTCCCTCCTCTGCCTTTTGCCCGCTCTAGCCTGGGTGTTTCAAACCTCTCCCCTGCGTGCAAACCAGTGACGACAACTCAAATCATGTAGTGATTGGATATCTTTGGCTTGTTTACGGTGTATATGGCTTTTCAGTTACCGGTATGCATGTCAAGGTTTCTGCCCCAAATGTCTGAGGGTACCGGTTATTTATTTGTTGCAGAGGGTATCATTAATGATAATGTTATTTGAGATGTACTTTTCTGAGAGTATCTCCCTTGGAGTTGGGTTTCCCTAAATCCCGCCGATTTTGTCAAGTGCTGTTCTTGTGATTGCAGCACACCCTTCAGGCTTCAGCCATGCTGTGACTGTTGACTTCACCTCACATTTTCTCGTGCTGTAGCCTTGCGTTGCGTCTGCCAAGTTGCCTGACCATTCGTCCCTTCGTCTCCTCCTCTTCCCTATGTTAGCATCGCTCACTCTCGTTCCTAAGCAATACTGGACAAGTTTTTCCACTACGCGCTGCGCTCAGGCAATTTTGGTTGGTCTCGCGATCGTCGTTTTCGTCCGACCGTTCTATCCCTGCAGACATTCTCCGTAGATTTCTCGCTAGTCTGTGTGGAGTTTCCTCGATTTGAACATAACCAGTCCTCAACCATGCGATCTAACGTCCGCACACCGATTTGATTCGCCGAGCCCAAGCCTCTGTAGTGCACTTCGGTTGTAATCGAAGGGATGGCGAAGCGCCGGTCGACGTTTCCCATCGTGCGATGGCTGCTCATCGCCTGCGCGTTCTCCTTCGTCCTCGTTCAGGTCGGCTAGCGTTGCAGTCGTTCTTGTAAATGCGATCACAGCTCTGCCGCAGTGCCTTAATTTCTCGACCATTCCAGCGATCCGTTTGTCTGCACCAGCGTATTTTCACCTTGTTTCCTCCATACTGCCATGTCCACGGACTTGTATTTTGTTGAATTCGTAATTCCCGGGCAGATTCGCATGTTGATGGTTGGAACGGAGTGTTCGGAGCGCGTGAAGGTGCTCATGGAGGCGCAGCGCAAGTGGGCCAATGAAGCTCGCGCGCTGCGGAAGAACCTCACCGATGTCACCCGTGAGTGCCGTTGGAACATGCGAATATAATCTGTTAATGGCCTTGCGACATGCGATGATCTGTGAGTGGCCTTGCGACATGCGATAACCTGTGAGTGTAACCGTGACGTGCGCTCCATGGGTAACACTTCGACCGGGTCACGAGCTGTCGTTGCTGGCCAACACTTCGCTTTTTCGCGAATCCTTGTAGGGGAAGAGTTGCTGGTCAGTGAACTCTAACTGAACTTGCTGCTACACATGCTGAAAAGTTGAGACAATTCAGTCGAATAAATGAACGTAGTAATGTCTCAAATGGCACACGTCTTCTCCCACTCTCCCAGGGGACGCGATGGGGCTGGAGGAGGAGCTGGAGAAGGCGCAAACGGCTTACAAGCAGACGCGGCAAGGTGGGTGGCGCAGGCGCCCGCATGGGTTCCACCAGTGTGGTATGGGTGGTCGGTGCTATGTGTGGGCAGGGACTGGGTATTCCACGCGTGGGTGAGGTATGTGAATGGATGAGAGTAACGTTGAAGGCATTGCCATAGTGTGCGGGCGCTGCAGCGTTAGGTGCAGGTAGGGTGGAGCCTAGGATGCGTGGGAAGCCTGGGATGCTTGTCTGTATCCTGCTTGCATGTAATTTGTGCAGTAATTGCTCTCTGCTTCCTTGCTCACTCCACTTTGCACCACTATCGATGGCTTATCTATCCCCCTCCCTGTGTCCTCATACCTGTTCCCCCCCCTGTGCCTTCACCCTCCCTCCTCGCCTCCCACCCTCTACGCTGTCTGCACGGCCAACACCCACTAACGACTCACTGTTCCTGCGCCATGCTGCCTTGGATATGCTCCGTATGCGCCTCTGGATTCGGCGTTTATGCTGTCATGTCCTCCTGCTGCCCGCCTGCTGCCCGCCTGCTGCGCACCTGCTCACCGCCTGGCCTGCTGATGCCCGTCTACTCACTGCAGAGCTGGTGAGTTGCCTTCATGTCTCTTCTTCTGGGAGGTCGTATTGTAATGCTAGTGCCCTCGTTTCGCCGAGTGAGAAACATGCATATCCATGTCCGTGTGCAGGAAACTGCACAGAGGAGACAGCAGCAGCAGAAGGCGCAAGAGCAGAGCGCACAACAACAGGGACAGCAGAAACAAGAAGCAGCACATGTAAAGGCAGCGTCGGAAGGGCAGACAGGAGCCGGGGGAGCGGGGGGTAGCATACGAGGAGGGAAAATGCAGGATGGGGGAGTGGTGCAAGCAGGGGGAGCAGGGAGAGCAGGGAGGATGCGGGGAGGAGGCGATGCAAAGGATGCCGTGGCAGCGGTGGTGATCATGGCGTGCAACCGAGTGGACTATCTGTATGGGGTGCTTCCATGCGTATGGGGTGCTTCCATGCGTGCATTGAATTTGATTCATAGAAGTCCACTCACCGCATTCCACACCCATCCTGCTTGCTCCACCATGCCTGTCCACTCACCGCATTCCACACCCATCCTGCTTGCTCCACCACCCATCCTCACCATCCTGCTTTCTCTGCCCTGTCCGCACTACTCACCCTCCCTGCAGGCACCACAAGGGCGCTGACAGCAAGTTCCCCCTCTTCATCTCCCAGGTGCCACATGCCCCTTGCACACACGTTTCTTGCATGGCTCGGCATGGCTTGGCATGGCGTGAAATGACATGAGATGGCACGGTATGACATGACGTGGCACAGTATGACGTGACATGGCATGACGTGACGTGACGTGACATGGCATGACATGACGTGACATGGCATGACATGACGTGGCATGGCATGACGTGACGTGACATGGCATGGCATGGCATACAGTGACGTCCTATCCCATTCGCCCATACCCTTTGTTTTCGTTTTTCTCGCACAGTCAACCTCCCCATGTGTATGCTGCCTGCCATTTTGTCTGTGTCTCTCTGTGGAGTCAGGACGGCACGAATCCAGGAGTCAAGGATAGGGCCAAGCAAGCCCACCAATTCACCTACCTGCAGGTGAGCTTATTCTTGCAAGATATTCCTACAGAAGAGTGTTGCAAGGTAACAATTTGCAGGTGACTGTGGCAAGGAACGTATTTGCAGGTGCAACCCCAGGGGAGGGAGTGCTGTCTCGACTCATAACCCTAGTGCAGCACTGATGAGGTGCAACTCCAGGCCCTCAAATGCAGCTCATACATTTCCGTCCCCTTCATCCCCCTACCCCTCTTGTTGTCTGCCTGTCCGACTCAGCACATCGAGACAGCACCACCGAGAATGAACAACCCAGGAGAGAACATTGCGTATTACAGAATAGCAGGTGAGAGTGGTTGCCAAGGGCTCCTCTTTTGTCTGTATGCTCAGTTCTATCATGGTACGTGTCTGATGCTCTCCTGGCTATCATTATCCCATGTGCTTCCCGTTGTGCCTCTCCAGTGCCCTCAAAGCAAACACGTTCTGCTCATGGATTGTGCTGTGTTAATGCTTCTGCGGACGCCTATTCACATAACCTGCCTCCCTGCGCTTCACCTGTCCACGTCCGCCCTGCTTCCCAACCCCCCACCCCCCCCCGTGCTTTCCGACAAGACCAGACCATTACAAGTTCGCCCTCACATAGCTCTTTGATATAAGTTCTCATTTTTTAGACGTCTCAAAACTACACCCTCTGCGCACGCCCTCCCTGCTTCTCACTATCCATGTGTGCCCACAAGCGCAGATCACTACAAGTTCGCCCTCACAGAGCTCTTTGACCATCGGCAGTTTCCACGCGTCATCATTCTTGAAGGTATGCTTTACAAGGTACCCTTGTTGCTGTTTATAAGGTGCCCGTAGTTGCGGCGCTTAGTCGGCAACTGGTTTGCACGTAACAGTTGCACTTATCGACATGGGGCTAGCTTCTGACTTCTTTGAGTCGACTCAACAGTTGCCTTGTTTCCCCAACCCCCACTTTCTCACGTGTCCTTCCAGATGACATGGAGCTAGCTCCTGACTTCTTTGTTTACTTTGAAGCCGCCTCCAACCTGCTGGATGTGGACGAGTGAGTGGAGGCATGCAGTGCGGTGCGGTGTGGTGGGATGCATTGTGGTGTGATGCAGTGGGATGTGGTGTGCTGCAGTGTGCACTGCACTGGTGCCATACAGAACGGTGCAGTGTGAGTCATGCAACGTGATGTGCTGTGATGTGTTGCAATGCGGCGCAGTGCAGTGCAGTGCAATGCAGTGCGGTGCGATGCTCCGTGACGCCGACAACAACTCACTCACCTCCACCTCCCCCATCCCTTCCGCTCAGGTCCATCCTGGCAGTATCCTCATGGAACGACAACGGCCAAAAGCAATTCGTGCACGACGCGCACCAGCTCTACCGCTCGGACTTCTTCCCAGGGCTCGGCTGGATGCTGAAAAAAGAGCTGTGGTTGGAGCTCAAGCCCAAGTGGGCCCGAGCCTACTGGGACGACTGGCTGCGCCTCCCGGAGCAGCGCAAGGGCCGCCAAACCATCCGCCCGGAGGTCTGCCGAACCTACAACTTCGGGGAGCATGTGAGTGCCTGCTGAGCCTACAGGGTTGGAAACAGTTGTTTGTGGCTTCATTCGTTTCTTTGTGGTTTTCAATTGTTGTGACCTGGCTTCGAATGCAAGCAACTCAGCACATCCCATTCAGCCCGTTAAAGCCTGCCTGACCCACCTTGTCAAACCCCACCTTCTTTGCCTCCTCCTTGCCCTGCCTCTGCTCCTCTCCTCCCCTCCAGGGCTCCAGCATGGGCCAATACTTCAGCCAGTACCTGGCACCCATCAGGCTCAACAGCGACCCCATCAACTGGGCTCAGAAGGACCTCAGCTATCTGCTCGACGTCAGCTACCCCTCCTACATGCTCTCGCAGCTGCGCTCAGCTCGCCTCATCCCCCTCGCAGCAGTCAACACCGAGGTGGTAACCCCATCGGAGCTTGGTTACGATGTAATGGTGGAGTATCGGGATGAAGGCGGCTTTGCGGAGCTTGCGGGGGAGTTTGGCGTTTTTCAGGAGTGGAAGGCAGGAGTGCCGCGCACGGCTTATAGTGGGGTTGTAGTGTTTCGGTACCACGGGCCACACCGAGTGTTTTTTGTTGAGCGGAGAGGGTTGGCTAAGTTAGGGTTCAAGTTGCCAACTAGCTCATAGAGCTGAGATTTTACCAGGGGTTAGGAGTCACTCATATTGATGGTTGATAGGATGTACAAAACAATATCGTCATGCAAAGATGGTTTGAAGCTAAAAGTAAAACTGGATGATTATCCTATATTTTTCTTACCGTATTACTTCAGTGAGACATGCTCAAACTTTGTTTGTGACTCCTGATATCGCAGGAGGCTCGTAAAGGTTGATTGTATCATTCCCACAGCTTCAGCTACGTGCCTCGCTATTAGTGGTTGCTGACCACGTGGCGACTGACTGACCACCACGCATGCATCTAGCCCTTCCCTCCTGATGGGCGAAGCCACTCGCCTGTCTCGAGTTCGCCGCGCCCCACAGATTCGCCCTTTCTACGTCCTCCTCACTGTCACTGCGTGGTCTACGGAACACAGTACGAATCGCGCATTGACAGTACGAGTAGGGAGGCCCTTTTGCCTGCCTCTCTCCCTCTCTCCCGCGTCTCGCGCCTCTCGCGCCGCTCGTGCTCTCTTCTCCTGAAACGATTCCCTACCGTCAGGCCCAGCTTCCCTATATATTTGAGGGGTTCGTATTGGTTCGTCTAGGCCGCAGTGAAGCATCTATGACGGTCCGCCGACGGCTAGCCGTCTCGTCCGTCTGCAACCGTTAGTGTCCCTTACTCCCTCTGCTGCTAAGAGCATCGGGTTCCGCGCGTCGGAAACCGCTCCTTCGCATCCCGTGGTCATGGCCTCGTCACGCCTTTGCCACGTGTCCGCCTCCCTGTCCCACCGCACGCTTCTCCCCGTTCCTTCCCATCCAACCGTCGATTTCACCCTAGCTGCGCGCCCAGCCGTTCCGCAACGGCGACGCGCTCTCCGCTTATCTGCTCCTCGCGCGCAAGCCGACGATGGCACGACTCGGAGAAGCGGGCCGCGGTGGGACCCGTTATTAGCTGACTCGGGAACGGACTGCCCCGTGCCGGAGGAGCAGCAGCCTATCAACGAGTACCAGAGTCTCCTAGAGAGCGCGGTGTTCCCGTGGGTCACGCTGGACGGCCTTAGCTACGCGCTGCGGCTCGTGGGCGTTGGAGTGGTTGTCTCCGCGCTGATTGGCTGGCCTGTTGCGTCGCTGACGTTCGATCCCAAGGTAGGGCCTGCGGAATTTCGAGGTAGTGGCTGAGAGATATCACGGTAAGAAGCAGAACGGAAAAGAAAATGGGAAAAACAGAAACGTACCAACCAGAGAGCAGTGTAAAAAACGTGGACCAATCCCGAAACCTTGGGAGATCCGGTTTGACATCAATCCTCCTCCCTCTTTCCCCCACCTCGCTCTCCCTTCGAAAACGACCATCTCCATTGCCCCCCGCCTCCCTCCCACCTTCTCTCACATCCTACCTCTCTTTGCTCCTTCTTCCCATCTCCTCATGCCCCCTACATTCCTCTTTCCCTCTCTTCCTCCTTCCCTCTCTTCCTCCCTCCCTCCTTTCTCCCCCCCCCCTCCTCAGCGAGACGCGCTACAGTGTCTGCTGGGGTCGCTGGGCGGCGGGCAGCTGGCAGTTACTCTGGCGGCGCTTCGGCTGTATCTGGGGTGGTCGTATATCGGCAACCGGCTGTTCAGTGCTACAGTGGAATGTGAGCTTCGGTGTAGTAGCTACATTGTAACCAGTGCTTTCTTTCGACACACACACACACACACACACACACACACACACGCACACACACACACACACGCACACACACACACACACACACACACGCACACACACACACGCACACACACACACACACACACACACACACGCACACACACACACACACACACACACACACACACGCACACACACACACACACACACACATAGCTTTCTCAAGCCCCTCAGGCATCTCTTACCTTCCCCCTCCCCTTTCCCCCCACTCTATGCCCCTCAGACGAGGAGACGGGGTGGTACGACGGGCAGGTGTGGGTGAAGACCCCCGAGCTGCTGGCGCGAGACAGACTGCTCGCCTCCTACAAGGTACGTTGGGCGTTGGGCAGCGCACAGCAGATAACTTGCCTCTGCCTAGCCTCGCTGGACGGGCAGGTGTGGGTGAAGACCCCCGAGCTGCTGGCGCGAGACAGGCTGCTCGCCTCCTACAAGGTACGTGGAGCAGCACACAGCAGAGAACCTTCTGCCTTTCCCACCACCTGGTGTGCGATTTTTGAGGCGCCTCAAAAATCCTACAAGGTGCGTGGAGCAGCACACAGCAGATAAACCTTCTGCCTTTCCCACTACCTGGTATGCGGGTGCTGCGTCCGCTGTATGCTCCAGCGCACAAGGTAAGGTACGTCGGGCAGCATCACACAGCAGAGAACCTGCCTCTTCCTAGCCTCGCTGTGCCCCTGTTGCATGCGCTGTGTGCTCCATCCATTTACTCCGCCCATTCATCTGTCTCATCCCCGTCTCTCTTCGGGTTCAAGATGAAGGCAGTTTGAGATCTCAACCATTCTCTCCACAACCCCTCCTGCCCCCAACAGGTGAAGCCAGTCCTGAATCGTCTCAAGTCCACCCTCCTGGGCTTGGGCCTCTCCCTTGCCGCCACCACCGCCCTCCTCTTCCTCCTCCCCTCCTCCTCCTCCTCCCCCGCCTCTCTCTCCAGCTTCACTCCTGCCTCCTACATTCCTGACTCATCTGCCACGTCAGCACTGACAGCTCAGCAGGAGCGAAGAGCTGGTGAGGCGGAGGGATGGGATCATATGGAAGACAGGGTGGGTCAGGCATCCCCGTTATTAGATGCCATTCCTGGGTGCGGGCCGGCAGGATCAGCAGCAGAAGATAATGTTTGAATCGTTGGGGGCCTTGAGAATGGAACATCGCATTTTTGTGCGTGCAATGAATTCTGCTCTTCCATTCCATTTTGAATGAAGTCCCTTTGTTTATTTGAACACAGCGAGTTTTTTTTTTTTTTTTTTTTTTTTTTTTTTTTTTTTTTTTTTTTCAGTGAAGCCGCTGCACCCTTGTTGCTGAGCTTCGTTACTTGCTCTTGATATACAATAGCCTGTTCATGCATCCATCCATCAGGTGACCCTTGGGCAGTGGTGTTAACTCCTCTAGAAGCTCCCACCACCAGCAGCGCCACCCCCTCCGGTACACCTACTTACAGCTTCCATCACCTCTAGGTCACCACCAACCAAACCCCCCTTTCCTTCGCCAATCACCCCTTCTCGCCCCACTCTCCTCCATCGTTCATCTGCCCGCTCTCCTGCCGGTCAGTCTGCCCAAAAAAACTTCTTCCCAGTCCATCTTCGGTAGGGAACGAGCCGCTATTCTCTTCAAGCGAGGCAACAGCATTTTCCAAGTCCCTTGCCATTTTCTCCTCTAAAGCCGATGTGGAGGTCACAGGTCAGCAGCAGCAGCGGAAGTAGAGGCTGAAGTGCCTCAGCACATGTAGCAAGCAGCAGCAGCAGCAGAAGAAGAAGAAGAAGCAGATACAGGGGTGTTCACAGTGGTTTTTTGCGGAGTGTGTTGCGCTGACGTGGCGCTCACAGTGAGGATCAGCACCAGTGAATGCAGCGTGATAAGTGGATGTTGAGTGTCGGTGGGGGTTGCACTGGAATAGCCACCCTTCAGTGCCGGCATGCAGACTGCGAGATGTGGAAGGGGGGTGTGTCGTTGGTGCTGCTAACCTGTGAGGACTGATGAGGGTGTAGGGAATAGTGGTGGCAATCTCAAATTCTCATATTAGCTTACCTACCACTGTAATTTGTCGTTGCTGCCGGAGTGAGTGAGTAGTGGCTCAGGCGGAGATCAGACTGTTCCTGATTTTTGCAATCTGTGTGGGTCTTTTTGCAACATTGGAGCAGATTTCATCCCCATGAGTGGATGTCTGCACCCTCATGCATCAGCTCGTGTGTGGGGTATGAGATTTTTCCAGTGATTACTCAAATCATGTTAGATGATGCACACACTCGATGAGAGCAACATTATTTTGTCCAAGTTGTGTTACTAACGAGGTATTGCGCCGCGACAATCAAAATCGGCTGGTGCACGCTCGCCCACGCTTTCGTAACAATCACCGCTCTCTGCTTGCGAAGAAGATCGGAATCTACGTGGTGCAATAGGCCACGACGATCGACGCTCGTGTTCTCGCCAACGCATTCGCCTTCGTGTTCACCTTCCCATTCGTTTCGCATACTTTCTCAACCTGCATTCACGCTCTCCTCCAGTTGGGGTGATTGAGGACAGCCATTTCTGCTATCTTACCTATGCCTAGCTTCTCGCTCCACGGCTAGAGCAGATTTTCAAATCCCCCGTATCCTCATCCCGTGTCCACTCCGCCTCGCCACCCCCTCTCCCGTTCATGATCCGCAGAACCCAATTCGCATTTCCTTCAGAGCGCAAAGCCGCAAGCCGGTGAAAGAAATCTCCAAAGGCTCTCAAACTCCTCACGCTTTTGTCTCCAAATCCGCAAGCCGGCGCAAGGTTGTTCGACCGTGAATGTCGGCCCCGCTCGTCATTAGATCCTTTCCTCGCTCTTCCCTCCACCGCGTCTGCGCGCACGACATCCTTCAATCGAACATCCGCCGCGCGCCGACTGTTTCCCCTGGTAGTCGCGCGCCCTCGCCGCCTACTATCACACCGCTTTGTCTCTCGACTTTTGAGGCGCCTCAAAATTCTTCGCCGCCTACTGTCGCACCGCGTTGTCTCACACCCGCTAGCCTCCCGACGTACCGGAGAGCTTCCAGGAACCTTCATTCGCACCTTCCACGTCATACTGCCGAGGTGCCCTCAACGCGCTCACCCCTTCAACGACTGACACGTTGCACACATTCGTTCGTCTCTGCAACCTCAATGGAGGCCGCACCTGCGCTCGATGGACACCCGTCCGCACCTGCCACGGCGGCGCGAATCGCGGTGGTAGGCGCGGGAATCTCGGGGCTTGTCGCCGCGTCGATACTCGCGGAGCGCGGGGCACACGTGGCGGTGTTTGATTTGGGGAGGGGTCCAGGGGGCCGCATGTCGCAGCGGAGGGAAAGCATCGCCGTTCCGCCACGTGTCAGTTCTGCCGAGTCAGCCGTCGACCTGCCGAACCTAGAGGCCAGGTTCGACCACGGCGCGCAGTACTTCACCATCAGCGATCCGAACGTGCTGACGTTCCTGGAGCAGCGGTTCGGGGGAGCGGGAACGGGGGCGCTGGCGGAGTGGAAGGGACGGTTTGGAGCGTGGGACGCGGAGAACGGAAAATTTATCCCGGAGGGGGGAGAGGACGCGGGAAAAGTGCAAGAAGAGGGTAACTTCGGGATTAAGAAGCGGTTTGTGGGCGTACCTGGAATGAACGCCCTCTGTCAGACGCTGCTCCTCCCCTCACCCATGGCTTCTGCGGTAAACATCAATGCTAGATTCGGCGTCCAGGTGGCACGAGCAGATTGGCTAGAGCACAAAAACTCTGCGGGAGTGTCTGAGGTAGACGAGGGTACCCCTCTCCCTCCGTCTTGGGAGCTTTTCTCGTCTTCCGGAGATTCCCTAGGTTGTTTCCACGGCCTGGTTATTGCTGCGGCATACCGAACCATGCCTGTGGTCCTCCCTGACCTGCCGAGCCTAGCTCAGGTTCGGCAGGGCCTGGCGGAGGTCCGGGCGTCGCCCAGGTTCGCGATGATGCTGGCGTTCGCCGAGCCTCTCAGCCACGTGGCGTTTGATGGCGTGGATGTGGTGGGGAGTGACGTGGTGGGGTGGATTGGGCGGGACAGCAGCAAGCCAGGCAGAGCGAGGAGGGGCGCAGGGCAAGACAGAGCAAACCAGAGCAAAGCAGAAGAAGGGTACCAAGAGGAGCAGTATGCAGAGTGTTGGGTGGTTCACTCCACTGCTCATTACGCCTCCTCCCTCCTCGCGTCTGCTCCCCCCGGCCGCCCCTCTCCGGACCTCCTTGCACGCGTGGCAGACGACATGTGGCGCGCTGTGAAGCCTATCCTGGGCGGTGGCAGTAGGAGAGGAGGTGGTGAGAGTGTGGGAGGAGTGGAGGGGGAAGAAGGGTTGGAGCCGGTTTTGAGGAAGGTGCACCGGTGGGGAGGGGCGTTTCCTGTAGCTGGGGTGGCTGCAGCAGGGGAAAAGTGCCTGTGGAGCGAGGAGGGCAGGGTTGCGGCGTGTGGGGATTTCTGTGTGGGAGGGCCTGTGAGAGGGTTGGTGGAAGGCGCTGTGGCTAGCGGCATGGCGGCGGGGCGGAAGCTGGGTGATGCCCTCCGGCTGGGAAGAAGTGCTCTTTGAGTGAGGATAACGCTGCCAAGCTGTCATGTGGGGGGTCAGGGGGAGGGCTGGTGGAAGGCGCTGTGGCTGGTGGCATGGAGGCGGGGTGGAAACTGGGTGATGCTCTCCGGCTGGAAAGAAGTGCATTGTGAGAATGATGCTGTCACGCTGTCATGTGGGGGCGGATGGTGTTGTGAGATCTGCCAAGGGACCAAGGGTCGCGTGAAGGCGAAGGGACCAGTGAGAGCATGTGGTTGGGAAGCTGGCCAGGCTAGAGACGGTTGTTCGAGAGAAGATGGGTGATAGCAGGGCAATGACATGGCTGCTTGTTTTGAATTGAAAGCTGGCTGCAATTGTTTGATTCATGCTATATTGGTGTAAGTGTATTGTTTACAGATGCGGCCAAAAGAGACATTTGATGTTCTGTTATTATGATGTGCCATTGGGAACTGATAACGAAAATGTTGCCCTAATAATAGGATCCCTTTCTTTTCTCAATGAACCTTGTAGTGGAAGAATTGTTCAGATGAGTAGCTAAGATACAGCAATGCAAGCTTGATAAGATAATTATCGCAAAACGAAGCATTCCCTCTGACAAGAACATTCTCCTCCTGATCATTCCTCCTCCACCCTGACGCCCTGGCCGCCATAGTTGGAAGGAAGTATGGAGTAAATGGCACGGTTTCTCGTCATGGCGGAGCTGGGTGGATAACAGGTGGATTAGCGCCTGTTAGGTTTGAGTTATCCGTGGGTCTGGGGTCATGTGGTCTTGCTTCCGCGCTGCGTCGCGCGCCGCTGCGAGATCACCTGGGAAGCACGCTGGGTACGAGATTCGATCGTTTGTCGCCGCCAGATCAAACTCGCTAGATTGCCCCGTCACCCTGCATCGGTCGATCGCATGTCCTCCGCATTCAGCATCCACGTGGCGATCGGGCGAAGAGAACCGGTATCTCATCCGTAGGTGGCTTGGACGGGAAATTAACAGCTTCGGTGCAGATGGTCCGGCTCGACGACCGGCTCAGAGTCTGGTTCGGAATCTGGTTCGGCAGACCGAACCTCTCGGCGTTTACGCACGGATCCACCAGTTTTCGTTTCACGCGTGCAGAAGCCAAGCAGCCGCGTATCGGTCGTTGCCGTTAGTAAGCTCCGCTCGACCCTACACCAGTGACAGTAGCAGCAGCATCAGCGGCAGAATCAACAGCAGTGACAGTAGCAGCAGCAACAGCAGCAGTGGCAGCAAAAATGGCGTTGGCATTGCGGAAGGATCAATCGGTCCTGACAATGGTGCTCCTAGAAACCCGGAGACACGTGGCAGCACAAGTCACACTGGCACGCGGATTCCCCAACGGACGGGCCAGGTTTACCCAGGACAGGGTTACCCGAGACAAAGTTATCCAGGAAATGGTTACCAAACACAGGGTTACCCGAGACATGGTGACCCGAGACAGGGTTATCCGGGACAGGGTTACCCGGATCAGAGTTCCCTGAATCAGCAAGATTGGCGATTCGAGCGAAGCCAAGTCAGGTTGCGAGCTCGCGAACTCCTGTGGCGAATGAGCCAAGCAGCAGGAGCGGGTAACTACGAGCTTCTGCTATCGCTAGCTGGACAACCAGTGAGCGAGAAGGAAAGGCATTGGCGGGAGAGAGTTGAGCGGATGAGCAGCAGCGGAAAGAGAGGCGAAGGCGGGGGAATGGGGCATGAAGGCAGTGGGAAAGATGAGACATGTGGCAGCAGCGACAGTAGCAGCAGCAGCAGCATACGCAGCACGGAAGCCGCACCACCTGAAGCGTTACCACATGAAGCATCACCTGTTGTTTCACCTGAGAGCCTTCCACCTGCGAACGTTTTACGTGAAAGCTCAATAAGGCCATCGTCAGAATCAAAATCAACGGCTGGGAACGTTTCACCTAACTCCAACATGCCACATCAGCCGTATCTGCTGCCAGCTCGGAGCGTCGCTGCAGTGCTGCATACCCTACGCAAGCAGCACGCACCAACGGTGGCCCTCCACGTGTACTGGAGGCTGAGGGCGGCTGGACAGCTGTCGTTTCACTGCAATGACGTGGCACTCGCTGCGTGCTGTGGTGTGGAAACGGATTATAGACTGGCGGAGTATGAGAGGGCGGAGAGGCGGCAGGGGAGCGGGTGGGGCAGGGGAGGTGCGCAGGGGACAGGGGGAGCGGCGGAGATGAGGTTTCTGGGGAGCTCTGATGGAGATGGGTTGCTGGGGGGGGAGGAGGGAGAGGAGGGAGAGGAGGGAGAGGAGCGGGAGGAGGGCAAGGAGGGAGAGGCGGGAGAGGAGGAAAGGGAGGGAGGAAGTGAAGTTGGAGCGATGGAGGAGGAAATGGTAGGGGAGGAGGGGGCCGAGGGAGGCGAGGGGGAATGGGAGACGGGTGGCAGCAGCAGCAGCAGCAGCAGGGGAAACGGCAGGCACAGCAATGGGTGGCACAGCGATGGGTGGCCGAGCATCAACTGGCGCAGCAGGGGCATGCCCCCGCCGTGGGTGCTCACGAGTCCCACCGTGCAGGCAGCTCTGGGCACCCACGCGCCTGCCCCCGCCCTGCACATGCTGGCCGCGCAAGGCCTCTCCACAGGGCAGGGAGAGTTGGAGTCCGCTCAAATGCCAGCGCTGCACATGCTGGCCGCGCAAGGCCTCTCCACAGGGCAGGGAGAGTTGGAGTCCGCTCAAATGCGAGCGCTGCACATGCTGCCTGGACAGGGGCTTGTGACAGGGCGCATGGGTGAGGGGGAAGTGAAACAAGGGGCCAGGGGGGAGGCGAACGTTCTAGAGAGTGGACTGGGAGAGGTTGGTCTGGTGGAAGCAGATGGTGCTGCTGCTGCTGCTGCTCTCTTGCTCTCTCATCAAGCCACCACTCTCCCTGGCCCCTCCCCTCACTCCCAAGCATCATGTACCTCTCAAGCCTCCCCAGCCGACTGGCCAGCCATGGAAGCACGCTTCCCCGTGCTGTCCGCGCTGATTAGGTTCGAGGAGAGGTTCGGCATAGGCTCGAGCGCGTGGGAGGAGGTTCGGGCGCTGGGGCTGTGGGAGAGAGCAGCTTTGGAGATTCTGGCCGAGTCCCGGGGCAAGTTGCAGAGGTTCGGAGGGGAGCTGGCTCGGCCGTACCACAGGGTGCTGATGGCTCTGGCTCTGCGAGGGAGGGAGGCTGAGATTGCTCAGGTGAGAGAGAAATACCTGGTGCGTTTTTCAGGGTGCTGATGGCTCTGGCTCTGCGAGGGAGGGAGGCTGAGATTGCTCAGGTGAGAGAGAAATACCTGGTGCGTTTTTCTGAGGTGGCTTTTGAGGCGCCTCAAAAGTTGGCCGGACCACAGGCACAGGGTGCTCATGGCTCTGGCTCTGAGAGGGAGGGAGGCTGAGATTTCTCAGGTGAGATTGCTCTCAGGTGAGGTAACTTTGTGCCTGCTGAGGCAAATTCTGAATGCGTTTTGTTCAGAATTCTAAAAAAACGCACTCTGGTGATATTTCTCAGGTGAGATAACTGGTGCTTGTTGAGGCCAATTTTGCAGGGGTGCATTTTGCAGGGGTGCATTTTGCAGAGTTGGGAGAGTTACTTGGTGCCCGCTAATTTGCCTGATGCGTGGAGCATAGTGAATTGCGCGACGCACCTCCTGGGCTGCCGTGTTTGCACCCTCATGCTCACAACCCTTACTCACTCCCTGCATCTGTCTCCGCCACCCCTGCAGTTGTCTTCTCTTCATTGCCCCAACAGGTGCACCGTGCACTCATGCATGGATGGAGCATGACAGAGATGGTGCGCACACCTCACAACCGCTACTGCGACTGCCAACCTGCATTTCTCTCCTCTCCGCCAACCCCACCCCCACCACTGCCCCCAGCAGGTGCAGGCATGGATGGAGCAGGACGGAGTGACTGAGGCGCCCAGCTTCCCCGCGCTGCTCTCACGCTTGAGCCACCTGGGCCATTCAACGCCCCTTGCTGCGTCCCACGTGCCTCTGCTCTCAGTGCTCACCAGCAGCCCTGGTGAGTGAGTGTTCACCCCTGCTCCATTCCCTGCTCTTGCTGCTGCCGCCGCCGCCGCCGCCGCCGCTGCTGCTGCTGCTGCTGCTGCTGCTGCTGCTGCTGTTGCTGCTGTTGCTGCTGCTGCTGCTGCTGTTGCTGCTGTTGCTGCTGCTGTTGCTGCTGTTGCTGCTGCTGTTGCTGCTGTTGCTGCTGTTGCTGCTGCTGCTGCTGCTGTTGCTGCTGCTGCTGCTGCTGCTGCTGCTGCTGTTGCTGCTGCTGCTGCTGCTGCTGCTGCTGCTGTTGCTGCTGCTGCTGCTGCTGCTGCTGTTGCTGCTGCTGCTGCTGCTGCTGCTGCTGCTGCTGCTGCTGCTGCTGCTGCTGCTGCTGCTGCTGCTGTTGCTGCTGTTGCTGCTGCTGCTGCTGCTGTTGCTGCTGTTGCTGCTGCTGTTGCTGCTGTTGCTGCTGCTGTTGCTGCTGTTGCTGCTGTGCTGCTGCTGCTGCTGCTGCTGTTGCTGCTGCTGCTGCTGCTGCTGCTGCTGCTGTTGCTGCTGCTGCTGCTGCTGCTGCTGCTGCTGTTGCTGCTGCTGCTGCTGCTGCTGCTGTTGCTGCTGCTGCTGCTGCTGCTGCTGCTGCTGCTGCTGCTGCTGCTGCTGCTGCTGCTGTTGCTGCTGCTGCTCTCTCATGTTTACCCTCCATCCCCCCTGCCCCCCGATCAGACATCACGATCCACAAGCTAGCCTCACAGCACCAGTGGGGCGACATGCTGCTGCTGCTCCCCCACGCGCTCACCTGCTACTTTGAGTCGCACGGGTGGGAGCGCATCACCCTCTGGAGCTCCGCCCTCGCTGCTGTGGGCCAGGCGTGCCGCCCCGACGTGCTCAAGAGCATGGTGAACGCTGCTGAAGCCACAGGGCTGGCTGATGGTGAGTGCGGGTGGGAGTGAGTGTGTCGGTTTGTGATGCACTTTATCAGCCAGGGTGCGTGGAAACCCTACCAGGCGTGCCGGCCCGATGTGCTCAAGGCCTGCTGAAGCCACAGGCCTGGCCGATGGTGAGTGCGGGTGCGAGTGGGGAAGAGCAAGTACGTTGATGATGTGCTTAAAATTCCTACCAGGCTTCAAAGTGCATCAACTCTCTGTGCTCCTCTCTTCTTCTCTCCCCACCCCCTTCCCTTCCCCTGTTGCAGCCCCCTTTTCCCTCCCGGACGGCACGCAGCTGACCCGCAGGCACTTCCTGGGGGACAATTACTGGAAGGGCTTTCGGCCGCTGGTGGAGCCGGCAGCTTTCTGAGCTCCCCCCTCTGCCCTTCCCTTCCCGCTTCCCTTCCCCTGCTGCAGCCCCTTTCTCTCTCCCTGACGGCACGCAGCTCACACGAAGGCAGTTCCTGGGGGACAATTACTGGAAGGGCTTTCGGCCGCTGGTGGAGCGGCAGGGGCGGCAGCGGGTGTCAGGGGGCGAGTTTGAGCGCACGTGGGGGCTGGTGAGGCAGGCCGTGGCGGCCACGGGGCTGCACCCCCACGAGGGCATCTCCTCCCTCCTCATCTCCGGCCTCTGCGTCAACGGCCAGGTGTGCTCTCGCTGCCTCGGATGTGTTGGAGGAGATGGGCTCCCCCCTCGCTGCTCAGATGGGCTTCTCTTCTCTCTCGCACCGCGTGTCTTTGATTCGCTGCTGCTGCAGCTGCAGCTGCCTCAGCCACAAGGCTCCTTCCCTCCCCTTCTTCCACTCCCCCTTTTTCAAAGCAGCTCGACAGGGCGATGGATGTGTTGGAGGAGATGCAGCAGCTGTGGATCGATCAGGAGGCACTTACCCATCAACCCCCCCACCCCACTCCACCCCTCCCCTCCCCTCTCACTCACAGCTCGACAGGGCGATGGACGTGTTGGAGGAGATGCAGCAGATGGGCTTCGCCCTCACGCCACGCGTCTTCGACCCGCTGCTGCTGCAGCTCGCACGCTCCAAGCTCTTCAAGGAGGCGCTCGCCCTGGCTGACGTCATGCGCCGCATGGACGGGGGACTCACAGTCGCCTCTTTCAGCAGCTTGATTGAGGCGTGCTTGCAAGTGGATAATGTGAGTCGCTACATGGTGTGAGTGTGTGTGTGCTCCAAGCTCAAAGCTCTTCAAGGAGGCGCTCGCCCTGGCGGATGTCATGCGGCGCATGGACGGGGGACTCACTGTGGCTTCCTCAGCAGCTTGATCGAGGCGTGCTTACAGATCGACAATGTGAGTTGAGTCTTAGCACAGGGCAGGTGTCGCTACATGTGTGAATGTGCGAGTGTATGCTCGCGCGCTCCAAGCTCTTCAAGGAGGCCCTTGCTCTCGCAGATGTTATACACCGCATGGACGGGGGACTCACAGTCGCCCCCTTCAGCAGCCTGATCGAGGCATGCCTGCAGGTCGATAATGTGAGTCGCTACAGTACATGGTAGGCGTGTGCCTGTGTGTGTGTGCGCGCGCGTGTGTGTTTGGTGGGTTGGTGTATGCTGTGCTGGAGGGGCTTGATTGGTTGGCTTGGCTGTCGTGTGAGTTGAGAGTGCTACTCTTTATTTTTCTCCCCATCCCGATCGCCTGTGGCAGATCCCAATGGCGCTGGAGCTAGTAGCAGAGATGAGGAGCACGGGCGTGCACTGTGTGTGTAGGTAGCCGAGGCTCTAAAAAGTCCACGTGGTTGTTCTCTCTCACTGCCCGCTTCCCTGTCTGTCGACCATGGCAGATCCCAATGGCGCTGGAGCTAGTAGCAGAGATGAGGAGCACGGGCGTGCAGAGGAACAGCTACATCTACACGCCCATCATTCACGCCTTCTGTAAACAGGCACGTGTTGTGACCACAGGCACTCCCTATTGAATCTATCCCTATGCATGTCAACAGGCACTTGCAATCCATAGCGTTCGTAAACAGGCACGTGTTGTGATGTGACCACGAGCACACCACATTCTCTGCAAAAAAAGACACGTCCTGCCATCCAACCTCTCTGCTAAAAGGCCACATCTTGCAATCCACTCCATCTGCAAGCAACTGCGCCCATCATCCACGCCTTCTGCAGCCAACCAGCTTGTGTTCTTTCGGCACATCTTGCATTTACACCATCTGTTACCAGCCATGACTTGCAGCCCAGGGCACACACACCTTCAGTTACTGTTCACAATTTCTGTGCCACTGCCCCCCACCATCCCCCTGTTACGGCAGCCCAGGGGAAGCTTTCTGCAGCAATGGGGGTGCTCCGTGAGATGATGGCAGACGGCATTCGGCCCAACGTGGTGGTCTTCACGCAGCTGCTGCACGGCTGTGCCCTCGCACGCAACCCACCGCTCACCGTGCGGGTGGCAGTGCTTGACCCTCCGTCCCACTTCCCCACTCCCCCAACCCCAACCTCCTCCCTCCCACCCCACTCCCGGCAGCCCAGGGGAAGCTGTCAGCAGCGATGGGGGTGCTCCGTGAGATGATGGCAGACGGCATTCGCCCCAACGTGGTGGTGTTCACGCAGCTGCTGCACGGCTGTGCCCTCGCACGCAACCCACTACTCCCCATGTCTCCCCGCTACTTCCCTCTTCCGCCCCATACTCTTCTCCCCCACACTCTCCCCCCTCACTCCCCCAAACCAACACCCCCACTCCCGGCAGCCCAGGGGAAGCTTTCTGCAGCGATGGGGGTGCTGCGTGAGATGATGGCAGATGGAATTCGCCCCAACGTGGTGGTGTTCACGCAGCTGCTGCACGGCTGTGCCCTCGCACGCAACCGAGCCATGGGCATGCGCGTGCATGAGATGATGCAGCAGCACGGCGTGCCCCCCAATGACTACCTGCATGCTGCCATGGTACCTGGCAGCAGCAGCAGAGGCAGCAGGGCACAAAGTAGGCGCCAATGCAGTGAGCGCTTTAGTCGAGGCCCTGGCGGCAGCAGGGCGCACAGAGGCAGCTCTAGCCGCATTCCACCGGGGGCGAGCACAGGGCGTGCAGCCGCTGCCATATGCCGTGGGGACCATGATCATGGCCCTTGGACGGGCAGGCAAGGTGGAGGATATGATGGCGCTGTTCCGCGAGTCGCGCAGGGGGGCAAGAGGGGCGCGGAGGGTGCAGGGGGGCTCGCAGAAGGGGGACAGGTGGACACGGGGGAGTGGGGGGGAAGGGGAGGATGGGGGGGATGGATGGAAAGGCGAGGGCGGTGAGGGTGGAAGGCAGTGGGAGGGCGTGACGTGGCAGCAGGAGATGCGGAGTGGGCATGCGCTGGTGGTGCAGACGCTGGCGTGTCTTGTGCAACTCCATGATGTGCAGTACGGCCCCTGCTCTCCTCTCCCTCCTTCGTTTCCCTCCCTACCTCTTGCCCTCCCACCCTACCTCTTTCCCTCCCACCCTACCTCTTTCCCTCCCACCCTACCTCTTTCTCTCCCTCCCTACCTCTTGCCCTCCCACCCTACCTCTTTCCCTCCCTCCCTACCTCTTGCCCTCCCTCTCAACCTCTTTCGTCTCACCCCTGTGCATTTTTACTGTGGCCACTGCAAAACGCCATAAGCAGCGCTGTGAGTCTCTGGCTTTAGGAGGAGTGTCGCAGTGTACCCTGGCCTATCGTCGTAACTGTTCTCCCATGCCACGCCATGTGCCCCTCTGCTCCCCGCTTTTGAGACGTCTCAAAAGTCATCGTAACTGTTCTCCCATGCGACGCCATATGCCCCTCTGCTCCCCGCTCCCCATGTGCCTCTCTCCTCTCCCTGCGTGCATGCAGGCGCATTCTAGAGGTAGCAGAGGAGATCAAGGACGACCCTCAGCTCAACCGCCAGCAGATCTTTGACCAGGTAGGTGCCTACCACGGCTGACCAGGTAGGTGCCTACCACGGCTGACCAGGTAGGTGCCTACCTACCACGGCTGACCAGGTAGGTGCCTACCTACCACGGCTGACCAGGTAGGTGCCTACCTACCACGGCTGCTCACACGATTCTTCACACTACTGATCCCACGTGCTGCTCTTGAACCTTCTCATGCTTCTACTCACACTCTCCCGCCCTGCCTCCTCTCGTTCACTTCACCATCCCGGCAGGTGCTGTTGCCAGTGGCGAGGGGCCTACCGGACGAGAGGGGGGTGTGTCTGATCGGGGTGAGAGAGGCCCTTCGCATGTTCCAAGCCCTGCGCACTGTGAGTTGCCACTGAGCTCGCCTCTTCCCCCTCTCTCTCTCCTCTCTGCACTCTGTGAATGTCCTTCCTTCTCTCCTCCCCCTCCTCCCTGCACTTTGCAATGTTCCTCCTTCCCGCGTCCCCTTCCTCCCTGTCTGCCACAGATACTCTAAACCTGCTCACCATCCCTTCCCCCATTCATGACTTCCCCCCCACCCCGCGCGGGTGGGCGTGCACGCATTATGCATTGTGTCTTAAAAGATCTTGCATGCCTTCCCTCCTTTCTTGCCCACTCCGCCTTCCATCCCTCCACACCCCGCACAGGTGGGCGTGCACGCGTCCCGCATGGTGCTGGAGGCGCTGTTGGACTCGTGTGCAGCCATGGGGGACCTGCCTCGTGCGCTCCATGTAATGGACGAGATAAATCGCAACGACCTCCCCCCCCATCCCGTTCCCCCATTCATGACTCCCCTTCCTCTCCGCACAGGTGGGCGTGCACGCGTCCCGCATGGTGCTGGAAGCACTGTTGGACTCGTGTGCAGCCATGGGGGACCTGCCTCGTGCCCTCCATGTGAGGGACGAGATGGACCGCAACGACCTCCCCCCCACCGTCTTCACTCTCTTCCGGTGCGTTCTGGTGCTTTTTAAGGCTCGTGTGAACATCAATGTGGAAATGCATTGCGCCCACCTGGACATTGGTGCCTTTCCTCTCAAATGTCGCCCTACCATTTCTCATTCTAAGCATATGCAAGCCACACATGTTTCCCACAAAACCCTTTCTTCCTCCAGCCTTTTCCGAACAGCCATAACAGCAGAGGACGAGGATGCTGCTTGCACTGCGCTGCGCCAGATGTCGCCCTCTGATTTGTCGGACGAGGACGTGCAGTTGCTGGTGCTTAAAGCCCTCGAGCCCTTCATCCGGGCGGCTGCTGAGGGGGGTGAGGAGATGGCACTGGCCAATGAGACGCTGCCACGTGTCAGGGAGGAGGCTTACCTGGCGATCTTGAGAGCGAATGCGCTCAAGCTGAGGGGCTTGGTAGGGAGAGAAGGGGAGAGGGGTGGGGAGTGGAGAGACCAACGGGAGAAGAATGGGGGAGTGGGTGGGGAGATTTCTGAGATTCTGGCAAGGCAGCAGTCTCGGCAGCCAAATGAAAACAGGACAGGAGAATCAACATAAGTTTATGCTGTGACTAGCTTGTTTCAATTCAACCCCCACCCAGCGAATTCCGGGATTAGCTGGAAGGAAGGCTGGCAAGAAGTACCGTAGCATCATCCTGTCATGCCATGTACGGTAGCCTGAGTTCGACTAATGCAAGCAACCAACCAATGGACACTACGTTACCCCAGGGTGGGGAGTCTCATTTATGACCTTGGGTCATGATGAGAGATTCTACAGAAGCAGACCGAATGGCCTCTGTGGACATCTAATGATCCTTGCTCCTCACCTTTCCCCCACCCTCCTCATCACAGAAAAAGTTGTCCTCACCTCCCCTTTCCCAACCCTGACAAGTACATTCATAACAATGCACATGCCATTTCTTCAATACGGTAGCTCAAGCTCATGCAACGCAACACAGACAGGACAAGTTAGAGAGTCTTGGAAACAACTCGTTACAGAGGTGGTAACAAAAGAACATATGTACACATGTCCTATAGCTGTATCCTAACCTCCGAACTAGTCAGTGTCTTAGCTAAACTACTAGCTCTACTATGCACAGCCGCACACAGGGAACACCCTGGCATGGCGTAAAAGCAACCCTACATAAACGTAAAGCAATGTAAGAAGTTTGCTGGCCACGAAACAGAATCGCCAAGCCCTGTAAACGGGCATGCAAGCAAAGTCCCAGCGCTTGCTTTCGGTGCCTCAGAAACCCAACGCTGCGCGCTCCCAAGTCAAGCATTCCTGGCATTCCGCGGTCGCTTTGCTGCTCCGGACTTTAATTCAAGACAAGGGGGAACGGTGCGGAACGCCCTTCCGCCTGTGCGCGCGCCAGGGGGAGCCGGTACTGCCTTCGTGTTGATACGCCAGCGGCGGAGTCACAGGGGAGAAGACCGGGGACGCCGCGCCAAGCAGCTCCGGATACCGCAGAGACTCCGCGCCATTCGCCTTGTCGTAGCGCGCGCGCTTCCTCTCCCTCTCTCCGCCGCCCCTCCGCCAGTCCGCGGATACCCCCTCGTCACCGTCCTCCTCCGCGCGCCCCTCGTCGCTCTCCCCGGAGCTCGCCGCGCCGTTATCTTCCACCAGCAGAGGGGGTAATGCGCGCTTGCGCCACTCGTTCCGCCAATCGCTCCCGCCTTCCTTCCGCCGGTGCCCCGCCGACCACGTGCCAGAGTCGTCGTCCGATAACCCGTCCCCAGACCGCGCCGGCCGGTCAACGCCCGCGCTGGCCCCGAAATGCGCATGCCCGGCCGGTCCCGTCCCCCGCGCGGGGTGCTCCGCGGAGCCTCCCCCGCGCGGGCGCAATGTGAGTGCGGGGTCGTGGCGCAATGCGGCGACCTTGCATCCGATGGAGCAGTATCGACTGGCGTCGAGCAATGTGCGGTGGCACGTGCGGCAGAAGAACGGCGCGCCTTTAACCACCCGAGACTGCGGGCGCGGATTAATAAAAACCACTTTCGCGCTATTGATCACATACACCTGAATGTGGTGTAGGTCTAGGAGGCGCGACAGCTCGCCGACTCGCACGACGTCGTGATACGACGAGCGGCGGATTTGCAGAATGTCGTGCTCTGGACCGGCGTGGTGTTTCTGCACGCAGAGCGTGCAGAGAGGGTCGCCGCGACATTTAATGCAGAAGAAGTTGCGCTCAGATTTGTGCGCCGCGGCGTGCTGGCGGCACGGAGAGAAGTAATGGCCGCTGAGAAGCTCTGGGACCCAGCTGGGGCACCTACTCGATGTTTTTATCTCCGCCATTGGCGCTAAGCTAGAACGGATGAACGAGCGAAATGCGGAAGAATGCTGCTAATTTCAAGGTGAGTGCTAAAAGAATATAGGAGCTGAATGCGAGGTAATGCGGTAGATTGGTAGCAGACTAGTTGAGCTGTTTCAAGAATTCGCAGATGAAGAAACAAACCCTACAACAGCAGATTTATCCAGCAGCACAGGCTAGTAGGGTTTGACACTGGAGGAAGCAAGAGGAATGAGGAAGACGTAGGATCCAGCACAATGCACGTGACGTTTCGGCCCTGAGCTTCTAAGCTTCGCAGGTCCCTTTTGTCACCCTTTCGCTGTGCCCCATGCACGCATACACTTCGCCATTCACGCACACGTCTTTTCACCTCGTGCCCCAATTCGTGGCGTGCCCTCCCTGCTTCCCATTCCCATGTGCGCCAATTCGATTTCATGCGCCCACAGTGCCGAGTCGCGGTCACTTTCTTCGCTTCCGCCTCACGCAATGGCATTCTGCCCCAGGCGAAATGTTTTCAGTGGGGAAGGACGAAGGCGTGGAGGTGACGTCGACTGGAAGGGCCGGCGGAAACCACCAGAACGCTCTTCGTGACAGCACCTGACTGCTCGTTTCGCATATTTCGTTAACCCTGGTTTCAATTTGCTTGGCCTGGCTTCGACAGACCCGAATGGCCAACCTCCCTTCCACCTGGATCTGTCTCGCACCTTCCGTCAGAAATGGACCTTCGCCGACCCTTCGGACCTGCACCGATTTTGGCTGCCCTGCGGCGCGTCAACTTACGCTGCAACTGGTCATTGGAGGCCTCTCATTGGTCAGACGCGTGGCGCTGCGTCGGGAACCGGGAGAATGCTAGAATTCCTGTCAAAGGCAGCTCAGCCAAATCTGTCACCGACACATTCTTCAGCCCGCCAAAACGTATGGCGAGCCAGTCCACGGACTCCACGCCAAGTGGAGATTTCTAGGCGGGTTGCGCCATGCCGTCAGCACAGCTGGCTATTGGCAGAGCCGAGCCATGCACAGGGCAGGCTGTTTGAGCCTCAGAAATTCGCCACGTGATTCTCGAGACTTCCAGGACTTCCTTCTAGAGTAGGTGGCTGAGTTTTCTTCGCTGAGAGCGGCTTCGGTTACAATCACCACTTCAATTTTGCTTCACACCTTTCGAAACTAGAGAAAGCAAAATATATAATATCGTCAATCTCATTTTCCTACCCCTGTGAAGCATAGCACAATATCCTAATCCCGGGACAAACCTTATCGCTCCCCCTCAGCATGCTCTCGTATGCACCGCAGAATGTCCGACAAGGTCACCACGCCCACAAGAATCCCCGAGGAGTCATCCGCCACCACCCACACCCGATGCACGCGCCCAGCAATCGCTTGAGACATAACCGCGCCTAGCCGCGAATGCTCTCGGCAAGTAATCGGAACCATGGACCTCGCCTCACACACGCGAGCGGGAGACGATGCCGGGGAATTTGACGCAAGGGTGGCGAGGGCGGGAGGGGGGGCATACGGGCTGAAAGCGGCGGAAATTCCGACGTCTTGAGCGACAGAGAGAGTGACGAGGAAGTCACCGACAGTCAAGCAGGGGAGGGCTGTGAGCGCTGCCTCCTCACTGCAGGCACGCAGGTCGCTAGCGGACAACGTGCCCACCAGGCAACGCCCTTGGCCCTGGTGACATGATTGGGGGGGGTGGGTGAGGGGGTGGGAAGGGAGGGCAGGAGCACATGGTGCTGTGAGCGTTGCCTCCTCACTGCAGGCGTGCAGGTCGCTAGCAGACAACGTACCCACCAAGCAACGCCCTTGGCCCTGGTGACATGATGAGAAGGGGGTGGGTGGGGGGTGCGAAGGGAGGGAAGGTACACACAGCGCTGTGAGCGCTGCTTCCTCACCGCAGGCGCGCAGGTCACTGGCTGACAGTGTCCCCACCAGGCAACGGCCTTGGCCCTGGTGACATGATGAGAATGGCGAATGGCGTCCAGGACCTTTTGAATAGACTCAAAAGCAAGCAGCACGTACAAAAGTAAGCATGGGGTCATCGAGCTTGTCGTCAGGCGTGGGCTCCAGCACAGCCACGGCAGCCACAGCCGCCTGCTGCATGCAGCGAATGGCGTCCAGCACCTTCATGCTCGCCGGCACCGCAAACACCGTCCCATGCACCGCCCCCGCTTCCTTCACCGACAGCTGCAGCAGCTCTGCTAGAGACTTGCCACTGCCCGTGGCAGCAGGAGCAGCACCGGAGGAGGAGGAGGAGGAGGAGGGTACAGGACTGGCGGTGCTGCCGCTGCTGCTGCTGGACTTGAAGTGATGGTGCTGCCCGCCTGTCTCTGCCTGTGCTTCACCTATCATGAACTTGATCAGATCGACCTGCGAGAGAATGCGATAGGGCAGGCCGGATACAGGCATGGATTTTTGAAGCGCCTCAAAAAAATGCTGGCCACCTGTCTCCGCCTGTGCTTCAGCAATCATGAACTTGATCAAATCCACCTGCGAGAGAATGGCATTAGTGCAAGCCGGATACAGGGTAGGGTTTCAATCACCACGGCAGCACTCTCTCCCTCCTTACAAGAACACAAAGAGCAGAGAAACAGGAAAAAAAAAAACCTTCTGCGTAAACTTCCTTGATAAATAACAGGCAAGAGCAGGTATGAGTAGGCAAGCACATGAAAACCAAATCTCTCATGACATGACATATCCCTTGATAGTTATTAGTTACCAGGTGAGAGAACAGGCTGGAGGTTGACAATGCACCTGGTTAAGAATAGTGTAGGCGGGGGCACAGCCGGTGGTGAGGAGGCCGCGGGAGAAGCCGCTGTGAGTGGCAGCGGAGAGTGGCACGATGGGGCCCGAGGGGGGGCGGTCCGCGGATGGCAGTGGCAGCAGCACCCGGTGCACGCCCTTGCTCATTGGCTCCAAGGAGTCCAGCACTCTGGGGGAGGGGAGGGGCGGGTGGCGGTGGAGGCGTGGGTGGTCACAGAGAGTCTGATCGAAACTTCCTCTGCAGCACCTGGTGCACGCCCTTGCTCATTGGGTCCTAGGAGTCGAGCACTCTGGGGGAGGGGAGGAGGAACGGGGAAAGGGGAATGGATATAGGATGGCCAGGACCAGGAGTGGGCAGGATTGGATAGGAGTGGGCAGGAGGGAGCAGAAGCGGCCAGAACGGGGCAAAAAAGGGGAGGAGGGGAGAGGAGGGTGCAGAAGGAGGGGTCAGGGGCGCTTACGGGCATTAGTGCTTACGAGAGGTGGAAACGGAGGGTCCAGCAGGAGAGCCCCTCAAGGCAGTGGCCGATGAGCGTGGAGATGGGCACGTCGAGCGCCCACGAGGGGTCGTCGCAGGAGGCGGGGCAAGGCGGGGCAAGAGGTTGCTTACGAGAGGGGGGCCTTACGAGAGGTGGAAGGGGAGCGTCCAGCAGGAGAGCCCTTCGAGGCAGTGGCCGATGAGGGTGGAGATGGGCACGTCGAGCGCCCACGAGGGGTCGTCGCAGGAGCACGACTGCGCGAAGTGCATCAGCACGTCCAGCACGCTCACCATCCCTATGTACTGCCTCCGCGCCCTCCCCGCGCCCGCCCCCGCGCCCGCGCCCTCGCCACCCCGCCTCTCCCCCGCCCCCTCGCCCGCGTCTACCACCTCTGAAGCGCCTGACCCTGCGCCCCCGCCCCCCGTGCTGCCATCCGCGACCATGATGGAGGAGCCCCCCGCGCCCACCCACTCGTTGGGCGGCGCCCATACGGGCAGCGCGGAGATGCCGTGCATGCGCATCAGCTGCAGCGCATCGCGCACTGCCGCGCGGGGGAGAGGGGAAGGAGGGGAGGGGGCCGCGGGGGACGAAGAGCGCAAGGGATGACTGGGAGTTGCGGGAAGACGGGTGACGGTGCGGAAGGAGGGAATGGCGGAGCGGAGTTAAGAAAATTTGCAAGATAAACAAAGTTACAGTAATGTCATGCAATTAAGTGAGACGTGAAAACAACGAGGGAGGAGAAAATACAACGGTTACTTTCTGCGAACGTGTACGCATATGAGCATACGATAGGTATACCTGGTGCACTATGCGGCACGTCCACCATGATGCCTTTAGCGCGTACGAGCTCGCCCAACGCATGACTTTCAAGACATGCCTTTAACGACATGGCGAAGTGCGGAAGCGGAGAGTTTGCGGAACGGTTGACGATATTTGGAACCAAAAAGATGTGGAAACTTAGTATAGATAGTCAAAGTTCTTCAAGACAAAGCTCCCGTTCGCATCAGCCGCGGCTGGACATGTCGAGTGGTCAGCTAGTTGCTGTCTTGGTTCACAGTCACAACAAGCATACCATCAATGGGATGTCAATTTTTGGGTTGTGCAGTCGATGGGATGGAAGATCCGCGTGCAAGTGGAGAGCTTGATTCACATGAATCCAGGTGAAAATGGAACATAGAAATCAATTACGCTTACGATATATTACAGCGTTTATTGCAATGGCTGGAGAGGAGCTTTGTTTTGCAACGGAACTTGTACTGCCGCGTTATGCTGCTGCAACGATCTGAAAAAAGTGGTGGCTCGCGAATGTCGTAACAATGCTCTCGCCAGACTCGGCTACCATGCCACGTAGCACAGCTAGCCGCCCTCTCGATTCGCGAAACGACAAGGCAGGGAAATTTTGCTGCAAGACGAATCTTTCCTGCTTGTCGCCACTTTCGCAGGCAGTTTCCATCGTTCGCGCCTTGGGATGAACGGCCTCGCAATTGGCTATGCTTCTCCCTTCACCTTTCTCAGGGCGTATATCCACTTCGGGTCATGGCACAGTTTGGGTCATCCTAGATTCTTGGACGACCAATGATACGCATTTTAGCTACACTAATAAAATATCATTGGTCCCCTCATGACCCCAAGTGTACAGTGATGACCCGAACCGTTCCATGACCCGAAGTAAAGATACGCCCTCATCATCCATCACAGCCGCAAATCCATCCTCCACCAGCCATTCTTTTCCTTCCACGCCTCCATTTTGCACTAACTTCAAGGTGAAGTTGGAAAGAAAGCTCTACGTGCTGGAAGATTTTTGACGGATTAGCGTGGCGTGGATCGATCGTCAAAGCGTCGCCTCGCTTCGTCCGTTTTCGATGGCCAGCTTTGGCTGTCAGGCCCAGCACTGGCGGATCATTCATTCCTGAGAACGCGCTGATTTTCTGTTGACAGTTCGTTGCGTAATGGCTTCATGCAGAACCTTCTAAACCGCTCATCCTACCCAAAAACATATATCATTCGGAAAAGTCTTCTGAGAGACCCTTAGCAATGTCAGTAGGTGATGTCGAATCCGATGCGACAGCAGCGGGCGACAGCTTCTTCAACAGGGAAGGAAAGGGATTTCCCACAGCAGGACCTTCTCCCGAGCTATCGGCGTCATGGCCGAGCTTTCTCGTCTGGTCCTGGATCGCTCCGTTCATGCACTACGGCTACCGCAAAGTCGTGCAGGTAGTTCGACCCTCTCGCTTTCCCGGTTCACAACCTCCAGGATAACGACCAGTCACGTTACTAACCGTGATAGGAACAGATATAGGTCGCATGTTTCGCAGTTAGATCCCGAAACGGCCGCTCAATGGCGTGAATCATGGTAGATCTCGTCCTCGCGTCCGTATGTCCCAAACCGCCGTTCTGATTCTTTGCGGAGTACGCCGTAGCTCGTCCTTCTGAATCCAAACCTGTCGTCTATCTGAATCCGAACTTGCCGTTCGGCAGTATATGGACCGAACCTGTCGTCGCGCTCAATCTTTCATCATGCTGCACCCGAACCCGACAGGAGGACGACTTGTACGAGCTAAACCCGGTGGAGTCAACGCAGCAGAGCGTGGACTGCTGGAGCCGAGCATGGCAGACAGAGCTCTATCTCGAGCACGAGGTGACTTTTGAGACGGCTCAGAATATGTCGATGTGCCCATCTGCCATCCCGCCGAATCCCAACCTGACAGGAAGACGACCTATACGAGTTAAACCCGGTGGAGTCAACGCAGCAGAGCGTGGACTGCTGGAACCGCGCATGGCAGACAGAGCTCGCCCTCGAGCAGGCGCACGCGGAAAAGATGCGCCTGTCTCAGGGGGTTGAGGAGGGGAGGAAGCGCGGGAGGCAGCGGGTGGGGCGAGTGTGGCGGGTGCTGGCGCGTGCGTTCGGGCGGTACTACTTCGTGGCGGCTGTGTGGAAGCCCATCTGGCTCGCCGCCGTCTGCATCCAGGTGCGGCCACTCTTGCCTCAGCGCAGCCTTCCTCAAACGCCCGCTCGCCATTTGTGTCACTTTTTCTTGATGGTGTGGTGACAGATGCAACCAGGTGCACCTTCGAGTTTTGAGACGTCTCAAAACGCCCACTCGCCATTTGTGTCACTTTTTCTTGATGGTGACAGATGCAACCAGGTGCACCTACCTTCGTAAGGCTCACCTTAACCTTCCTTAAACGACGGCTTCATAAGCTCCCGTTCTTCCCTGTTCCTCTCCTCGCAGGTGTACGTGCTGAAGCAGCTGGTGGCAGCAGCAGCGGCGCCGGAGCCGCCAGAAGCGTGGAGGGCGGCGCTGCTGGTGGTGGGCATGGCTTTAACGTCCACGCTGCAGAGCGTGTGCATGCACCACTGCTTCACTCGCTCTCAGAAGGCCGGCATGCGCGTGCGAGCATGTGTGTGCACGGTGGTATACCACAAGGTGCGCTGGTTCTGATAGCAGCGGGGAGGGGGGTGCTGCTGGTGGTGGGCATGGCTTTAACGTCCACGCTGCAGAGCGTGTGCATGCACCACTGCTTCACTCGCTCTCAGAAGGCCGGCATGCGCGTGCGCGCATGCGTGTGCACGGTGGTATACCACAAGGTATGTCGGCTAATAGTGGTGTAGTTGGGTTGGAGCGGGGTTGATAGTGTGTGCACTGTGTCATTTGTTACCTGTGTATCGAAAAGCGTTTTATTGTGTATTAAGCTTAACCTTGTTTTCTATGCTTGGGTGGATGTTCGTGCAGGCATTGGGAATGAAGCAGGTGGCTCTGGGGGAGGCGACATCTGGGCGCATGCTGAACCTCATCACCAACGACACTCAGAAGCTCCTCGACGCCATCACGTATTTCCACTATGGTATGCCCGAATTCTCCCCCTCCCATTCCTTCCCCCACACCAGTGTGCCTGACAGTCATCTCCTTACTACCAGCTCCTCTCTCTGTGTTTCCTCTCTAGAAGTTAGCTGCATTGCTTTCCTCCACCCTTCTCCCTCCGTTCTTCTCCCCCGTGCCAGTGTGGCTGGCAATGCTCGACCTGACCCTCATCTGTGCGTTTTGTGAGACCTCTCAGAAGCCTTCCTGCCCCCGCTCTCTCCCTCCCTTCCCATTGTGCAGTGTGGCTGGCGGTGTTGGACCTCACAGTCATCTGTGCATTTTCTGAGTCCTCACCCTCCCTCCCACCACCGCTCTCCCTTCCTTCCTTCCCTCCCCGTGTGCAGTGTGGCTGGCAGTGTTGGATCTAACAGTCATCTGTGCGTTGGTCATAGTGGAGGCGGGAGTAGCAGCGCTGGGGGGCGTGGCAGTCGTCTTCCTCATCCAACCACTCATCGTGAGCCACGAGTCTCGATCAACAGCATGCTCTCTATTCGACTCAGAACGTAGTCGTCATTGTAAATGAAGTGTCCCACTTGGGAATATGGCGGCGCTTCAGAGAGTTGCTTGCTTCCATACCTGGCGTGCTGTGTGAAGGAGGTGGCCGTGCCAATGAGCTCAGTCAACGCATAAGAAACGGACTGCCTCCTCGCTACCCCATGCACCAGGTGTGGATGGCGAAGAGAGTCGCAGCATTGAGGCCCAAGGCGCTCAAGTTCACAGATGCACGCGTGCGGCTGCTGGGGGAGGTGCTATCTGGCATGCGCGTGGTCAAGGTCAACGGGTGGACCGCGGCCTTCCTGGACCGCATTCGTGCACTACGAGACAACGAGCTACAGTGGCTGCGCCGGGCGGCGTACGTGCGATCGGTCAACTCCACACTCAAGGTTGGTCTCGTTTGGCCTGGCCTGGTTGGTGGGGAGTGGGGTGCAATGCCTCTTTTCTTCTCGACCATCCCTCGCTGCCCTCCCATGACGCCCATGCCATCCCTCGCTTCCCTATCCACATTTGACGGCTATGTGGCTCTGCAACCTTTTCAGCTCCCCACACTCACATCTCCCCCATCCGCCACTCACTCCATCAGGACTCCGTCACGCCCCTGGCATCGCTCGCCAACATTCGGCATCTACGTGGCTATAAACGGCGACCTGCCCCCTCAAACAGCCTTCGTGGTGCTGGCGCTGTTCAGCATCATGGTGCGCATCTTCTTCATCGCCCCCACCGGCCTCCCCTCTCCCCCGCCTCTGCACCTTGTCCCCAACCCTTGTGTGTACCCCCTCTGAACCACCAGGACTCCGTCACTCCTCTGGCGTCCCTGGCCACATTCGGCATCTACGTGGCTATAAACGGCGACCTGCCCCCCCAGACGGCAGCGCTGTTCAGCATCATGGTGCGCATCTTCTTCATCGCCCCCACCGGCCTCCAGTTCGCTGGGGAAGCTGTCGTCGCCGTTGACCGCCTCGAGACGTTTCTTGCGCTGCCCGACGGGCAGGGCGGCTGCCCGGAAGAGAAGCGGGCGGAGGTGGGTGGCAGAGGGAGGAGCAGACTGCAGTTGGAAAGGGAAACCTTTCCTGCTTTTCACTTTACTTTCATGGCTCTATTCCTGTGGCACGTACGTCGTCTTACTCACCCCAATCATCCCCCGTATTGAATCCACATCCCCCATAATCAACACCGTATGCAGCTGAAAGCAGAGGCGGAGAGCAAGGGCGTGGTTGTGGCACTTGAAGACGCCTCCTTCTCCTGGCAGCTGCCGTCCACCACAGCCCAGCAGCTTCCCTCCAGCACAGAGCAGCAGCAGAAAGCAGAGGGGGGCAAGGGGAAAGGCGCCAGAGGGCTATGGAGGAGAAGGCTTGGCGCTCAGAAAGCGCAGGAGAAGAGGAATGGAGCTGTTGGGAGCGTTCAGCCAGATTGCACGCAGGGAGAGGCCAAGGAAGGTGATGGCGAGGCAGGCAAAGAGAACGGCTTGCAGGAGGGTAGGCAGAATGAATTGGAAAAGGGGCAACAGCAGGAGGGAGAGGGGGTTGGTTCCTCGCTTGCTATGCCTGCTGCTTCTGCCGATGCTGTTGCTACGACAGCAGACGCTGCTGCTGCAGCAGGAGGGTTCCACCTGGAGCGAGTGACTATGCAAGTGGAGAGAGGCGCGGTAGTGGCCGTCATAGGGGCGGTGGGCAGCGGCAAGTCCTCCCTCCTGCAGGCAATACTAGAGGAGATGCAGTATGTGGGCGGCGCTATGTGGGTGAGCAGTTTAGGGAACGTGGCGTATGCAGCGCAGCAGTCGTGGATTTTGAATGCTACGGTCATGGAGAACATTCTTTTCGGGCAGCCCTTTGATGCGGCCAGGTACCAGGAGGTGGTGCGCGCCTGTGCGCTTGACCGCGACATCGCTGCCCTGGCCGCCGGGCACCAGACGGAAATCGTGAGTGGTTCTAGCTCAGCCTAGTATCGCTCCTGGAATCCCTGGCTACCGCCTGCTACTGCAGTGCACCCCTTGTGATCCCAGACGACCCTCTCAGTTCATTTCCATTGCTACTGGATTTTCAGATCAAACAAATTGTTATCTTCGTCCCTTCCTTCCTGGTCTCCAATTGCCCTTGCAGGGAGAGAGGGGCATCAACCTGAGTGGGGGCCAGAAGGCACGAATCTCCCTCGCCAGGGCCTGCTACAGCAGCGCTCCCCTTGTGCTCCTAGACGACCCTCTAGCCGCAGTGGATGTTCCTACAGCGAAGCACCTTATAGAGAACGTGCTTCAAGGAGGGGTCATGCAACGCGGTAACCGCACGGTCGTGCTGGTAACGCACAACCGACGGTCGCTGGATGCGTGCTCTCAGGTGCTGCTGATGACACATGGACGGCTGGGATTGGCTGGGAGCGCGGAGGAGCTAGCAGAGGTGGGGGCGATTAGTAGGAGGGAAATGAAGAGGGTGAGGAGTGTTGAAGCCATGGCGGCTGCTGCTGCTGCTGCTGTCGAAGCTGTGCCTTCGGCGAGATATGAGGGGCGGGGAGGGTGGGAGAGCGGGGAGGGGTTGGAAGGTTTGGATGGGAAAAGCATGGGGGAGGATCGAGTTGGGGAAGGGGCAGGAGGAGGGGAGGCGTTGGGGGAGGGGGGAGGCAGGGAGGCGGTTCAAGGGGGAGGGGAGAATGGAGGGGGGGATGGAGCAGGAGGTGCAGGAGAGGGCGGGGAGGGCGGGGCACGTGAAGGGCAAGAGGCAGTGGCGGTGGATGGGAGAGGGGTAGAGGAGGCGGAGACGCGACGAGAGGAAGCGGTGGTGCAGGATGGTGCCTTGAGGGAAGGGGAGAATGCAGAGGATGGGGTTGCCAATGGGATGGCTGATGGGGAGGTTGATGGGGTGGCTGATGGGGTGGATAATGGGCATAATGGGATGACTGACGGGGCGTGTGAGGGAGAGAACGGCCCAGTGCCTGGGGGGGAAGATGGGAAGGAGCAGTCAATGAAGTTGACAGATGGGCAGAGAGAGAAGCGGGCGCAGTGGGGGCAGAGGAGCATGGGGCGTGTGACTATAAAGGAGGACCGAGTGGAGGGGCAGGTCACTCGCGCCACCTACTGTGCTTACATCAAGGCTGGGGGAGGGTGAGCTCTTTACCTCTCCCGTTCTTAATCGGTCCTTCTTCCCCTCATGATGTGCTTTGTCACCGCTGCTGCTTGCCTAGTTTTGAGGCGCCTCAAAACTAGACCCCTCATGATGCGCTTTGTCACCGCTGCTGCTTGCTGACCGCGAGCACTTGTTTCTGCAAGCAACAATGTTATCTTCCATTGCGTCTCCTTTCTCCCTCCACCTCCATTGAAACTCCCTCTGCAACTCCTGCCCAATCTTTATCCGCCTGCCATCCCTGTCGCCCCTCTCAGCTTCCTGCTCTTTGCCGGGCTGTTGCTGGCATTCATGGTGGCACAGACAGTGCGCACCCTCGTGGACTACTGGCTGGGCGTCTGGGTCGACCACAAATACTCCCTCTCCTCAGGTGCGTCTCCTGCACCATAGTACTGTTTGAGACCCACTCACAAGCCACCCGCCCTCAACTCACCACTACTCCCCACCAGGCCTGCACGTGGGCTATTATGCAGTGCTGTGCCGACTGCAGGCACGATTGTGCTGTTTCAACCAACTCACACTCCACTGTTTCCCTTGGTAACACACCACCCTCCCTCTCTCTCCCCACTACCAGGCCTGTACGTGGGCATATACGCGGTGCTGACAGCAGGTGCCATCGTGCTGTTTGAACCTACTCAAAAGCCACTCTTGCCCTTTTCAGAACACCCCCACCCTCCCTCTCTCTCCCCACTACCAGGCCTGTACGTGGGCATATACGCGGTGCTGACAGCGGGAGCCGTCGTGCTGTCGCTGCTGCGGGCCTTCTGGTTCACCCATGCTGCCCTCGCTGCAGCGCGCCACATGCACCACCTCATGGCTGTGCATGTGCTGCGCTCCCCACTGCTCTTCTTCGACCAGGTGGGTGGTGTGGAGGTAACTGTTAGGCTTAGTAGTGCTGATTGCTAAGCATTGCATCACCTCATGGCTGTGCACGTGCTGTGCTTCCCAATGCTATTCTTCGACCAGGTGAGAGAGTGATAGGCAATGTGGTGGTATGGTGGTTAGGCAATGCACCAAAACCCACATGCACCACCTCATAACCCTGCCTGCGCGTGCTGCGGTCCCCACCACTCTTCTTTGACCGGGTAAGGAATGTGCACGATGAAGCGTAATGCTTATTCTCTGACAGTTAATTGTACACCGGCCCGTGTCTCCTCTCTGCTCAACTCCTCCTCATCCTCTCCCTATCTCCTGTTCCCTCTCATCGTCCAATCCTCCTCCCTCTTTCTTCCAGAACCCAGTGGGTCGAATCCTCAATCGATTCAGCAAGGATCAATCTCTCGTTGACGACCTACTGCCAACCACCGTTCAGGTAACTGGCAGGCACGTGCTGTACGCCCCGCCGCTCTTCTCTCCTTTCCTCACACTTTCTCCTCCTTTCGACACACTCCTTTCCCCTCTCCCTTCCTTTCGACACAACCCTTTCCTCTCTCCTCTCCTGCCAGCACAATCTTGCTGTCGCTGCCGCTGCCTCTGCTGCTTGTCCCAACTCCTCATTTCCTCCCCTTCCCCCTCCGCCCTCCTCATACCCACATACAGCAAACCATGGAACTCTTTCTGGTGTGAATCTGTTTTTTCAAGGATTCTCAAAAAACAGATTCAAACCATGGATCTCTTTCTGGGGTGTGCGGGAGCCATAGCAGTGACAGCAGTGCTGGTGCCCTGGTTCCTCCTGGCGCTGTCACCGCTGCTGCTGCTGCGGCTCGTCCCAAATCCTCCTCTTTCCCCTCCCCTTTTCCCTCCCACTCCCCCCCCATCCAGCAAACCATGGAGCTCTTTCTGGGCTGTGCGGGGGCGATAGCAGTGACAGCAGTGCTGGTGCCCTGGTTCCTCCTAGCGCTGCCGCCACTGCTGGTGGTCTTCGCGTTGCTGCAGCGCCGCTATCTGCGGGTCTCCCGCGAGCTCAAGCGCATCGACGGCCTCTCGCGCTCGCCCATCTACGCACACTTCGCTCAGAGCCTGCAGGTGGGTGTGTGCTGGGCTGTAAGTAACTGCATGTGTATGGTAGGCCGCTATCTGCGGGTCTCCCGCGAGCTCAAGCGCATTGACGGCCTCTCGCGCTCGCCCATCTACGCTCACTTCGCTCAGAGCCTGCAGGTGGGTGTGTGCTAGGCTGTACGGCGCAAGGTGGTGAGTAGCGTGAGTACCACCTGTCACGCACGTCGTAGCACTCATTCACGCCAACCACGCGCCTACATCCATTTTGTGCACGCCCCTTTTCTCTCTCTTACAGATATCTCTGTATCTCTCCTTCTCTCGTTCATCCTGCACCCACACAGGGAGTGGTGTCAGTGCGGGCATACGGAGCAGCCCCCGCCTTCTTCCATCACTTCATCGCACTAATCGACGCCAATCACCGCGCCTACATACAGTTCGTGCGCGCCCCTTTCTCTTTCTTACCTGTTTCTCTATACATCTCTCCTTCTCCCTTTCACACCAACCCCCACACAGGGACTGGTGTCAGTGCGGGCATATGGAGCCGCCCCTGCGTTCCTCCATCACTTCATCGCACTCATAGACGCCAACCACCGCGCCTACATACAGTTCGTGCATTCCTCCTTCCCCCTGTAACCCCCCTTCCCCCCCCACACAGGGAGTGGTGTCAGTGCGGGCATACGGAGCAGCCCCCGCCTTCCTCCATCACTTCATAGCGCTCATAGACGCCAACCACCGCGCCTACATACAGTTCGTGCATTCCTCCTTCCCCCGGTAACCCCCCTTCCCCCCCCACACAGGGAGTGGTGTCAGTGCGGGCATACGGAGCAGCCCCCGCCTTCCTCCATCACTTCATAGCGCTCATAGACGCCAACCACCGCGCCTACATACAGTTCGTGCATTCCTCCTTCCCCCGGTAACCCCCCTTCCCCCCCCACACAGGGAGTGGTGTCAGTGCGGGCATACGGAGCAGCCCCCGCCTTCCTCCATCACTTCATAGCGCTCATAGACGCCAACCACCGCGCCTACATACAGTTCGTGCATTCCTCCTTCCCCCTGTAACCACCCTTCCCCCCCCACACAGGGAGTGGTGTCAGTGCGGGCATACGGAGCAGCCCCCGCCTTCCTCCATCACTTCATAGCGCTCATAGACGCCAACCACCGCGCCTACATACAGTTCGTGCATTCCTCCTTCACCCGGTAACCCCCCTTCCCCCCCCACACAGGGAGTGGTGTCAGTGCGGGCATACGGAGCAGCCCCCGCCTTCCTCCATCACTTTATCGCGCTCATAGACGCCAACCACCGCGTCAACATACAGTTCGTGCATTCCTCCTTCCCCCGGTAACCCCCCTTCCCCCCCCACACAGGGAGTGGTGTCAGTGCGGGCATACGGAGCAGCCCCCGCCTTCCTCCATCACTTCATAGCGCTCATAGACGCCAACCACCGCGCCTACATACAGTTCGTGCATTCCTCCTTCCCCCTGTAACCACCCTTCCCCCCCCACACAGGGAGTGGTGTCAGTGCGGGCATACGGAGCCGCCCCCGCCTTCCTCCATCACTTTATCGCGCTCATAGACGCCAACCACCGCGCCAACATACAGTTCGTGCATTCCTCCTTCCCCCGGTAACCCCCCTTCCCCCCCCACACAGGGAGTGGTGTCAGTGCGGGCATACGGAGCAGCCCCCGCCTTCAACAATCACTTCATAGCGCTCATAGACGCCAACCACCGCGCCTACATACAGTTCGTGCATTCCTCCTTCCCCCGGTAACCCCCCTTCCCCCCCCACACAGGGAGTGGTGTCAGTGCGGGCATACGGAGCAGCCCCCGCCTTCCTCCATCACTTCATAGCGCTCATAGACGCCAACCACCGCGCCTACATACAGTTCGTGCATTCCTCCTTCCCCCGGTAACCCCCCTTCCCCCCCCACACAGGGAGTGGTGTCAGTGCGGGCATACGGAGCAGCCCCCGCCTTCCTCCATCACTTCATAGCGCTCATAGACGCCAACCACCGCGCCTACATACAGTTCGTGCATTCCTCCTTCCCCCTGTAACCACCCTTCCCCCCCCACACAGGGAGTGGTGTCAGTGCGGGCATACGGAGCAGCCCCCGCCTTCCTCCATCACTTCATAGCGCTCATAGACGCCAACCACCGCGCCTACATACAGTTCGTGCATTCCTCCTTCACCCGGTAACCCCCCTTCCCCCCCCACACAGGGAGTGGTGTCAGTGCGGGCATACGGAGCAGCCCCCGCCTTCCTCCATCACTTTATCGCGCTCATAGACGCCAACCACCGCGCCAACATACAGTTCGTGCATTCCTCCTTCCCCCGGTAACCCCCCTTCCCCCCCCACACAGGGAGTGGTGTCAGTGCGGGCATACGGAGCAGCCCCCGCCTTCCTCCATCACTTCATAGCGCTCATAGACGCCAACCACCGCGCCTACATACAGTTCGTGCATTCCTCCTTCCCCCTGTAACCACCCTTCCCCCCCCACACAGGGAGTGGTGTCAGTGCGGGCATACGGAGCCGCCCCCGCCTTCCTCCATCACTTTATCGCGCTCATAGACGCCAACCACCGCGCCAACATACAGTTCGTGCATTCCTCCTTCCCCCGGTAACCCCCCTTCCCCCCCCACACAGGGAGTGGTGTCAGTGCGGGCATACGGAGCAGCCCCCGCCTTCAACAATCACTTCATAGCGCTCATAGACGCCAACCACCGCGCCTACATACAGTTCGTGCATTCCTCCTTCCCCCGGTAACCCCCCTTCCCCCCCCACACAGGGAGTGGTGTCAGTGCGGGCATACGGAGCAGCCCCCGCCTTCCTCCATCACTTCATAGCGCTCATAGACGCCAACCACCGCGCCTACATACAGTTCGTGCATTCCTCCTTCCCCCTGTAACCACCCTTCCCCCCCCACACAGGGAGTGGTGTCAGTGCGGGCATACGGAGCCGCCCCCGCCTTCCTCCATCACTTTATCGCGCTCATAGACGCCAACCACCGCGCCAACATACAGTTCGTGCATTCCTCCTTCCCCCGGTAACCCCCCTTCCCCCCCCACACAGGGAGTGGTGTCAGTGCGGGCATACGGAGCAGCCCCCGCCTTCCTCCATCACTTCATAGCGCTCATAGACGCCAACCACCGCGCCTACATACAGTTCGTGCATTCCTCCTTCCCCCGGTAACCCCCCTTCCCCCCCCACACAGGGAGTGGTGTCAGTGCGGGCATACGGAGCAGCCCCCGCCTTCCTCCATCACTTCATAGCGCTCATAGACGCCAACCACCGCGCCTACATACAGTTCGTGCATTCCTCCTTCCCCCGGTAACCCCCCTTCCCCCCCCACACAGGGAGTGGTGTCAGTGCGGGCATACGGAGCAGCCCCCGCCTTCCTCCATCACTTCATAGCGCTCATAGACGCCAACCACCGCGCCTACATACAGTTCGTGCATTCCTCCTTCCCCCTGTAACCACCCTTCCCCCCCCACACAGGGAGTGGTGTCAGTGCGGGCATACGGAGCAGCCCCCGCCTTCCTCCATCACTTCATAGCGCTCATAGACGCCAACCACCGCGCCTACATACAGTTCGTGCATTCCTCCTTCCCCCGGTAACCCCCCTTCCCCCCCCACACAGGGAGTGGTGTCAGTGCGGGCATACGGAGCAGCCCCCGCCTTCCTCCATCACTTCATAGCGCTCATAGACGCCAACCACCGCGCCTACATACAGTTCGTGCATTCCTCCTTCCCCCGGTAACCCCCCTTCCCCCCCCACACAGGGAGTGGTGTCAGTGCGGGCATACGGAGCAGCCCCCGCCTTCCTCCATCACTTCATAGCGCTCATAGACGCCAACCACCGCGCCTACATACAGTTCGTGCATTCCTCCTTCCCCCTGTAACCACCCTTCCCCCCCCACACAGGGAGTGGTGTCAGTGCGGGCATACGGAGCCGCCCCCGCCTTCCTCCATCACTTCATAGCGCTCATAGACGCCAACCACCGCGCCAACATACAGTTCGTGCATTCCTCCTTCCCCCGGTAACCCCCCTTCCCCCCCCACACAGGGAGTGGTGTCAGTGCGGGCATACGGAGCAGCCCCCGCCTTCCTCCATCACTTCATAGCGCTCATAGACGCCAACCACCGCGCCTACATACAGTTCGTGCATTCCTCCTTCCCCCTGTAACCACCCTTCCCCCCCCACACAGGGAGTGGTGTCAGTGCGGGCATACGGAGCCGCCCCCGCCTTCCTCCATCACTTTATCGCGCTCATAGACGCCAACCACCGCGCCAACATACAGTTCGTGCATTCCTCCTTCCCCCGGTAACCCCCCTTCCCCCCCCACACAGGGAGTGGTGTCAGTGCGGGCATACGGAGCAGCCCCCGCCTTCCTCCATCACTTCATAGCGCTCATAGACGCCAACCACCGCGCCTACATACAGTTCGTGCATTCCTCCTTCCCCCTGTAACCACCCTTCCCCCCCCACACAGGGAGTGGTGTCAGTGCGGGCATACGGAGCCGCCCCCGCCTTCCTCCATCAGTTCATAGCGCTCATAGACGCCAACCACCGCGCCTACATACAGTTCGTGCATTCCTCCTTCCCCCGGTAACCCCCCTTCCCCCCCCACACAGGGAGTGGTGTCAGTGCGGGCATACGGAGCAGCCCCCGCCTTCCTCCATCACTTCATAGCGCTCATAGACGCCAACCACCGCGCCTACATACAGTTCGTGCATTCCTCCTTCCCCCTGTAACCACCCTTCCCCCCCCACACAGGGAGTGGTGTCAGTGCGGGCATACGGAGCCGCCCCCGCCTTCCTCCATCACTTCATAGCGCTCATCGATGCCAACCACCGCGCCTACATCCAGTTCGTGCACGCCGGCCGGTGGCTCGGGATCCGGCTGGACCTGTGCGCCTCTGCGCTCGTGACACTTGTCGCCATCCTAGTGGTCGTGCTGCACGGCTCCCTGCCGGCCGGGTATGCTGGTGAGTGATCCTCGTCCAGAGCCTTCAACTCACAGGCCTTTACCAGTACGCGATCAGACAAGCAGCAGAGAGTGAGAACTACTTCACCTCGGTGGAGCGCATCCACGCCTTCATGCAGCTGCCCTTTGAGGTGCCTCAAAAGCCACACGGCAGGCAGCAGAGGAGCTCTGAAACCTCGCAAGCACCCTTCTTCCTACTTCCCCCGTTGACCCTTCACTCCTTTCCCCTGCATTCCTTCTCCTTCACAGGGGTTATTCTCGTCCAGAGCTTGCAACTTACCGGCCTCTTCCAGTACGCGATCAGGCAAGCAGCAGAGAGTGAGAACTACTTCACCTCGGTGGAGCGCATCCACGCCTTCATGCAGCTGCCCCCCTCCACTCCCCCTACTTCCACTCCTTCCCCTCCAACAGGTGTGATTCTGGTGCAGTCCCTGCAACTCACGGGTCTGTTCCAGTATGCGATCCGACAAGCAGCAGAGAGTGAGAACTATTTCACCTCCGTGGAGCGCATCCACGCCTTCACGCCTTCATGCCCCTTGACTCTTCACTCCTCCCCCACAGGTGTGATTCTGGTGCAGTCCCTGCAGCTGACGGGTCTATTCCAGTACGCCATCAGACAGGCAGCAGAGAGTGAGAACTACTTCACCTCGGTGGAGCGCATCCACGCCTTCATGCAGCTGCCCTCCGAGGCCAATCACCTCTCGCCACCTGGCACGCTGCCGCCCGCGTGGCCGGACAAGGGGCGAGTGGAGTTCTGCCACGTGTACATGGCGTATCGGGAGGACCTGCCTTACGCACTGAACGATCTCACCTTCACTGTGAGTGCTTGTTTAATCCCAGCCTCTTGTGGGAATTCTTTCAAGCAAGAATACTCCGAGTTCTCAAAAGCGGACCTGCAAGATGCACCGAATGATCTCACCTTCACGGTGAGTGTTTGCTTTATCCCAGCCCCTTGTGAGAATTCTCAAATTAGGGCCTAACATACTGAGTGATATCATCATTCTGTGCTCTCTCCTTCCTCTTCCCTTCAATACCCTTACACCATACCCTCTCCCCCTGTCACATCCTGCCAACCTCTGTCCACCGCCAGGTGGCGGGCGGCGAGATGGTTGGCATTCTGGGGCGAACCGGGTCGGGCAAGTCCAGCCTGGCAGCGGTGCTCTTCCGATTGGTGGAGAACAGCCGCAGCCGAGGCCACGTCAGCATCGACGGCTTGGATCTCACAGGCGTGGGGCTGGACGACCTCAGGCAGCGCCTCTCCATCATCCCGCAGGTAAACCAGCTCTCTCTCAAGCAGGGGTCGTTTTGGCCCGCGCTACACCATGCTTCACCATGCTACACCATGCTTCACCATGCTACACCATGCTTCTCTTGTCAATTTCCATCAGTTTCTGAGGAATTTGAGAAGCTCCTCAGACTTCTCAGCCTCTTTGCGAGCATCTCTGCTCGTTCAGCTTCCATCTCTCTTCCCTCCGGCTTCCCACAGGTCCCTCTCCTTTTCCAGGGCAATGTGATTCTTATGTCTCCTCCCTCCGTGCCTCACAATCGCTCCCTCCATCTCTCCTCCCTCCCTTCACTCGCAGGATCCGGTTCTCTTCCAGGGCAGTGTACGGCAGAACCTGGACCCCTTTGGCCGCTACTCCGATGCTGACATGCAGGACGCTCTCTCTGCACTCTCTGCACTTTCTAGCCGCCTCATAAACATTCCTCCTCCCCTCCCTCCCTTGCCCCCAGGATCCGGTTCTCTTCCAGGGCAGTGTACGGCAGAACCTGGACCCCTTCGGCCGCTACTCCGATACTGACATGCAGGACGCCCTCAGGCGCGCCCATCTCTCTCCTCCCACCTCCCATTCCAACCCCTCAGCACCGCCATCAACTCCTCCTCCTCTTACTCTCAGCAACGGCGAAGCTGATGTGGAGGACCGAAACAGCAACGGTGGAAGGCACGGGAACGGCGTTGAGTGTGATTCATCCAGGATACTTGAGGGATCCCCATCTCACGCTGCTGCCTCGGCTGCCACCACGAGGCTTCGCCCTGTGACTCTTGACATGGATGTGTCTGAAAACGGGGAAAATTTCAGTGTGGGGCAGAGGCAGCTTCTCTGTCTCGCACGTGCCTTGCTGCGCCAGTCCCGAGTGGTGGTGCTGGATGAAGCAACCGCAGCCGTTGACGGGGAGACCGACGCTCTAGTCCAAGCCACAGTGCGCGAGCAGTTCGGTGCTGCAGGCATGCGAGCCACAGTGCTCACTATAGCGCATCGCATCGATACAGTTATTGATGCGGATAGGGTGTTGGTGCTTGCGCCTGGAGGTAGGGTTGCAGAGTTTGATACCCCGGCGAAGTTGCTACGTCAGGGGTTGAACGAGCGTGGTGTTAGAAGGGGAAAAGGGGGTTCGGTATTTGCTAGTATGGTGGAGAATGCTGGGCCTGTGGTGGCAGCTAAGCTCTATGAGGCAGCCATGGATGCAGAGAAGAGGAACAAACAAAATTGATGCTAAATTCAAAACGAGATTGTCCTATGCCTTTGAAAGGCAATATCATCCGCCCATCACATTCTTTGTTACACATCAGCCCTTGCTCCACCATACAAAAATGTTGGTTAACCGTAGAAGTCAGTTGCGCAAAAGAACTGGCGTGCAACCAACAGAAACGAAGTGTCATGGTCAGCAGAAAGAAGTGATATTTTAGTCAGCTGAGAAGCAAGTCTGGCATGAAAGTCCACACTTGTACAACTACTTTGGCTTGCAGTTACAGGGTTGATGCTACTGTATAGGGTCTTGAACTTGATTGTGGTTGAACTTTAAAATATGTATACCGATGCTTTCAGCTTTCAAGTGAAGTATGAATGCAAGTTTACATTAAAGATTTCAGTAAATATAAGATGTTACAGAACATTAGCATGTCCTAGAGCATGTTGCTGCTACTCAGTAGGAGAGATGCCACTATGGTTGCTGCTACGGCAAATCATCATAATATAAGGTACCTGCAGAGCACAAAAGAAAGCGTTAGTATTCAGGCATAAGATGGAAGCAGAAACCCTAGAACAGCCAAAACGACTCGCATGGATACAAGACTGTCTTGCCCTGAAAGAAATGGCTGCTGGAGGCATGGCGACTGGCTGCTGGAGGCGTGGCGACTGGTTGCTGAAGGCATTACCATCCTCCCCCACCACAGGGAGGACTGGCCTACCCTCAGAGTCGCTAAACCCAAGGCATGCGGGAGCCCATTCTCACAGACTGAATCTGCCGATACAGAGCTGCTGCAGTCAGCTCTGTACCGACAGAATCAGTCTGTATGGCCCGGATCCGAGTGTTTAGACAACCCCAAGGGCCCCTCAGCGCCATGCTTTGCCTCCTCATGCCTTAATGCCACTTGCCATGCCAGATGCATCTGCCTCCAGGTTACCTGCACAAAGAAAACGAGATTAATCAGTCCTCAGCCAGAGTGTGCAAGAATGCAGTAAGCATTGAATTGAACTGCTAAAAGGTTATAAGAATACCTTGATTGCTGAGTTGAGCATCTTCAGTGATGGCTGTCATTGAACATCTTCCATGTTGAACCACCTGCAGGATGAGAGAGAACTGTTAGATAATGGTACATTCCACACGAACTTGATGCTGGAAAATAAAAATTACCTTGGAAAGCCTTGGATCTCAAGTGGAGTGGTGGATGTCCATTGAAGATCTCCCGATTGATACCTGCAGGATAAAGTGAAGATATTAGTCACGTGTCACAAACTTCAACTGCCAAAATATTAATAAGTTACCTTTTGAGGGATACTAGAATCTTGGGACTTCAGATTGTAGACTCTTGGCCATCTTCAGTGGAAAGTGTCCGTTGACATGTTGAAGCACTTGCAGGAAGAAAGTGGAAAGTTAGTGAGTGTGCCACACATCAAAACTGCCAAAAGATTAAAACGTCACCTTTTAAGGGAAGCTTGAATCTTGGGACTTCAGATTATAGACTCTTGGCCATTTTCAGTGGAAAGTGTCCGTTGATATGTTGAAGCTCCTGCAGGAAGAAAGAGAAAAGTTAGTGAGTGTGCCACACATTAAAACTGCCAAAAAAAAAATTAACCGTCACCTTTTAAAGGAAGCTTGAATCTTGGGACTTCAGATTACAGACTCTTGGTCATCTTCAATGGAAAGTGTCCGTTGACATGTTGAAGCTCCTGCAGGAAGAAAGTGGAATGTTAGTTTGTGTCCCACATTTAAAACTGCCAAAAGATTTAATCTTTACCTTGAGAGCCTTCAGTCTTGAAGCTTGAAATAATTAACTCTTGAATGCCTTTGAACGTTGAACTTTGAACGTTGAACATGCTGAGTGGTGGTTATTCGTTGAAGGCCTTCAGTGTGGAGGTACCTGCAAAGCGAATGAAGGAAAGGGAGGGGGGTCGATGAGTACAAATGACAGTAAAAAAATCAGAGGGGCAAGCATATGCATGCATGATGGGTGCAGTAGCATGGATACAAGGGTGCTCACCACCACAACCACAAGAGCCATATACCAGAAAAAAACCTTAAGGGACCTGAAGAACTCACCAGAAAAGAGTACCTTAAAAAAAAAAAACCAGGGAAGGCTCAAGTGGCGGTAATGATGAGCGCTCAAGCATACGTGCTATGCAATGGAAGGCGAAAATGTAATGATGATTGCTGAAATAGCAGAAACGTGACCAACAGGAAACAACGAAAGAGAAGCCAAGGTTGAAGAATACTTAGCTTTTCATTTGAAGTGTTAAAGGTTGTGGACTTCAAGACAGAGTTGAAGAAGTCTTGAAATTGGCTCCAAGTGTTGGCTTCAAGACTTGAACATCGACTTCAAGTGTTGAAGTGCCTTGCAGCTCCGACGCGGTTGATGGAGTTGACGAGCCTCTGCCAGTCAAAGGAGGGAGGAGGGGGGGTAAGTACAAGTGGCACTGGAAGGTCCTCCAGACGGAAAAGGCAAGCATATGCATGATGAATGGTATGTATGGATATGCAGATGCACGCAGCAAGAGCGCTCACCACCACCGCAACAAGAACCAAATACAAAAAAAAAACCAGAAGAGAACCTAGGGACTCACCAGAAAAGGGTACCTTAAAAAAATACCTATACCATTAAAGGGGGATGGTTCATGCAACAGCTGTGGTAAGCGCTCAAGCATGGTGGGCATGAAAATGCATAACAGCGATGAGCGGAAATGAAGTTGAGCGGAACAAGGTGGAAAACGATACTTATCTGCACGTGGGTTGCATGTCTTAAGTCTTGATCGAAGCCTTGGCTTGCAAGTTGTCTATCCTTGGATTGGAAGTTGACTTGTCGTCTTGCCTCCATGCGTTGCCTTCGAGCTCATGCACTTAGTCTTGTATTGTTAAACGCCAGCCGTGTTGCCTTGGCTGCTCTCAGTTGATTAGAAGCATCAGAGGAGCACCTGCCAGCAACAAAAAAAGAAGTCAGTTTCAGAAACGAGAGGACGCCATAAAACGACAAAAGCGACGAAGTAATGTGGGGGAAGGGGGGATGTTTTCCAGCCAAAGCAACCACACCGCAGTGCTCAGACAGACCGACGCAGCTATGCTTGACTTAGCGACGCTGACGCTAGACTGACCTAAAGAGACTAACGCGGACCTAGGGGAGGAGACAGGGAGCTCTATGGGCGGTGCTTTGGCTGGAAAACAAATAAATAGCACGAACGAAATTGAAAGCGGAAAAGAAAACTGCGACATCGTGGAAGGAGCACTTAGCTGGAAAGCTCGACAGCAGGCTGGTGAAGAACTCAGGCTGGCGAGATCCGATGCACTTAGATTGTCGAACATGCGAGCAGAGAAAGCTGAACGGCAGTGTTGTCACAGTCGTGAAGAGTGCTGCAGGGCGAAGGCTGAAAGCCTCGCAAAGTTGAACGTCTTCATCACGCCTTTCTGCACAATGTAAATATAACTTCGATTAGTACAAGTTACGACGTGAAGCCACAATAACATTGAGCTCGGGATAAACACGAAATCGAGAAACTGAGGCTTTATCTACCTTGAGCTGGAAGTCGGGATGCTTCAGCAGCTTGCGGATCTCCAACAGTTTCCGACTTGCAACGACAGAAGCTGAAGGTCGTAAAGCTCGGACAGCCCGTGCAGGTTGCAGTTTGAACCAGCGGAGGTTCCACCCGTGGACGAGAAGGCGAGTTAAACGGATAGAGGTTGAAGTTCCCGAGGTTGAAGAGCATAACGGAGAATGTCGGCGTAGCATTGGAGTGGAGAACCTTGAAGGTTGGAATGCGAGAGATGATGCGCTGCTGTTTTAAAATATGCGTGGCTGACCACGGATTGAGAGAACGGAAGCATAGCAGACGACCAATCCCCACACGCAATCGACACGGTTTCGAACCGCGACCGTTGGAATTGGCGGTAAAATAGCGGCTGATTGGGAACATGTAGGAGGGGACCACCTTGGGTGGATATTGAAAATTGATAGTGAGGGAGAGGCTCAGGCAGAGCGGGTTTCAGAGAATTGGATTTGGGGAGCGGCTGTGTGTCAGAACAGCAGTATTGGGATGGAGCAAGTGTTTGATGATGGGATGGGATGGTGACCAGCGCAAAATTGGGCTGTCTTGCGACCAGCGCGAAATTGGGAAACCCCCTGGTTTCACTGTTTTCGCACGAGCAAAAAGTTTCGTCACATCATTGTACTCGGAGATTGTGACAGGTTTCCGCAAACACTAGCCGGGAAATGGCAGTTCTGTGCAGGAATGGCGCGCGGGCGAAGCGCCCTGTGCTGCGCGGGGCAGAGTGCGCTGCACAGCGCCGGAATGTACACCAGCCAATCTCTCTGGCAAAGAAACGATATACCAGAGCCATATCTTCATCGAGAACCGGAAGCCCTGTAGTGAGGACAAATCCTGAGCAACAGTCCACTGGTGAGAATGCGTTTCTTCACTTGAGCAACAGTCCATGATACGAGCACACGGAACGCGCCCTCGCACCGACATCTCATCTCGTCCCTCGTCCCACCGACCCACCCACACATCTCTCTTGTCGCACTCGCAACTAGCGTGTGATGTGATGGGATGGGATGTGAGGCGCTCTTGTTTTGTGGTGCTGTCACAGTCCTTGCAGACCTTTCTTGTGTCCCCCCCTCCACCCCATTTTCGCTCGCAAATCTTGGACCCAGAGGCTCTTTCGAAGCGCTGTTCACCATCGCCTCACCTCGTTTCTTTCTGTACCTACCACACTTATCCTGTCCTTACGAGCCGTGCGATACATTGCTTAGCTTCGATATCACTGCGTGGTAGGCCATCCTCATCCTCTTCTGCTCCTACATGGTCGTTCTTCCGTGCTTTCAGTCACGCACGTAAGCCGCACTGAAAACCATGGACGACCTTAGTTTCGCAGCGTTGTGCGACGACTTTTCGCAGCAGCCGTGCGACGACTTTTCGCAGCAGCCGTGCGACGACTTTTCGCAGCAGCCGTGCGACCAGCTTAGCGCGAATCTAATGGACCTGCTGCAGCCGCCCCTGCTTCCGCAAGGCTCGCTTGACGAATTTGGCCCATCTTTTCAAAGAATCGACGGCTGGCCGTGGCCTGGGAACAATCTGGACGGCGCGCAGCAGTCCTGCGAGATGGATTTGGAGTTCGACGCCGCAATGGCTGCGCTGTTGGCGGAACCCGCGGTGAGAGTCCCCTGCTCCGCGCAAGAACCTCGCGCACCTGTACCATCAGCGCAAACTGCTTCCGCGCAACCGGCGCGGGCGCGTCTCCGGCAACTGGATGGCCGCGCGCGCCCGCAGCAGTCCCCGCCGCAACACCTCCAAGTGCCGTTCTTCCGCCGAAGCCCGCCGCAAGCGTGGCGGAAGCTTTTGCGCTGGCAGCCGCGGGCGCGGCGGGCGTGGCGCGAGCGGCGGATCCAGCATCAGCGCTGGCGGAAGCTTGCCCTCCCCCCATGGCCACGCCAGGCGCAACTAACACAGGACTTAGCGATAAAAGCAGTCTAGGGTGTGAAGCGGTTATGGTTCCGCCATCGGCAATTCCTGAGTCGACTCAAAACTCTGCGCCAGCAGGGGAGTATACCAACGCGGAGCTGCTACTGACGATGCTGCTGCTGCAGCAGCAGCAGCGCAATGGGAGCCTCGTGGGCGCAGCAGGTAGCAGTCTCGCACAGGCAGCTATACCTCCTGCTACAGCGGCCACCGCCGGTGCTAACGGTCGTGTTACTGCCGGTCGGGATGGTGGCGGCGGTGGTGTCAGTGGCGCGCAGGCAACTGTGCTTACAGAGAACAACGACGCTACTTACAATCGTCCTGCTGCTGCTCTGCATGGTGGTGGTGGTGGTGGCACTGGTGGCAGCAGCGGCAGCGTCGCTCTGCATCCGTTCGATGTCATGCTGGGGATGGACGGACAGGATCGCTCGGGAGGAGCAGGAGCAGGAGGAGCAGCTAGAGCAGGGCCACCAGCAGCAGCTGCGGCAGCAGCCGAAACAGCAGCAGCAGCAGCAGCAGACATGGCAACCGGAGCATCTCAAGTGGATGGCACTGTATCGGATGCGGCAGTAACGAGGCTTCTCTTAGAGTGGATAGCGATGCAAGACACGAATGCAACAGGCACAGGTCCTGGAAATCCTCCCTTGCAGTTTCCCCACCGCCTCTCACACCACCCTCTCCCACAAAATACTATCAGAAGCGCTTCCTCTCCCCTTTCCCCATCTTTCCCTCCGCCTCCCGCTCCGTTCGCTCCGGCCACTGTTCTCCCACTGGGCTCTCCGCGCGTTCCCCTCCCCACTCCGCCGCCTGCGCCCCAGGGCAATGCTGGCGGGACCTCTGCAACAGGGGCCATGGGTGTGGGGACGCCAGAGGGGGCGGGTGCGGGGTCAGCGGGTGCAGGGGAGGCGATGACGTTTGAGGCAGCGGCGCAGCAGCTGTTCCTCGCCACTGCGCCTGTTGCGCTGGGAGGGAGGCGGGGAGGGTGGGCGGACGAGGGCGGTGCAGGTGCTGCTGGCGCGTCAGCAGGGGCTCGTGTGGTGTCAGCGGGAGCAGGTGTGCAGGCAGCGGGTGCAGGGGAGGCGATGACGTTTGAGGCAGCAGCGCAACAGCTCTTTCTTGCCACTGCGCCTGCTGCGCTGGGAGGGAGGCGGGGAGGGTGGACGGACGAGGGGGGCGCAGCTGCGGCGAGGGCATCAGGGGTTGGAGGAGTGTTGCCCTGTGCTTCTGTGGCTCTCGTGCAGGAAGCTGCTGCTGGTGATGATGCTGATGGCGGTGATGCTGCCGCTGATGTTGATGCTGACGGAGTTGATTTTGGTGTGGGTGATGGTGTGGATCGCACGGGTTGTGCTGCTAAGGCGGAAGGGGAGGAGGAGCAACGAGGGAAGGAGCGGAATTTGGAGAGCAGCAATGGGCCAGGCGAGGGCAATCACCGTGGACAGGCGTTGCTACAGATGATTGAGGATATGGAGCAGCAGCAACAGCAGCATGGGGCACAGTACGAGCAAGAGCACGAAACGCAGCAGCAAGAGCATCGGCAACAGCAGCAGGAGAGGGGGGGGAGTGCGGCGTCACTGGGGGGGTTGACGAGTGTGACAGTAACGAGGGCTCTGCGCGAACTGGGCGTGGGGGAGAGCAGCAGCGGAGTAGTGCAGCAGGTGCAGAGGTTGCTGGAGGCACAGAGGGAGGAGGAGGAGCGGCAGCAGAACCAGCAGCAGAACCAGCAAGAGCAAGTGCACGAGCACAAGCAACAGGAGCAGCTCTTACTGCGTTATTTAAAGCAACAAGTGCATCAGCAGCAGCAGCAGCAGCAGCAGGCATCCAGCCAGGCAGTCACCCAGGCAAGTGTCGATCCGAGGCCATACAACCCCATTCCAACCCCTGTACCGCTACCCATAGACCAGGTGGGCGGGGTGAGAGGCAGGGACTGGGACCACTCGGGTGCACCCTCTTCGCCCTTCAAGCAAGTGCGAGTGCATTCCCAGGCGCATTCCCAGGTGCATTCTCAGGTGGATTCCCAGGTGCAGCCCAGCAGGAATAAGGCGTCCCTCCCCACGCAAGCTCGCCGCACCCCTGACCTGTCAGCACGACTGAAAGGGCTCCTGGGGGTGATTACCACCTCCTCTCCTCCCAGTGGCCAATGTCGTGCTGCCACGTCAGCAGCAGGAGGCGGAATGGCAGATGCTGTGAGGGAACGTGTGGCAGGCGGTATGGTTTCAGGTGACCCTGCAGATCCAATTGCCGCTGGTATGGTCCCAGGCACATGCGTGGGAGCAGGCTCAAAAGCAGGTTTGGGAATAGGCTCGGCAAGAGGTCCGGTAGTGGATGTAGCAGCAGGTACGCACGGTGCGGGTCAGGCAGCCGAAGCTGGGAGCACAGCAGAGGGAGGCGAAGATGCTTATATGGAGGGGCAGGAGGGCGGGATGGGAGACGTGAATGTGACTGCAAGGGGGGGGGCAAGCTTTGCTAGCAGCACGGCTGCAGGAGGGACGATTGGAGGAGGGTTCTTTGGTGCGAATGCCAGCCTTGGCTTTCAGAGAGACTTTGGGTATGAGCGATGGAAGGAGCAGGTGGGGGTGCTGCTGGAAGGAAGTGGGAGGGACGGAGGGAAGCAGCAGCAGGAGCAGCAGTGGGGGCAGCAGGAGCAGTCGAATCAGCCGAAGCAGAGGCGTAAACGGGGGGTGATGAGCGTGGAGCGGCAGCAGGAGGAGGAGAGGAGGCAGGAGAGGAAGCTTCTTCAGAAGATGCTGCAGGCTCTGCCTAAAAGGCAGGCGCACCAACGGCTGTTGCTGCAACAGCTTCCGCTGCGACAGCAGCTGCTGAAGCAGAGCGGCAGCTGTACTCCCAGCAGCAGCAATGCACACAGCAGCAATGGCAGGCGCGGTAGGAACGGCAGTAGTGCCCTCGAAGCACCTTCAAACGCCATTGCAAACCCCAGCCGGTCGCTGAAACCGGATGTTTCTGGGCTGCTTCCTCGCATGGTGGACGGCGGGAAGGAGAGGCACCTGTGGTCGCAGCTGTCAGCGCTGGCTGAAGCTCTCACCACCGATGACTCGGTACGTGCCACAAGCCTCACCACCGACGATTCGGTACGTGATGACACATTCTTGAGGCGCCTCAATACGCACCACCGATGATTCGCTACGTGCCACAAACCCACTGGGCGTGCTCGCGCTACTTCTTGCATCACTCACTGCCACTGGTAGATTCATCCCGGATCACTCTCAACCGGACCCCTGGTGCGACTTTTGAGAATTCTCAAAAGTCGCACCAACACAAGCCCACTGGGTGTGCTCGCACTACTTGATGCATCACTGCCACTGGTAGATTCATCCCGAATCACTCTCAACCAAACCCCTGCGCCCACCAGGTGCGGTGGCGGCACTTCATGCGGCAGGTGCGGAGGGAGGCGGCAGCGGGGGGGGACACGCTGCAGCGCATCGCCTTCCACGCGCTCCAGGCGCTGCGGGCTCGCACCGATGGCACCGCCATCCAGCAGTTCAACAGCGGCCGTGCTTGCTCCGCCGAGGTGAGTATCACTCTCTGTAGAGGACGTTTGGGTCAACTCAAAAGTCGTGCTCCAGGCGTTGCAGGCTCGCACCGATGGCACCGCCATCCAGCAGTTCAACAGCGGCCGTGCTTGCTCCGCCGAGGTGAGTATCACTCTCTGTAGAGGACGTTTGGGTCAACTCAAAAGTCGTGCTCCAGGCGTTGCAGGCTCGCACCGATGGCACCGCCATCCAGCAGTTCAACAGCGGCCGTGCTTGCTCTGCCGAGGTGAGTATTACCCTCCTCAGGGATAATGGTTTGTCTTTCCACCAGTGCAGTGCCTTGTGCACGTCACAGCTTAGGGTAAGACTTGCTGTTTGCTGATATGCGCACTTGTGAGTGGTGAGCTCTGTTGGCACTGGCAGCTGTGTTCAGCTCTGAATCAGAGTATCATGGAGCTTTGTTTTCTTCCTTTTGCCTTTTCTCGCTGTTACCAGGGTATCATGGAGCTCTGTTTGTTTGTTTGTTGTTTTTTTTTTTTTTTTTTGCCTTTTCTCGCTGTTACCAGGGTATCATGGAGCTGATGGGCCACGACAGTGCTTATAGCGTGCCATCCTTTATGGAGTACAACTATGCAGCACAGGTGCAAGAGATAACCCGAGCCTTCATAGAGTCTTCCGGTAATGCCGCTGCATCAACACCAGCAACAGCACCAGAAGCAGCAGCTACAGGAACTTCTGCAGCAGCAGCAGAGGAGGCAGGGAGTCCAGGGGCGAGCAGGAAGAGTCGGGTGCGGCGGCGGCGGCTGCACATCATATCGCTGGGTTTCTACCCCGGGCCTCAGTGGGTAAACATCCTCATGCGCCTCTCCGCCCACTTCTCCCAACTCACTGCCCTGCCCCCTGCACGTGCTGCTGCTGCTGCTGCTGCCAGCGATGCTACTGCTATTGCTGCTGATGCTACTGATGCTGCTGCCACTGCTGTGGCGGAAGCGACGGTGGCAGCTGTTGCGTCTGAGGCCACACCCAGCACGGAAACTGGCACAAGAGCCGGCAGTGGGATTGGATCTGGGTCGGGTGCAACCAGCAGTGGGAAGGCTGGGAGAAGCAGCCAAGGCAGGAGTGAGAGTGAGCAGAGGGAGGGTGCGAGAATATTCTGGAGGCAGGGGATCAGTAGTGCAGTGGGCTCCACATTAGCTTCCCCTTCTGCTGCTGCTGCTGGCGGTGCGGCTGGTGGTGGTGGTGTGGCTGCTGCTGCTGCTGCTCCCTCCTCCTCTCCCTCCCCTGCTTCATCCGCCACTCCCTTGGGCTCCCGACCCACCTCCACCAAATTAGTTGCCCCTACCACTGCACCTACCACTCCTCTTGGATCCCCTGCTGCACCGCCCTTCTCTTGTGCACCAACCGGCACTGCAGCTAGCCCCCCTGCTGCTCCCTCCCCTGCAGGAGACGCCAACACAGGCACCAGCACCAGGGGGTGGGAGAGACCCTACCCATCGGCCCCCACCCCGCTGCTCAAGATCACAGCCGTCGATTTCTCCACAGTGAAGCTCTCATCTCAACGGTCAGGAATGGTCCATCTGGGTGGGCGGTACCTAGAGCAAGTGGCTCGGATGCTAGACCTCCCTTTCACTTTCCAGGGGGTCGAAACCGCTCCAGAGGATTTCCATCCGTCAATGGTGGAAGTGGAAGAGGGGGAGGAGGTAGTGGTGCTAGGCAAATGGTCCCTCCACCTCTTTCCAGACGACTCAGTCCTCCGATCAAACCCCAGAAACGCCATCCTGAAGTGGATTTTCGACCTCTCTCCCCTGCTCTTCCTGCACGTCGATCTCGATGCCGATGCCAACGGGCCCTTCTTCCTCCCGCGCTTCCAGAACGCGGCGCGGAACTTCGCAGCGATCGTCGAGTCGCTGGACACAAACCTCCCGCACTCCGCCGGTCCGTGGCAGGCCTGCGAGGCGTTTCTAGCGCACGACATGGTGAACAGCATTGCCTGCGAGGGCACGCACCGGTGGCTGAGAACAGAGCGGCTGGAGCAGTGGAGGAAGAGAATGGAGGCCGCAGGGTTCCGGCCGAAGCCGCTGCATGCGGAGACGGTGAGTGCGATGCGGGCTGTGACGGAGGGGCGGGATCGGCGGTTTGAGCTGAAGGTGGACGAGCGGTGGTTTGGAGCGTCGGCGGAGCTCAGATGGCGAGGCACGCCCACTGTGTTTGTGGCCGCGTGGCACTGACTGGGAGGGGGGCATGCCCATGAGAAGCCTTTTGACTTTCCTGAGCGTGCTGCAGGAATGAGGGTACTGGTAGTTACTGGGGAGTCGGCGGAGCTCAGGCGGCGAGGCACACCCACTGTGTTTGTAGCCGCGTGGCATTAACTGGGAGAGGCACGCCCACAAGGTGCCTCTTGACTCTCGTAGAGTCTGCGGCAGGAGTGAAGAGTTGAGTGTTTCTAGAGCAGTGCAGTGGGTGGTGGTGGTGGTGGCCTCCGGCCTGGCCCTGGCTGGCTGGCGGTAGGAGACAGGTGCTGGTGGCTACCAGTCTGCTGGGGCCGTGAGTCTTGATCAAGGAGGTCCTGCCAAAATCGCAATTTGTTAGTCTTGTGTACAGTTAGCAATACCTTGTGATGCTGAACGATGTTAGTAGTCATATATGACAAGGACTGTACAGTTAGTAGCCATACTAGTGCTACGGTAAGAGCTTAATATACATGGCCAGCAAGGCCAAACTCATAACATATGCCAGAGAAGAGCAGCTCTGGTCCAAACCTAAACCTTGGGCGGCAAGAGCACCGCATAGAGCAGCCCAGCAGCTGTACCAGCGACAGAGGGTGTAAGCCAGCAACGGCCACCATGCCCCAGTTGATGGCTCTCCACTTGCCGTTGCACAGCCCCATAGCCACTGTGGCACCCACGACACGATGCACTGTGTGGCGGAGACACAGAGGCCGAGGAAGGAGGCGGTGATCACTGCGAGGGCGGCAAGGTGAAGCTGGGGCCACGAGTGAGAACCGCATAGAGCAGCCCAGCGGCCGTACCGGCGACAGGGAGAGTGATCACCCAGCCGAACCCAGCAATGGCCACCATGCCCCAGTTAATAGCTCTCCACTTGCCGTTGCACAGCCCCACGGCCACTGTGGCGCCCACAATGCACTGAGTGGTGGAGACCGGTAGAGCGAGGAAGGAGGCGGTGAGGACTGCGAGGGCGGCGCCTAGCTCCATGGAGAAACCACGGGAGGGCGAGTGGTACGTGATGTTGTTGCCCAGGTTGCGCATTATGTTGTACCCGTCTGGATGAGGGAGAGAGGGGCGGATGGGAGAAAGAAAGTTTCGCAAAAAGATTCGTGTATTCACTCGCAGGTCGAGGGCGAGTGGTACGTGATGTTGTTGCCCAGGTTGCGCATTATGTTGTACCCGTCTGCATGGGTGGGGGAGGGGATAGGTGGAAGTTGGGTGGAAGTTGAGGGGTAGGGAAAGAGAGAGTGGACCACGATGAGAGGGAAATGCAATGAGGAGGAAGTGCAATGAGGAGGAAGTGCAATGAGGAGGAAGTGCAATGAGGAGGAAGTGGAATGAGGAGGAGTGTATGGCCATGAGGCAGTGACAGATGGAGGCAAGGAAGCAACAGTTACAGTGGGTAAGCAGGACAGGCTGGGGGAAAATGCAGCAGGACATGCAGGGGGATATGCAGCAGTATGGCTTACAAAGGGCAAGACCGAGGTCGATCATCAACCCGGCATTGACAAGCATCCAGTAGGGAATGCTGGCATATGTTGAGAAGGTGCCAGTCTCCCACAGCTGGTACACCCCTGCCAGGGGCCCCAGCGAGCCGGCAACATCATTCGAGCCATGGGAGAAGCTGGCAAAGGACGCTGTGACCACCTGCAGCAGCGAGTACAGGTATTCTGTCTTGTTGTCGTACAGGATCGCCACCTCGTGCGCGCGCACTGCACCCTTGTTCCGCCGCTGCACCGACGCGACGTCGATGTATAGTGTGCGCATGAGCAGCCATTTGATGTGGTGGGCGAGCCGCATGACAAGGCTTCTGTGCTTGAGCTTTTGCTGCTCCCACCGCTCCTCTTTGTGCTCTTCCTCCTCCTCGTCCTCTACAGGCATTCCGAGGTCTGATTTTTCGTCATCGTTCAGCAGCTGCGGGGTGAAGGTTCGTTTCAAGTATGTGTCGATCTTGGTGTCATGCGGCTGCTCTGGCAGCCAGTGGATGCAGAACACGTGGTACCACCTGAGGCTCTCCTCTTTCTCCAGCCGTCGGATGAAGAATGGGACAAGGAACCCAACTGAAAAGATAAGAGTCGCGCCTGTGATCGCCCCTGTGATAGCAAATGTCAAACCAATGTTGCTGCTATGAACACCCTCTTCATTCAAAAATCCCCACCGGCTGTTTCTGGCGAAGACATAGAAACTGACGATGAAGCTGGTGCTGGTGAAGAAGAAAGGAACGGCCCAGATTCCTGCTCGGAGAGAGTTTCTCCGATTCATGACAGCAAAGAGTGTGATTGTGTAGATCGCTGCTGCGAGGACGCCCGCTAGACAAGGAGCTAGGACCCAAGATGTTGCGATCTGCGCCACGCCTCTACCCTCCCATCCCCAGTTCACCGCGTCCTTTCCGTATGCGCTAATGCCAACTCCGATAAGCGCACCGATTATGGAGTGTGTGGTAGAAAGAGGGAAGCCTAGAGTACTCGCAATCATGACCCATGCCGAGGACGCTATTAACGCGCACATGAAGCCTGACATTAGAAGGTCTGGCCGACTGCTGAACATGTTGATATTGATAATGTTGTCCTTGACTGTATCGGCCGTCGTAGCGCCAAGAGCGACCGCTCCTCCGAATTCAGTGAAGAAGGCGATGCACACGGCTTGCTTAAGGGTAAGCGACCGCGATCCCACCGACGTGGCGAAGGAATTGGCGACGTCGTTCGTACCTGCGACAGACGTTGCGAAGAATGGAAAGCTAGTTCAAAATCGTCGCAGAAGAAGTGGCTACAAACACACTTAAACAGCGACGCGTTGCATGCTCACCGATGGCATAGGCGTCGAGGAGGGAGAATATCAGCGTCACAACGAAGATCCACGTGTACGAATGGATGGGCATAACAACGGTCGCCATGACTACCAGCGAGTGATTGCTAATTTGCAGCTTGAGCGCTAGAATATTGTGGTGTGACTCGCAGTCCGACCTGCAAGTCTTGATAGTACGAATAGAACTAGAACCTGCAGCGGGAGCAGATCATGGTTGCTTCTCAGCTAGTGATTACTAATCGCGACTTCAGAGATTGCATATTGACGCGAGACTTGCACGACCAGCAAAATGAGTGTTAGAAAAACGATGTAGCTCGCACACCCAATACTTCTAGAACTTGCAGTGAGAGGAGCCTGAGTCTCTCGTCTGACCAACGGCACGACGATACGGAACGGAAAACCATTCTCTAGGTAAAGACCACTTCAGTATGTCGTATGATGGCAGCAATTCAGATGCTCGTACACATATATGCAGGGAGGTGGGGGTTGAGCAAGGAAGGAGGAGCAGAGGATGTGGCTGAATTCGACTCAGCGGTAGCAGCTAACGGTCACCCTGACACACGACAAGGAACAGCAGCCTTCCAGCTCACTCCACTTCTGCTCACAATGGATTCCTCAAGACTGTCGCGTTCAGTTTCTGAATCTTGACAGCATTTCTCGAATTGTTCTCATGGACAAGACATTTGGTGAGGTGTATGTTACCCTCAAAACATAAGAATCCCATCTCAACGTTCTTTATCTTATCGAAACTCACTGAACCCCGACTGGAACCCTCCAGGTTGATTGGTTGGTTAGACCCAGCCGTCCTCCAATCCCAGCAGACACACCTTCCCTGCCACAGCGCCCAGCTGTTCGTGTAATGAGAGGCAGGTTTGCATCCTCGATACGGAAAACCATTCGTTTCGTTGAAGTCCTTTCTCTGCCATGAATACGTGTAATTCCCTTATTGCTTCTCACCTCACAGTTATTCCAACGCTCGCGCCAATTTCCCCAGGATCCAGGCGCCACTGAGTCAGTCCAAGGAGACAGTCCAGTGGGCACTGAACGAATTAGAGCCATTGCGGCTATTTCCCTCGCGAAGAGGAGCGCTTTGTAGACCGGTTTTGCAGGATTGTTCGTTCCTTCGCCTTGGTCAGTTTCCTTGTCAACGGTTTCCGTCTCGCTGTAAACGGCTGCCATTTATTAACCAGATAGGTTTGGAACTTTGATCGAGAAGCCATGATGAAAGATGCCCTGAAGAAGACGAAAGTGGTGGTGCGCAAGCTACCGCCGAATCTTAAGGAGGAGTCATTCGTCGAGGCGCTTAATAAGAAGTATCAAGGCCGCTACAACTGGATCATGTTCTACCCCGGAAAATCGTCGTACGTTTTCATACTCAAACACCATACTTCACCCAGCTATCCCGACCAGCCTTCACATCCTCTCTTAGTCGCCTCCATCCCCGGGTTGCGTCTTAACGCCTTTCTCCCATCATCTTCTCGACCATTTGAAGCTGCTTACGAATATTCGAAAAGCAACCTTGCATCTCATTACATCGCCTCGAATCTCCTGGCATCGCTTCGCATCTCCTCGCATCACCTCGTCGCAGGGCCAAGAAGACGGCGCTGTCAAGGGCCTACATCAACTTTTTCTCGCCCGACGACGTGCTTGCTTTCTCCTCCGATTTTCACGGCCACACCTTCGTCAACGAGAAGGGTAGGTAGGGGGAGATTTTCTCGAAATTTCATGAGAAGAAGAGGACGCTAATTTAAGTTCTAATGCGCAGGGATGAGTATATTGTTACCAGTGTTGATTCAAGAGGTAAGTCTTTCAGGCTGGCTCTTTCAAGCTTTATTGAATCCTGGTTAAGTAATTTCAGACGTCTGAACATGTGCAATGCATGTCATGGTGACAAACAGGCAGTTCAGATGGCAGCAGCAGTGCAGCAGTCAGGGTCTTTCGGAGGCCCTGCAAGGACCATTGGCATTTGAGCCCTAAAGTATCCTTCTATTATCCCCTTCTTTTCTTCTCTGTGTTCCGTTCCCGCCTGCCTCAACTATCCCTCATCCGGCACTGCAGGGCAGCAGTTTCGTTTCAGGGGACAGTAGAGTACGCTCCATGGGTGGCAGAAAGCTTTATGAGGCGACTCAATTGTGTTTTCCTTTCCGCCTGCCCCATGCAACCCCCTGGCTGGCACTGCAGGGCAGCAGTTCCAGGCGACAGTGGAGTACGCGCCATGGCAGAAAGTTCCCAGGGAGGCTCAGAGGAAGGACCCCAGGCAGGGGACTATAGACAAAGGTGATGCGCTAGAAAATGGTGATTTTAGTAACGGGTGTTTCAAGGTATTATCTTCAGGCACATTGTATTCACCTGCCAAAAAAATGTTTTTTTTTGCTTCTCTTTCCGAGCACTGGTTTTGTCAAGTTCCCACCCCTTCACTCCCTAGGATGCATCCCCTCGTTCTGCCATTCTCTCTCTTCCCTCCCCCTCAACCTCTCCCACGATTCCCGTCCGACCATGAGTTCTTGGTCTTGGCAGCACTATACCACAGCGTGCAGAGCCTCCCTTAATCCAGTAACCTGGTTCTTGAGTTCTCTTCCCTTCGCCACTTGGGTATTCACTTTCTTTTTCCCAACCCCCCACACCTCCCGCACCTCACCCGCACCCACTCCCGCTTTTTACCGAATCTCCCCGAGACCCTGAGTAGGTGGCGTTTCTAGCAGCGCTGGAGCTGGGCGAGGAGAGCCTCCCGTATTCTGCAGCCTGCTTCTCCTCGTTCCTCAGGGGTCCACTCTCTTTCTATCCCAGACCTCCCCTTTCTCCCCCACGCCCCCCACCCCCTCCTCCTCCCTGCCCTCCCCCAGACCCCGAGTACGTGGCGTTCCTAGCAGCGCTGGAGCAGGGCGAGGAGAGCCTGCCGAGCGCAGAGGTGCAGCTGGAGAAGGCAGATGCTGCCAAGGCTGCTGCTGCAGGTGCGTGCTCGTTGAGTCTGTCAGTCCAGGGTGATAGAATTGGAACTTAACTGATTGATTGATAAGGAAGGCACGAGGCCTTAAGTACAAACACGGTTGGGTTGAGCAAAGCTAGGGAAAGGATGGGATGGAAATCCTAGCAAATCTCCAATTGGTGAGTTGGCAGATTTGCAGGATTACGAGGGAATCCCAACCAGATAGGGTTGGGATTACAAATCTACACCCAACCTACAAAGTAACCTAACCGATATAGAATATAGTACAAAGTGTTGACTGACTATTTCTAACACACCCCCTAGGCTTACAACACTTCAGCCACATGGCGGTCCAACACCCATGGACGAGAGGAGGCGGTAGTGGTCTTGACGAACAAGAGACTTGGTAAACAAGTCAGCAAGGTTGCAGTCGGAGGCAATGTGTTCTGCCTTCAGCTGCTCGCGCTGCACCAGCTCACGAAGAAAGTAGTGACGGACTTCAATGTGCTTGGTGCGGCCGTGGAAGACGGGGTCCTTGGTGAGATGAATGGTGCTCTCGTTGTCACACCAAAGCGTTGGGGCTGGTTGAGGATACCCAAGTTCTGCCAGCAAGAAGGAGAGCCAACGGGCCTCCTGGGCAGCCATGGTCCCTGCATACAGCTCTGCCTCACAGGTCGACAGTGAGACGGAAGACGACCGAGTGGAGCGCCAACTGACAACCCCACTGCCAAGGGTAAAGCAATACCCTTGGGAAGAGCGCCGATCACTCTGGTCATCAGCATAGGACGAGACACTGTACCCCTCAAGGCGAACAGGGGAAGAGCCGCCAAGAGTGAGCACATAGTCCTGTGTGCCTTTGAGATAGCGGAGGACCCGCTTGGCGGCAGACCAGTGGTGGCTCGTGAAGCGACCAGGTGCAACGTAGCGAGACAGGACACTGACTGGATAGGCCAAGTCTGGTCGAGTGCACATCATCGCGTACATGAGGGAACCAACGAGCTCGGGGTAAGCCTCATCGCAGGGCTCAGGTGAGGGAACAGAGGGTGCAGTGAGTTGGTGCTGCAGAGAGAGTGGGGTGGGCATTGAAGCTGCTTCCTGCATCTTGAACCTTGTCAGAACGTTGTTGATGTAGAACTTCTGCGAGAGGGTGATGGTGCGGGCCGTGCGATCACGTGTGATTTCCATGCCCAGATAGTTCGTCAGCTTCCCAAGATCCTTCATGGCCAGCTTCTCACCAAGTGCAGCTTTGACTGCTGCCAGCTCAGTCTGATCCTTGGTGACAAGGATCATGTCATCGACATAAACCAAGATGAAGAAGCGGGATGGTGTTGCTCGAATGAAGAGGCTGGGGTCAGAGGTGGATGGGTGAAAGTCGAGGGACCCTAAGGTGCTCTTGAGCTTGTTGTGCCATTCCCGGGGTGCTTGCTTGAGGCCATATACTGGTCGATTCAGCTTCCATACAGTGCCTGGTGGAAAAGGAGCTGGAAATCCTTCGGGCCGCTCCATGTAGATTTTCTCTCGAAGGATCCCTTGCAGAAACGCAGAAGACACATCCATGCAGTCAACCTCCATGTCATCTCGAGCGGCCACATCGAGAAGGGTGCGCAGTGTGGGAGGTTTGGCAGTGGGAGAGAATGTCTCAAAGAAGTCCAGCCCACGCTTTTGGGTAAATCCCTTGGCACAGTACCGGGCTTTGAAGACAGGAAATTCGCCTGGAAGTTGTTTCACCCGGAAAACCCATTTTCCCTTCACAATGTTGACGCCGGAGGGAGGAATGATATCTGTGAAAGTCCCTGTGTGAATGAAGGCCTCACACTCTGCGATAATGGCCACTGAGCGGAGTTAGGACCAGAAACTGCTTCAGCATAGGTGAGAGGTGTGGGGATGGAGGGGTTGTCTGAGAAGTTGAGGGTGGGAGATTCTGCGATATCTGGAAAGAGAGAGCAGAGCGCGTGTATGGCTGAGTCAATGTCAATCAACTCCTCATGTCTGTCCTCAAGAAGGGAGGGCATGAGCGAATAATCACCCCCGACAGGAGGAGGATTGAGAGAGACACGAATGGAAAGGGAAAGAGGCTTGGGAGCTTTGTGCGAGCGGGTGCGACCAGCGATGGGGGAGGGAGGCGGAGCTGGAGGAGGAGAAGCAGGAGGTGTAGTGGCAGCATCAGGAGCAGCAGCTGAGTCGGGAGCAGGAGCCAGATCAGGAGTAGGAGGTGGAGCAGGAGCAGGAGCAGCAGCAGGAGGACGGCGTTGGTAGGTTTTGAGAGGAATGGACTCGGGGGCGGGAAGGAGCGGGGGAGACTGCGTGGTGCTGGATGGGGAAGCGGGTGACGGGGGGTCGGAAACTGTGGAGGGAGCGGGAAGAGGAGGAGATGGAGTGGTGGCAGGAGGAAGGATGTCATGTTAGAGAAAGAGGAGGAGAAGGAGAAACTGTGGAGGAGGGGTAGAATGGGTGGGATTCATCGAAGAAAACATCTCGGCTGCGATAGAGTTTGTTGGTGGTAGGATGGAGGAAGAGGTAGTCTGGTGAGTCCAAGTTGTGCCCGAGGTACACGCACGTGATTGTTTTCGGAGCAAGCTTGCCGCCAGCTGCACGACGGGCTTGGGAGTTAGGACATAGGAAGTGCACCCCCATATACGGAGAGGGCGGACGGACGGCTTTTGACCCGTCCACAGCTCTGCGGGGGTGGTGTGGGTGTGGTGAGGATGAGGATGGAGATTGTGGAGGGCGGCAGCATGGAGCATGGCGTATCCCCAAAGAGAGGGAGGGGCGGAAGCATGAGTGAGGAGGCAGCGAGCAATCTGCACCAGGATGCGGTTTTGGCTTTCAGCAACACCGTTCTGTTGAGGGCTGTCTGGGAGAGTGAAGGTCTGTTGGATACCCTCAGTAGAGCAGAAAGCTTTGAGAGTGTTGTTACGGAATTCACCGCCACCGTCAGAGTGAAGAAACTTGATTTTGGTTTTGAAGTGTGAATGAGCCTGCCTGGCCCATTCCATGATGATGGCTGGGGCTTCAGACTTGGCGGTGAGAAGGTGAATGGACACATAGCGGGAATAGTCATCAACGATGACAAGGAAGTAGAATTGTCCGCCACGGGAACGAACAGGAGCTGGACCCCAAAGGTCCATGTGTACGCGATCGAGAGGTGCGGTAGAGATGGACTCAGTGGGAGGATGGGGCTGTTCCCGAAGCTTGCTCTGTGCACAGTCAAGGCAAGGCGGTCCAGAAAGAGAGGGGGGTTGTGGAAGTGTGGCGGGCAGTCCATGTAGGAGTTGCTTGGTGGCAAGGTCGGAAAGTGCGCGGAAGTTGATGTGGCCGAGGCGGTTATGAAATAGCATAGTCTTGTCAGTGAGGAGGCGGCAGTGACATGAGGGGGAGTCTGAGGATGGAAGCGGAAGGTTGGTGAGGGAGCATGTTTGAACGGGAGGTACAACTAGTGTGTACAGGTTGTTGGAGTTGAGGGTGAAGCGGGCAAGATGGAGTCCGGTTTTGGCGTCAAACATGTCACAGTAGTCAACATCATTGGGAAAGATGGTGATCACGCATGCGTGTTGGATTTCCCGCTGTGCAAGAAGGTTGTAGCGGAGGGTTGGGGCACAGATGCCAGTGACGGTGCCAGATGGGAATGCTGGACAGGAAACTGTGGAGGAGCCATGGCATTGGATGGAGAAGCTGATAGGAGTGAGGTGGGAGCCTGATAGGGAACGAAGGCGGTTTGGTCTTTAAGCACTGTGTGGGTGGCACCACTGTCTAGTATGAACTCGATTCCCTGTGTGGTTGAAACACCGATGTACTGCGACCCCTTCTCATTAATAAGACCAGCACCAGAGAACAACAGGTTAAGGCGAACATCAGATGGGGCGCTAGCAAATGCCTGAGCAGGTTCCTCCACTGCCTCGACTTGGTTCACGCGACGGGGTGGTGCCCAGTTGGGAGGGCGCTTGTCCTTGGAGACACCATGGACGTCATACCACTCGTCATCTCGCTTCTTGAAGCAAGTGGCCTCAGGGTGGTTGGTGCCGTTGCATTTCTGCCCCGCACGTGGACCCTTCCTAATGCGGTACTGGCATGGGGGAAAGGAGTTGCGCCTCTGGCCCTGCTGGGAACGGAATGGAATGCCAGGGGAGTAGCGCACAGCATTGACTGATGCCTGAGCTGCAAGGTCCTTTTCCGCAGAGAGAAGGGCCGAAGCGACTTTCTCGAAGGTGAGTTCCTTGGTGGGGAGCTGCTTGAGCATGGAACTGGTGACGTTGTAGGCCGGGGTGAGTCCGACGAGAAGCCCAGCAGCAGGTGCCTGTTCGGGGAAAGTGATCCCAATGTCGTTGAGCTCCTCATGGATGTTGCGGATTTCAGAGATGTAATCTGCCATGCCCGGGCATTCCTCAAGGCAGATTTGGAACATGCGAGGAATGAGGATTGCAACTCCCACGGCAGTTTTGTCATGAAAACGATCCTGGAGGTACTTCCAAATGTCATGCGCAGAGCGGAAGGTGCGGTAGGACTTGACTAACTCAACTGGGGTGGTGGTGATGAAAACCCTAATCACTGCCGCATCCGCCTGCTCCCAGAGACTGAAGTCCGTCTCATACTTGGTGGTCTTAGCATCGAAAGCGCTCTTGGCTGTGGGAGTGGCGCCTTCACCGAGAGGATCGGGAGGGAGAGGCATCTTCCCCTTGCCGCGGTTGAGGAGGATGTCCTTGAGGCAAACCCCCTTGAGCTCCGAGCTAAGGAGGTGCTTCTCCACTCCATAGCACCACTCCCCGAAATTGGTGCTCGTGCCGTTGGGAGCGAGGTTAAGGATGATGAGGTTTCCGACGAGAGTGGAAGTAGAAGTTGCCATTTCGCGCGGAGCGCAGCGCTAAAGTCTCCGATACGTAGTGGAGCGAAGTCCGAAACGCGATTTCGGCAATAGAATGCCCTGTTATACTGCTTCGCCGATGCCCCCTGTTCTGCTTCGCTGCTGCCCCTGTTCCGCTTCTCTGCTGCGCCGCTGACCTGTTCTGCTGCGCCGCTGACATGTTCTGCTGCGCCGCTGACCTGTTCTGCTGCGCCGCTGACCTGTTCTGCTGCGCCGCTGAACCTGTTCTGCTGCGCCGCTGAACCTGTTATGCTGCGCCGCTGAACCTGTTCTGCTGCGCCGCTGAACCTGTTCCGCTGCGCCGCTGAAAACCTGTTCCGCTGCGCCGCTGGACCTGTTCCGCTGCGCCGCTGAAAACCTGTTCCGCTGCGCCGCTGGACCTGTTCCGCTGCGCCGCTGAAAACCTGTTCCGCTGCGCCGCTGGACCTGTTCCGCTGCGCCGCTGAAAACCTGTTCGAATTTAAGAAGATGCGAAAATTTCGACGGAGATTTGAAAAACCAGAGGCTTACGATGAAGGAAGTCGAAAGCTGAAAATGTCGCCGTTGAAAAACGAGAAGCGCGATGAAGGAAGCCTAATGCGTGCTTGACCGGAGCGACGATGTGAAGTTTCTGAAATACGCTAAGCGTAGGAGCCGGGAGCCGAAATAGCCATAGCCTAGAAGGAGAGAACCATCGGGACGCCAAGGATCGGATTCCGCGTGAGCGGAATTTACTAGCTCGATACCATGATAGAATTGGAACTTAACTGATTGATTGATAAGGAAGGCACGAGGCCTTAAGTACAAACACGGTTGGGTTGAGCAAAGCTAGGGAAAGGATGGGATGGGAATCCTAGCAAATCTCCAATTGGTGAGTTGGCAGATTTGCAGGATTACGAGGGAATCCCAACCAGATAGGGTTGGGATTACAAATCTACACCCAACCTACAAAGTAACCTAACCGATATAGAATATAGTACAAAGTGTTGACTGACTATTTCTAACACAGGGGTGGACGAATCACCGTGTGAGGGCGAGGAGAGCCTTCGGATGCAGAGGTGCAGCTGGAGTCGTCAAGGCCGCTGCTGCAGGTGCATGCGCTGCGCTCTCACTTCACTAGGCTGTGCCTTGTTAGATTCTTGTATCTGCCATGTTGAAATCACTTTGGAGAATTCTCAGAAGCGATCCCCATGCTGCATTCTTGTATCTGCAAACTCCTACTCCCCCCTCCCTTCCGCTTTCCATCTCCCTCCCTCGTGCTGACGATTCTGGTCGAGCATGTGTGTCAGAGCCGCGCCAATGCGCCTATCCTTCCCCCCTCCCTCCCCCTGCTTTCCCCATCCCCCCTCCCCCAGGGGTGAAGGAGCCCCTAGTGCTGACGCCCCTGGTCGAGTACGTGTGTCAGAGGCGCGCCAATGCGCCCATCCTTCGTCCTCCCCTCTTTCCCCTTCTTCCCTCCCTCAGGAGCCAAGGAGCCGCTAGTGCTGACGCCCCTGGTGGAGTATGTGTGCCAGAGGCGACGCCAATGCGCCTATCCTTTCCTCCTCCTCCTCGTCCCTTCTCCTCCCCTCTTTCAAACCCCCCCCCCCCCTACCAGGCGTGAAGGAGCCCCTAGTGCTGACGCCCCTGGTGGAGTACGTGTGCCAGAGGCGCGCCAATGCACGGCAAGGCCCCCAGGCCCGTGTGGTTACCAGCAGACCCACTCGCCCTGTGGGCGCAGGGGGAGAGAGGGGGGCTGCGGGGAGGATGGGGGGAGGCGCAGGGGGGACGCATGCTCCCCCCGCTGCAGGCAGTGGGGCAGGCCGTGGGGGAGGGGGAGGGGGAAGCGGTGGTGGGGGTAAAGGGGGGGGCAGAGGGGAAAGAGGTGCACGTGGAGGTGGGCGGAGTGGGGGAAGGGGGGGAGGGGGGGAGACGGGCACACCTGGTGCAGGTGGTTCTTCAGGTGGATTTGCAGGAGGGTCTCAGCCTATCAGTGGAAGGGAGAAGGTTGATCCGGCCGCTGTTACTTCTGCAGCTCATGTGAGGAGAGGATCAAATGCACCTGGTTTTGCATATACACGTGTGCAATGATCCACCTGAATCAACACCTGAGAAGCACTTAACTCTTGAGAGGCACTTGAACCTTTTGCATGTATTATCATCATCACCTGCCCCCTTCAATATCATCACATGCCCTTTTCAATCTGATCACATTTCCGCTTCATTCTCATCACATGCCCCCGTCATGATCGCCACATGCCCCTCGTTACAGTCACGCTCGTCGCGCCGTCACGCGGCTGATCTCCGGCGCAAGAGAGGAGGCACCAGCACCAGCGACGCCCACAGGAACGCTCAAAGGGACGCTCGGGCCACTCCCTCCCCATCCCCCCTCGTGCCTGCTGCTACAGCTGCAGTCGGCTCTGCTACAGCCGGTGCAGCTGTTTTCAACACTGCAGCTGGGTCTGCTAGAGCCGGGGGTGCTACAGCTGGCAGTGCGTCTGGCAGTGCGGCAGCAGGCACTACAGGTGAAAGCACAGCAAGTGGTGGTGGTGACGTTGGTGCTGGTTCGATCCGCACAGGGCCTACTGGCCGGGCCGGAGGGGTGAAGATCATCACTCGGCAACACGCACAGCCACATGCGCCCCCGCAGCAGCAGCAGCAGCAGCAGCAGCAGCAGCAGCAGAGGCAGTATGGGCGAGGAGGAGGGATACAGGCCGCACAGCAAGCACAGCAGCAGGCACAGCAGGGTCGGCAGACGCAAGGAGAAGCAGGAAGCGTGGCAGGTGAAGCAACAGCAGTTGCAACGAAGGCCGAAACTCCTGCTGCTGCTGGCAGTGCAGCAGGAGCAGCAGGAGGAAGAGCAGGAGGGGCAGCAGCAGGGGGAGGGGCAGCGAGGGAGGCGAGGGACAGTCGGGGTAGGCTGAAGAACCGGGACCGGCCTGACCGACCAGTGTGGACGCCCAGGCGACGCCCAGACGTGGGAGCGAGCGGTGCTGGTGCAGGGCAGTCCGGGGGAGGTGGTACTGGTGGTGGTGCTGCGGCTGCTGCTACTGCTGGTGCTGCTACTGCTGCTGCTGCTGCTACTGCATCTGCTGGCGTTGCGGCATCCTCTGCAGCAGCTCCCTCCGCTGCTCCATCTGTTCCTTCTGCCTCTGCAGCCCCTGCAGGTGCTGCATCGGCACGTGCAGCAGCGACTTCAGCAGCGCCAGCAGCAAGAGCTGCAGGGGCAGTAGGAGGAGGAGGAGCAGGAGGAGTAGCGGCAGCAGCAACGCCACAATCAGGAGCCACCGAAGCAGCCATGCCTTCTCTTCCCTCTGCACCAGCGGGCACTGGTGCAAGCAGAGGGGGTGGAGGAGCAGGAGGCTATGGAGGGAGAGGGAGGGGCGGCAGTGACTATGGCAGAGGAGGTATGCTTATATTCGTTATAAGCAAGCATATTGATTATTCTGCTCTCCTTATTATGCCAGATTCGTTGTTCTGACACTTGGTTTTACTCCCCCACCTCCCACTCCATGCGTCTGTTTGTGTGTTGCTGCAGGGCGAGTGAGTGAGAGGGGGAGAGGTGGGGGGCGGCGGGGGGGACATGGGGGAGGAGGAGGACGGGGCTACGGCGGATCAGGTCCAGCGGGAAACGAAAGCCAGGTACCTGCCTCCCCCTCTTTGCCCTTCCCTTCCCCACTCATCCCCAACCGCCACCTGCTTCTCTCGTTTTATTTTTGTAAAGAAACCCTTTCTGCCCACGGCTTTTTTCTCCAGCCCTGAGTATATCTTTCTCCCTTCACCCCCCACCTCCGCCCCTCTCTTCCTCCTCCCTTGCTTCCTGCCCTGTCTACTCTCCCTTCTGTTTTCGCCCAACCGCCATTGTTTCATTCCCTTCCAAGTCTGCTGTTGCCCCTGCTTCTTGCTGCGTCGATCCCTCTTTACTGCGATTCCAACAGAGGCAGGTGTGGGTGGCAGTTCAGAAATCAAGTGAATCCGGTCAGTAATGGTGAATCAATGCTGTAGGATTGTGAGTTGTGCACATTCAGCTTGTCCTTCGGATATTTAGACATTAAATGCTCTCAGTCGGATGTTGCAATTGTGCTGATTTGAAAATGGTAAAGGCTGTCAGTGGCCTACACTAGTTAATGGTCATTTGTGGTGATGTTTGGTACCATGCAACTATTTGTTTCCAAGCGTTGTCTTGCTGCTAGTATTCTTAGCCAATCACACAAGTCAATCATGTCAGCCCCCTAGTCTCTGTTGGAGCAGGTTGGAAGCCCCAGTTGTACTGTATGTACGTTATTGTGAAAGCTTGCTTAGTCCATCTTGCAAAGGCAGCGTGCTTCATTCCAGCGTGCTTCATTCCAACGTGCTACTGAAATCACGTTCCTCTTTTGTAGGCAAAAGAGGGGTGAGTAGCGTCGAGCCGCTACCTTTGCTGCGTTGGCCACGTCCTCGCTTTCACAATACGAAATTTGAAAAAGTGTTACACTTTTAAAAATTATACCTGTGAGTTCTTTGGTTGGTGGTACTTCGAAGTCTCAGTTTTTGTTCATGTCATCTGTGAATTGTTGCTGGTTTGAGAAGGCTGTTCTGCCTTACAATGTTAGATCAGCAAAGTTTTTATACAATGCAAGGTCCTGACTCCTGTTATAATATTATGTCCAGAAGCCTTGGTTGATTCAGTTAAAACCTTGCCACAGGACCATCAAGGGTTCCCTGGCCTTAGTCAATTTAAGTTTTAAATGTTTTTGGATTACATTAAAAATAACTTGCAGAGAAATTCTCCCCACATGCTTTATCATTAGCGCAGCAGACAGCGCACTGTACTTCTGCTTTCATGTGGGAAACTACTATCCTGTCCCTCCCCACAAGTACATTTACTGCCCCTTGGTGTAGGTGTTGGGCATGATTTTCCTGGTAACGCCGAGAATTGGAGACTCGCTTTTCTCAAGAGCATCAAAGGGAATGTAGTTCTTCTCCCTGTCGAATACATGACACTCCACGAAGATGTTCTTCATCAGCCTCCAGTTCCAAGATGCCTCGTTCATGTACTGCACTCAGAAGAACGGGGAGGTGTGGAAAGGAATAGAATGACAAGTTAGGATTGGAAAGGTGAAACAGCTGAATCCAACTGGCATGATGGTGCATATGAAACTCCTGTGGTGAAGATGCGGGATGCTTGATACAGGCACGCCCTTGTTAAGAAACAGTTTGATTGCAAGGTCATTTCAAGCTCACCTTGCCCCAGTGCTTCCTCAGAGCATCATTAGCCAGCCGCAGGTTGTAGGAGGGGATCTTCTGGGACACGTGGTGAGGGATGTGCACGTTGATGTCATGGCACAGAATCTCAATCCTGCAAACCAGAGGGGGGGGGAGAGTGGAAACAGATGAGCATCAGCATGCACATTATCTAACACAACTCCTCGTCACGTTCAAATGACTTTTAACTCCTTTGCTAAAAATTATAATATCAGATTCCATCTTTCCCATATCTTTCAAATATATCCACCCATTTCACATACCAGGACGGGTAGTCGCAGTGAACAGTGCCACCGAGTTGAGCCTGAGCAGCGTTCCACTCGGATTGCTTCTTGAAGGGGATGTGAGGAGCCGTGTGGTGCACCATGGTGAAGGTGCTCATCTGCATTTCCATACACCACGCAGCAGAAGCATACGAGAATTGAGTCGGAGAACACAAACGTGACAGCATCTAGCTGACACTTGACGACAATCCAACTGTTGTATTTGACCGTCAAACATCAAACTTCCTGCCATGAAGACAATCGTACTTTACCATTGTGCAGTTCAAATGCAGAGGGCGAGGACTCACCCAGAAGTGGAAGCCGAGCCACGGCATGAGCCAGAGCTTGAACCAGCCGTCGATGCCGAAGTTGGCAATGATAAGAGGGAAGCCAATCAGCGCAAAGGCACCGACAGCAGCGAGCGACACCTTGACACGTGGCACCTCGCTCGGCCGGAACTTCTCAAGGTCGAAGTGGTACACCAGCCTGGACACGAAGTCACGACAGAAACAAATCCCATTTGCCTTTAGGAACTTTGAATGTTTCATGTGGTACTTATTCTATGTAAGTTACAGGATAAAGAAAATGGCCGACGTAGTCCGTGAGAACTAGTGCTGTTCACCAAAATCAATGGAACGGCCTCTGGTGCACAACTCAGTGGTCATATTCATTGCAATGCTTCAAGGCCTATGCTCTTGCATGCCACGTGCGTACCAGTGACCGATGGAGGCGAGGAATCGGAGGGGGCCCATGAAGGTCTGCATGAGCACGCGGCCAGTGGGGCTCATCCGCTTGTACATGCCTGGGATCATGGGATGCCACGCCGTATCCTCAACCAGCCTGAACGGTAAAAGCAACGTCCAAAAGAGAATGGATGGAAAACATTCGGAATGTTTATCAAAACGGCAACCGAAGAGTCCTCAAAGAAAAGCTGTCGCGAGTGTTTTCGGCCAAGAGAGGATTCAGCATCAGCGGAGAACGAAAACCATAAGACAGACGTGGAAGCGTAGTAAAAAAGCAGGTTACTCGTTGATCGCTAAGATGAATCCTCACATGTTGGTCTTGGCGTGGTGGCGGTCGTGCTTGAATCTCCAGGGCTCATACGGGTAGATGAGCGGCGCCATCATGACGGTCCCCACAATGTCCTCCACCAGCTTGTTCTTCGAGAAGGCCTTGTGCGCGCAGTCATGCCCCACCACGAAGAACTGCTCGAAAAAAACAACTCAGGGCAACAGACAACTTTTAGTACTGAAACGTGGTCGGAAACCGGGAAGCAATGGGGAGACAGAAACATAGAAAGCTCGCAATAAAAAAGGATAGCCGACACTTGGCACTTACCCCGGTGAAGGCAGTGCCAGCCCAGGCCCATGCGAAAGGCAGAAGGTACCACGGCGAGTTGTAGATGAACACTTCTCCCAGCGCCATCGCGGCGATTGTTAGGACGACGGTCTTCCATGCCTTCCACTCGTTGATCTCGAACGCCTGCAGACAATCACGAAAGGTTATTAAAAAGATCACGTTCACAACATAAAGCGTGGACGACGATCAAGGAGGTACAGCGGAATGATCAGAAACAAAGGCCTATGCGCATTTTCGACTTGCGTTTTACCTCGGCCGGGATTGTATCGATGACTTGCTTCAGTGTGATGTCATCAGGTAACGGCTCGCCGATTTGTCGGAAGCCATACTCTTCCGCCAGTCTCTCCCGCTCTTGAGGATCGGAGAGGGGGTTGGTGACAGGAGCGGCGACCGCGGCTGATGTCTTCACTAGCCGGCACGCCTGAGACTTCAGGCCGATGGAAGGCTTCCTCTGCATCATAAAATCGTTTCCAGGGAATGGATGAGACGATTAAGATGGCGTAGAAGAACGACTTTTGATCCTATGTTTCTTCGCAAAAAAACAGATAATGGGGGGGGGACGCCAGAGAGGATTCGTACCAGGTTGTGGGTGCGAGATCGGAGCGGCAGGAAGGGAGCGCTCTGCACAGCAACTGTAAGAACGAAACAAAGCAGCTGTCAGCATACGGCCGACTAGAAAGGATAGTTGCTTGACGTAGCGGGAAATTTGATAAGAACAGCGACGAATTCTACTGACCTGGGCTTCCCAGCTTGAGAGCGTCATTGGCCTGCACCCGGGGGATTAGGGGCACGTGGAGACGAGGAGCTCGTTAGCACCAACAGGCTGATCAATACTAACCGATCACTATGCATTGCTTGAATTCCCCATTCACACACCTTAGCAACGAAGGCCGCGCGAGACGCCATCGAGAGAGAGACTGAGGCCGCCATCTCGGAGTACTACAAGAGGCAGCTACAATCCCAGAGCTGTATCAGACGCTAGTTTACTCTGATTCCTTGATCACAACCAGAGGGATCACAGATGAACTATGCGAAGTCTGCCAGCACTCCTATGAAGCAGAACGATGAACCCCAGGACACCCAGCAAGCTCTTCGTTTCCCAGACTCGGTTCGGTGTACACTGGTGGAAATCGGTTGGGAAAGGAATTTGCGTTGGATGATGGGGAAAGTTTTGGAGGGAGGAGGTTGGAAAGGGTGGGCAGTGGCAGGGAAGAATTTCCGAGTCTGTTTCGGAGGGGCCCGAGGTGGCTGATTCGACGAACGATTGGATGAAGGAAGCAGACGAGGTGGTTTCGGGCAGGTGTATGGTGAAGCTGCCCGGGAAGCCCGCCACACAGAGACGTTCGACGCTCGTGTGGAATGGTTGGTTCAAAGCCCTCTGTAATAGTCTGTGCTGGACATCGCTCGGATTCTCACGTGGCGCCTTGGGGAGCTGGCATCGACTAGATTTTGGCTCCAAGAATCCCGAAAAATGGGAGTGCAACCGACATCATAGGCCTAGTACTGCGAGCCTTGGGGTTACCCCAGTGATTCGCTTGGATTGCGAATGGTGGGCGACGTGACGAGGAGCCAAAAGTGCTGGGGGCTTGCCTTTCTTGGATGGACTTCGTCGGTGGAAAATTTCACGAGGTCCACATAATAATGGATGACGTTGCGCGCCCATGAAGTTATGCAGCGCGCTGACGTGCCATGTATTAGCGACCACCAGTTCCCCCGAAACGCAGGTTTCACGGACAAGTAGCTACATGTCCAATCGGATCACACGGTTCGTGCAAAAGTGCGTTTCTCCATAAGAAAACTCTTTACAGAGCTCCCATCCGCAACACTGTTTAGACAAATAAAACAATGCCATTCACAGAATGTACCAAATGGAGGTACCTGGTTGAAACGAACCATGGAAATAATATTGTATTATATGTTAGCTTGGTGCAAGATTCAGTGCATGGCACATGCTGTCCCGCACAACTACCCACCTCCGAGTGGCTACCTTATTACTCTAGCCCCAATATATTGGTAAGCATTTAAGTGAAGCCTAATTCGGAGGTACTCATTCCTGATTCTATGTTAGTATGGCGTCTTAGTATAGCGCCTCCTGCCTGTGCTCGAAGCTGCTCCAGCAACCACATCCTCTCCTTGTGCTTCAGCACAAAATGCAGGAAGTGAGTTGGAAGTCGTTTTGCTGCACTCCCTTCGATTAGGCCCTTGGAAGGTACTTCATCACGGCAACGTGTGGCATCATCACCGATCCAATCCAGAGTGTGCCATTTCGTTCCTCCACTTCACTCACAGACTTGACAGCGCGTCCCATGTGATCCTCCAGCACGTCTGTGATTCGTCCATCACCATCCACCTCCACCACCAGGCCATGTGGCCACCCAATCATAAAACCGTATATAATTTTGATGTCAACAGGAAGGGACATGACGAAACTCCTCAGCCATGGTCGTGGAGCGAAGTAATCTGCAAGAGAGAATGTGCATAGGGGAAAAACTCATTAAGGATTGAAGGCAAAAAACGGGAATGTAGGCATATCAGGAATCACGATACTTACCAATAAGGGGGCGCCTCCGCGAATGCATGGCTACCCAAAATCGCCCGCGCGGGTTTAGTCTGATGTTGTCTGGCGAGCCGGGTAGGTCAACGAGCACCTCCCGAGTCCCCTCCTTCGGACCCTTCAACCAATAACGGCTGCACCTGCAAGCTCGAGAGCGAATGACAAAGTGAGAAAGCCTGAACGCACCATTGTCATGCAAGAAACCGGGTGTGAAAATGCGATGGTTCTGGTCCGCATAGCTTAGTTAACAACCGATACCAGTGTGCGTACCTGAAAAGGACGGTTTCGCAGAAGACCAGGAACGACTTGTCTTCAGAAAGAGCAAGGCCGTTGGGGAAGACGAGGTTCCGGAGTAACACGGTAACCTGACGTGTAGCTAGATCCACTTTCATCAGACGACCGTCAGCTCGGCCCTCTGTGGTCGCCACGACGAAATCTCGTCGCTGGTGACGTGTGCTCGAATCAGTAAAGTACACTGTGCCGTTCTCGTTATCCGCGTCAATAGCCACGTCATTCGCAAACCGCAGCTTTCGACCCTCCACGCGATCCACGACCACTCGCGCCTTCCCGCCCTTCTTCCCAACCTTGTAAATGCCGAAATAGGCATCCGCGAAGAAAAGCTCGCCAGTTACCGGATGAAAACGTAACCCCAACGGACGGCCACAGATATGCTCCGTGGCCAGCTTCGGCCCGACTCGCCCCTTAACCGCGCTGCGTATAGCGGGGGCGGAGGAAATACTGCTGGATCCAACCGCTCTACCATCGAGTTCCTGGAATAGGCCGCTGATGGGGCCTAAGCTATAGTTCGTATGGTCAAACGAGCCGTTGAGCGACGGACGGGTATGGATGTTGGAAGCGTCGGCAGACGCCTCGACTGCTCCCGATAGAAATGCGACGGCGGAGGTGAATGGGGACGGTTGCACTCGTGCGACGGGATCGCACAGTTCGGACGACCTGCGGGAGAGGGAATACAAAGGCTAAACATCAATTTCACGAGAATCCAAGCGGTTTTGACGTGACGAAAACTTATTAGATCCATCGTGAGAGTGAGTTGAGCGACGTGCCAGTGGAAAGGCAAATATGCTAGCTCTTACCAGTACGGCGACGCGTGTGCGAACGTTTCCCATCCACTGTCGTCCAATGATCGTCGGACGATTCGCCCGTCGCTGACGCCAGCGTACGGCCCTCGTCCCTCAAGGTCCCATGCAAGGCTTTCCGGGCCGAACACCTCGCCCGAGTATCTGCGCACCCAACAGAGTGGATGCCAAAGAAGAGACAACCTGAACAACAGCCTACCCCTTTGACCTACACAGACGCTGGAGATTATACATGTGTCGCGGCGATGAGCAGGTGCGCAACTGAAACCGAAGGTTTGCTGCGGGAAGGAGAAAGGCACCTGATGTGAGCATTGGCGAGACGATTCTCTTGGTCCGACGGAATGGGTAGTCGGCGCGGTGACAAGGGAATAGGCGCTGCGTGGAAGGGGAGATTGGCTATGGGTCGAAGTCGGAGCGGGTCTGTGACGAGGAAGACGAAAAAGGTGAACGCGAGCGAGGAGAAGGAAACGCGAAAAGCAGATTGCTGCTGGACAGCCGCAGCTGTGGCGGCCATTGCGGCTGCGACCATAATTTTATAGTCACTGGTGAAGACGCTGATCTGATAGGGGCGTGCGACAGCACCGAGATGGACTTGGACATTCAAAGGCTGAGCGACAATATTGGCTGCGACGCTGACAGGCAGACTGAAATGCGATTGCGTTCTGGGGAATTGGGGTTCGCAGGACTGCGTGAATCAGGGAGCTGCGACGGTGAACGACTAGAACTGGATGAGAGAATTCGAGAGAGAGGGGCTAGCGATGATGTCGGGACCCGGAGGCCGGTCGAGATTTGATGAGTGCGACGACGGATGCAGCTGTAAATTTAGGTGAGGGACGGAAGCATCGCGGGGTGCCGTCGTTGCGACTGCTGACGTGCAGTGCGACTCAGAACCCACATCGCTCTGCTCTTGAGCCGCGGAGCAGTGTGTTGAAAGCTGGATGCGGCTCGTTCGCAAACACGTCGCCTCCCAATCGCACCTGGTCGGCTGGTACTCGAAATCCTTGATCGACGGCGTAGCCCAAGCAAGTGGCTGGCGAAGCTTCTTGCGACACCTGGGAGAGGAGTTTTAGGGGCAACATTTCCACCAGGCAAAAAATAGTGTCGCTGGGCGGAGAAGCTACCTTGGGTATGCGAAAGGCGTGTGACGAATTGTCAGAGCAACACAACCATTCTGACAACAGAAGGAATGTCTGTCGCACGTCTTCGTTCAGGCTTTGCGACAGCAAATAGTGCTTCGCTTGGCTGGATGCATCACCTGTCGCCATGTGCCGTTGCGGCTCGCGTAGGTTGGGAAGAAGTTTGACTGGGCAGCGTTGCTTGGCAAGAAAACAATACAGGTACACTAGATTTTACAGCTTAAATTAAATACTTCATAATAACATATCATGATATACTAAAGCTCAAATGCTCTGTGGTTGATTGAGCTTCTCCCTGTTGGACGTGGATAATCTAGCATGCCAACATGAGGCACCACGACGGAACCCAACCAAAGCTTCCCATCTCTTTCTTCCACTTCACTCACAGACCTCACAACACTTCCCAGTCTGTCTTCAAGCACGTCTGTTATAGTGCCGTTTTCATCCACCTCCACAATGATCCCATTTGGTCGGCCCACAGTCAGTCTATGCGCAGTGCTGATGCTGATAGGCAGGGAGAGGAAGAGGGTGCGCAGCCAAGGCCTACGAGCCACCATGTCTGTCAAGGTAGAGGGGATTACAAGGTCAACAGGGAAAAGAAGAAGAGAGGCAATGAACACTGAACCAGCGTGTCAATCATCTACAACAAATTGCTCCACAAATCGGCACACAGAAGAGCAACACATGGAAAAGCAGGCATGAAGTGCTCAATAAGACACGCTCACAAGCATCACTCATCACCATGACTGGCCATTCAAGCCGCCACTGATAGAACCATACAATCACCGCACCACACGATCACACCATCACCCACCCAGAAGGAACTTTCTTCGCGAATGGACGGCTATCCAGAACCGGTCGCGAGGATTCAGGCGAACATTGTCGGGCATGCCGGGCAGCTCAACAAAAACTTCATGGGTCCCTGTCTTTGGACCCCTCAGCCAATACTGATGGCACCTACGAGGGGAACATGGAAATAGAAACAATAAAATGATTATTACAATGGCATCAAGAGTAAAAGCACAGTGGTGTGAAGTCTTCCGTGCTACCCTTTGCACAGTGTTGCTACACGGTACATGCATGAGCTAACACGAAGCCTGGACACTTGCCCAAGGGTGAAGGTTTCAGTTTAACAGCACATGGGGAAGGACTTGTTTCTCGAGAGCAAAATTTCAATGCGTTTGCGATGCATCCGACGAACAGTTACAATGGTTTCGCAGAACACGAGGAAGGACTGGTCGCTCGAGAGCGCGACGCCATTGGCGAATGCAAGGCCGCCCACCAGCACTGCCACCCGGCCAGTCTTTTGAAGGGGTAGAAAGACTTACCTCAGAGTGGTGGTTTCGCAGAACACGAGGAAGGACTTGTCTCTCGAGAGCGCGACGCCATTGGCGAATGCAAGGCCGTCCACCAGCACTGCCACTTGGCCAGTCGCCAGGTCCACCTGCAACAGCCGCCCGTCCGCCCTGCCCTCCACTATTGACACGTAGTAGTCCCTGGGGCAGGTGAGATGGGGAGAGGAGAGGGAGCGAGAGATGGAGGCAGGGGAAGGAGAGGGATGGGATACAGGGGAGGTCCACCTGCATCAGGCGCCCATCCGCCCTGCCCTCCACTATTGACACGTAGTAGGCCCTGGCGTGATGGAGGCAGGGGAAGGAGAGGGATGGGATGGGATGGGATGGGATGGGATGGGATGGGATGGGATGGGATGGGATGGGATGGGATGGGATGGGGTGGGATGGGATGGGATGGGTTGGGATGGGATGGGATGAGATGGTGAGAGGCAGGACCACCTGTATCAGCTGCCTACTTACCCCGCCCCTCCACAATCAGCCACTCCTCATCTCCTGTCACACCAGCGCTGGAAGCGCATGCCCCACTTCCGCCTCACCCAACCACCTCCTCCCTGTTCGCCTCACCGGCGCTGGAAGCGGGTGCTGGTACCTCACCTCCTCGTCATCCCTCCCTCCCTGTTCGCCTCACCGGCGCTGGAAGCGAGTGCTGGTGTCGGTGAAATAGAGCGTCCCATTCTCGTCGCTGGCGGCAATATCAAGGTCGTTGGCGAACAGCAGCGGGCGGCCGTCCACGCGCGTCACCACAGGCTGCGCCAGCCCACCCTGCCGCCCCACCTTGAACACGCCAAAGTACGCATCCGCGAAGAACAGCTCCCCCGTCACCGGGTGGAACCGCAACCCCAGCGGCCGCCCGCATATGTGCTCCGTGGAGGGGTTTGGGAGGGCTTGCTGGGATTGCTGCACCTGCTGCTCCTGCTGGGATTTCTGAGCCTGATGGGAATTTTGGGCCTGATGGGATTGCTGAGATTGCTGGATTTGCTGGGACAGTTGGTTCTGTTGTGATGACTCTACATTGGCAGCCTGTGCAGCAAGAGAGGCGGCGGTGCTTTGAGGCTCTTCTGAAGGTACGTCTGGGGAAGACTGGTTCCCAGCAGGACCTTCCAACGAGCCTAGCACCGAGCCTGGCACCGAGCCTGGCACCGACTCTTGAACGGTGGTTCGGATGTGGGGCTGCACGAGAGACACGTCGCTGGGGAACACGCCGAACGCGGTCGCCACTCTCTCCGAGGCTGGCAGCGTCGCTGCTGCTGCCGCCGCGCGTCTCCTTTCCATTGGTCCGAGCTCCTGTGATGTGGCAGAGCCACTGAAGCGCCGAGGGGCGTGTGTGTCACAGAGATCGGGCGTCCTGGAGCAGATAGGATGGAGGTGTGGGGGAGGGGGGGGGGGGAGAAGATCGAGGTGGGGAGAGGAGCGCGGCGTGGAACGGGAGTGAAGAGGCAGAACAGAGGTATCTCAGAATGAGAACAGCTCAGGAGTCCTGGCGGGGATAGGTTGGAGGCGGGGGGGGAGAAGAGCGAAGAGCGAGTTGGTCTATGGGCGAGGTGGGGAGAGGGATGGGTGTGAAGAGGCAGAATAGAGGTACCACAGAAAGCAAACGGGCATCTGTACGGCACGGGGGGTCAAATCAACAGCGTCAGCACAGCACTCACCGCAGCGGCGACGCCCACGCAAACGTCTCCCACGCGCGGCCGTCCGCCGTGCGGCGCACGACTCGCCCGTCGCCCACGCCCGCGTACGGCCCCCTGCCGTCCAGATCCCACGCCAGACTTTCAGGCCCGAACGCCTCGCCCTCGAACCTGCCATTTCACGAAGAACGATAGGTACGAGTCTCGTTAACGGCATTGCGTACGGCCCCCTGCTGTCCAGGTCCCATGCAAGACTACAAGACTCTCGGGCCCGAACGGCATTGCGTGCGGCACCCTGCCGTCCAGATCTCATGCAAGACTCTCGGGCCCGAACGCCTCTCCCTCGAACCTGCCATGCCACGGAGAACGATGAGTTTTGGGTCATGATTGAAAGTTTATGGGCGACTGAGAAGGCATTGCGTGCGCCCCCCTGCCGTCCACCCGTCCCACGCCATACTCTCGGGACCGCACGCCTCGCACGTCGTACGTGCCACGTCACTGAGAACGATAAATGCAGCCAGACCAGCAGAAGGTACACAATAAAGCATTGCGGTAAGGAGAACGGTGATGGCCTTACATGATCTCGGCATCAGCGAGCCGATTAAGAGGGTCTCTGACGGAGCGCGGTGGCGGCGGCGCGATGTCGATGACGACTGGGTCGAACGGGAGGTGCGCCACGGGGCTCAGGCGGAGCGGATCGGCCAATAGGAACGCGAAGATCGTCGCCGCGACGAGCGCTGGGAGCGCGACGCGCCAGTGGAAGGTCGATGCGATTCGGGCCTTGCCGCTCGTCGACTGTTCAGCTCTCGAGTAGTGCTCGGATCTAAATCGGTAGTGCTCGGTTCTAAAGTGGTGGTCGTTTTTAGCTCGGTTCTCCTGGTCGATCAGCTGTGCTTTATGATTCATGGCTGCCGTGAGCTCATTACTCCCCATTCGCGGTAGAGAAGCGATCCTTAATCCTTGAAGCTATGGGGTGGCCCTAAATTGCACCGTAAATGCTAGAGTATTGTTGGGAGCGTGCAATCTAGTGTTATCTGGCAACGCTGGCAGGGAGCTGAGCGCCACCAAAAAGGTTCAAACCATGCGAGCAACACCAGTCAGTAAACACATAGCAGCTCCTGAGAATTCTCATAAGGTGCTCTAACCATAGGAGCAATCGCAGCCAGCAAGCAGATAGCAGCTCTTTCTATTGAATGAGTAGCCGTGCAGCTGAATGACTGGTAGGATTCTTTCAGCTCTGATGAAGGTGTTCAGGAAATAGTAGTGCAAAATAGCGAGGTCAGCGTTTTGTGCGGGTGGGTAGATAGGCTGCTCAAGCTTGCCGGAGTTGCCCTGCCTGGCTTTCACAACAAGCGTTCTTGTGAGTCAGCTTTGTTCGATAGCGTACCGCCCGAAACCACTCGAAATCGTTTAAACTCAAACTTCGCCGTGCTCAACCTATAGGCTCTCAACTGCGGCCCCTGAAACTGCAAATCAACCCATCTCTTTCAATTGTGGGCACTGGGCAGACCGTGAAGAGCGAGAAAGGTGCTGGAGGCAGGAATTGGCGAGATGCGGCCGAGAAACTGGGTAAGGTGTGAATATACAGTATATTTCAACCGGGCGCGAGGGTCGAATCGAATGGTTCTTGCCTTCCCAAATAAAACCTGTGCCGCGTCGCAAGAGCTCTCTGACGCTGAACCTGACCGGGAAAAGAAACTCTGACACACACGCGCCCAGATTGACCAATGAGGCGAGGGAGCTTGCCTGCATTTTTTCAACAGCGGCTCGGGGAAGGGAACTACATCAGAGACACTTGTACCGCAGTTGAAAGTTGAAGAACCGCGCCGTACCGAAGCTGAGTGAATTGAAACATGTTCTACAAAGACATATAATAACAAACCCCACTGCCATTTTCTTACACATCCTCCAAAATGGACAGGCGTTACTTCATGCCCGGAGACCATCGCATATACTAGTATCAGGTACGACCACGAATCTTACACGCCTACCGCTTGTTGCCAAACGCCCCACTAAATGCACCACTAAAAGTACTCGCAGCAGTCGCACCTCCCCCTGCACCCACCCCTCCACCCCCAGCCGCTCCAGGCTTTGCCGACCCGCTCGCAGTAGACGCCGAGCCAAGCAAACCACCACCAAACAAATTCTTATTCTGCCCGGAAGTCTCAAACCCGAACAAATTCTTCCCAACGTATTTCCCCAGGTCCTCGATTTTCCCGACCCAGCGGTCGCGGCGAATGGCCTCTAGTGCGTCTTTGCTGCTCGTGGAGAGGAGCTCGGGCTCCTTTAGCAGCGCCTGCACTGCTGGTAGGAACAGCGTGTTGGTCTGCTGGGGGGTCATCTCTGTAAGGGTGTGGATGGGTGGGGGGAGGTTGAGAGGGATGAGCATTGGAGAGGAGCTCTGGCTCCTTGAGCAGCGCCTGCACTGCTGGGAGGAAAAGCGTGTTGGTCTGCTGGGGGGTCATCTCTGCAGCACGCGTGGTTGGAGAGGGTGTGGATGGGTGGAGGGAGGTAGAGAGGGATGAACATGGGTTTGAATGAATGGAGGGCAGAGTAGGTTCCTATGACACCTGGGAGCTGCAACTGTTGTGTGCATGAACGGCAAGAATTATCCTGTACCTGCGTGCTCACTGAATACCCGTGTTCACAGCATGACCGCACTGCATCGATGTGCTCACAGCCTGGCATCAACCCACCGCAAGCACGTGCTAACAGCATCACCCCCCTCTACCTGTGTGCTCCAGCGCCCGCAGAGCAGAGCAGAGCGCCTCAGCCTTCTCCCTTCGCTTGGCAACGGTGCCATTGGCAAGCAGCGGGCCGGTGGCCATGCTGGCGACCTTCTGCAGCGAGTACTCTCTCAGCGTGCTGGAGGTCACTGGCACGGCAGCACCAGCTTGCAGACGTCATCCAGGCAGACCAGACAGTTCCCAAGTGTTAACAGCATCACCCCACTCTACCTGTGTGCTCCAGCGCCCGCAGAGCAGAGCAGAGCGCCTCAGCCTTCTCGCGGCGCTTGGCAACGGTGCCATTAGCGAGCAGGGGGCCAGTGGCCATGCTGGCGACCTTTTGCAGCGAGTACTCTCTCAGCGTGCTGGAGGTGACTGGCACGGCGGCTGTGAGCGTCTTGAGCACCGCCACCACGGCCTCGTGCGACCCCTCCTCCAGGAATGAGTCCAGCTGCACTCGAATCTTGTCCACTATCTGGTGGCATGGGCATGGGGAGGCACACATGCATGGGCACATGGGGACATGCACACATGGATACAGAGCAAGGTGACTTGTGCTTTGACTCAAAGGCTAATGAGCCTAGCTCCACCTCACTCTATTTCCCTCTAACCACAAATGCTGCTCACCGGAGCATCCTTGAACTGCTGGGCCACGGAGCCCAGGGCAGCGATGGTGGAGTGCTTGACCTCGGGCACGGGGTCTGATCCCAACGTGATCAGCACCACCTCTCTCCACCTCTCTCCACCTCTCTCCACCTTTACCTACCTCTACCCACGAGTGCCACTCACCGGAGCATCTTTGAACTGCTGGGCCACGGAGCCCAGAGCAGCGATGGTGGAGTGCTTGACCTCGGGCACGGGGTCGGACCCCAATGTGATGAGTGCCGGTAGCACCTGCTGGCTCACCCGCTTCACGTCCACGAAGGGCGCCTGTGATGGGTGAAGAGAGGTGAGAGGAGGTGGGACAAGGAATGGGTCGAGTCGAGTGCACAGGGCACGGGGTCTGATCCCAATGTGATGAGTGCCGGTAGCACCTGCTGGCTCACCCGCTTCACGTCCACGAAGGGCGCCTACGGTGCAGAGTGGTGGGGGGATGTGCAGGCGGTGGGTGAAGGGAAGCGAGGGAGTGAAGAGATGGATGGGCAGAGGTGAAATTAGATCAGTTTACAAAGAGCTGGCAAAACCTGTTGGCTCACTCACTGCTGCATGTTCACAAAGAAAGAGAGCAAGAGCGCAAGAGAGCACGAGAGAAAGCATACAAGCTAGCAAGCGGGCTTACGAGGGTCTGGAAGATGACGGCGGCTGTGATGCGCACGGCTGGCTTTTGAGTTGACTCAAATCACAGGGCGAGAGAGGCAAGTGCTAAGAGCATGCACACAACAAGTGATAAACGAGAGCTCACGAGGGTCTGGAAGATGACAGCGGCTGTGATGCGCACGGCTGGCGCCTGGTTGACCACGAGCTCCCACCCCACACTGCTCAACGTCTCCCTGTGCTCCTCAAACAGACTGAGGGGGTATGGGAGGAGGGAGGGAGGAGGGGCGAAGAGGGAGGGAGGTACGAGGTCTGGGATGCCTCACATCTCCATCCTGTTCAGCAACTCCCTGTGCTCATTGGGAGATTTACTGTTCCGGAAAACTGGCACCAGCTCTGCATTTCCGGAGCTGACGCTAACGGCAATCGCTTTCCACCAATTATGGCTCGAGCGGTGCGATGCTGTCTTTCGGGGTAGCAGATTTCGGACGCAGCGGGTTCTCAGGAAGATAGAATTCGCATTTCGGCAGCACGCCAAGCTGTACACCCGGAAATTTGGGGTGACGTGGCGAAAGCAAAAGCATCGGTATGGTTTGGGAGAGCGGGACATGCTGCAGAAGGTCAAACTGGATGGCAAGGATTGGAAGTGGACGAGCAGTTTCGCTGCAATTTGGTCTCATCGGAGGGTACGACCCATCAGACCCTAGACTTTTTTCTTCTGGAGCAGGAACTAGTTTCTGTCTCCTCAAGCACGGTTACGACCGTTTTGTTTGTTTTTGCTTGCCCTTCGGTGTATACTTACATTATAAAAAAAAAAAAAAAAAAAAAAAAAAAAAAAAAACTCCCTGTGCTCACGAACAGACTATTAAAACACAGGGGAAGGGAGGGAGGAACGAGTGAAACTTAGTGTAAAAGATTGTGCATTCAGTCAGGAATATACGTTTCGCATGAGGAACGAGTGAAAGTTAGTGTAAAAGATTGTGCATTCAGTCAGGAATATACGTTTCGCATGAGGAACGAGTGAAAGTTAGTGTAAAAGATTGTGCATTCAGTCAGGGATATACGTTTCGCATGAGGAACGAGTGAAAGTTAGTGTAAAAGATTGTGCATTCAGTCAGGGATATACGTTTCGCATGAGGAACCAGTGAAAGATTGTGCATCCTTGGGATGAGCTTGCTTAGGATATGGGAAAGATCGTGCGTGGCAAGGAGGGATAATGTGCAACAGGGGAGCACTGAAAGGATAGCACTCATCAAAGGAAGACGTTTGAGTCGACTCAAAGCTCACCAGAGGAAGCGGACAGCGTCAATGAGTTCAGGCGTAGAGGCGGGCGACCAGGCACCGGAGCGGGCACAGGTGGAGACGACCCACTTGCGCAGGTACTTGAAGAGGTAGCCCTCTCGCATGCTAGCTTACTTGCTTGCATGAGAGGGAACAGGATTGCAATCTCTCTCACCAGAGGAAGCGGACAGCGTCGATGAGTTCAGGCGTGGAGGCGGGAGACCAGGCACCGGAGCGGGCGCAGGTGGAAACCACCCATTCGCGCAGGTACTTGAAGAGGTAGCCCTCTCGCATGTTGGGAGAGCCCAGCACACCCGCCAGCAGCAACGGCAGCACACACATGCGGGACAGGCGCTCCAGGGGAGGGCCTGCAGGGCGCAGCACTGGCTTGGGGGGAGGGGAGGGGGCATGGACAGGGGAGCGGGGAGCAGAAGGGAGGGTCAAGAAAAGGTGGCGCACACACATGCGGGATAGGCGCTCCAGAGGGGGGCCTGCAGGGCGCAGCACTGGCATTGGGGAATGGGAAGATGGGGGGAAGAAGGACGGGTAGGGGCAGGCAGGGGAGAAGGGGAGGAGAATAGCGAGGGGTCAGAGAGAAGAGACGCTAACCATCTGTTGCGTGGGAAACACGAGGCAGATGGGTTG